TTGAAAATAATCAATTTACCCACGCGCTCTTCCCCCGCCTTGAAATATTAACGCAAATTTTGTAATGCGGATGCAACAATTTCACTATCTCCATAGGAAATCGATCACGGTAGGCGTGGCTAAGAAAACGTACGTCCTGTTTTAAAATTCTATCGCAAATAACCCGATATTAATTTTTCGCTAATAAGTATTATGCGCGGCGAGCATACGTGGCTTTTTGGGTGTCGATTTATCAATAAATTAGAGCGCCCCGCGTATACGGGATGTCCAAGTTTCCAGCGGTCTGACCCGAAATTTTTCACCCCACCGATATCGTGAACTATCAGAGATAAGTGCCCCAAATCCAAAACGAAGTTTTCTATTTAACCTCAAACCAATGTCCGGGTGTATAACTTAAAAAATACGTCTTGCATTTCGATTCACCGTTTTTGTTCTTTTCTTTTAATTTTTTTTTCTGCGTGTAACCTTTTCTCTGTACTCCTTGATTCCCGAGCTATAAGGCGATATTTTAATGAATTTCCACGTTTTCCTTATATCTCAATTGCCTTAGGTTATCAAATTTGCCGTAAAACTGAATCATTTTATTACTTGCTACCCAATAGCGCAGTCAGATTTTGTCTAAACATTCCTGTTTTTTGAATATTGATCAGTATTTTTTTTCCTTTTAATTGGACACCACATATATTTTTCAAAATATAATTGTTTTTTTTTTTCGAATAAAAAAAAGTGTAGTATTTCTCCTTAAGTCTTATATTGGTGAGTCAAAATTTTTTATAAAATAATTATTTATTTAAAATAATATATCCTTGGTATGTTGAAAATATTGGAGGTACAAGGTAAACTTTTAAGAAAAAAATAGGTAACTTGTGCCATAATTATTTCTGTCCAGTCGTTCCTACTCGGACGTCACTTTGGAAAACGGAAAATTAAATTTTCTCCTCAAAAGCATCTGAAATGCTATACAGAAAACCCTACACATATTCAAGCAGTTTGTTGTATTTTGAAACGCAAATTTTGGATTTGAAGCAACTATTCTTTGAGCAGCTAACAACCAAAACGTTTACAGGAAGAACATTTAACAAATAACGAAAATGATTATACAATAAGAGCTTTAAATATGCATCCAAAATCCATCCAAGACTTGCAGTCCCTTTGAAAGTTTAAGACTGAAGTTAGGTCATTTTTGCAGATGATCGGCAGAGGTTTGTCACCCAAAATATAAATAATATAATATAATAATAATATATATACAAATTTTAAATTGATATATTTTATAAGCTTGTAAACTTTTATAGCGACTTAAGGCGGGTGGAGGTGCCACAAAGGACAACATATTGCTCGGTTATGTCAGTGCTCGTGATATTACATGAATCGTCTCCTTACATCAGGTAAAAATGTTTCTTTTTTTACTCTCGATGGAAGATCAGTTTATAGATATACAAATATACACATACAAGTGTACTAAATATTTAGTATCTTGTTTTACAAAGATAAATATTTATTTTATTATATTCAATAAAAAAATGCTCGTAGAGTGATAAAAATGTATGACCTAAAGTTTTTTTAATTCTTAAAATTTTAACCCTCTAGCTCAAAAATTAAGAGTTAAAAAAAATAAGAACTAAAAGTTCAGATTTTCACGAAATTATATATTTTCACACGACAACTGTTTCGACAACATCGTGTCTTTATCAAATGTGAAAATATATAATTTCGTGAAAATCTGAACTTTTAGTTCTTATATATTTTGTTAAATGGATTTTCATCGACAAAAAACCACCTCAGTTCAAATTAAGAGTTCACGACATAACTCAATTAACAAACACGCTGTACAGAAAACCTAAAAATTAAATTATCAACGGTTACAGTACCGAAAAAAAATCGTAATCATTTTGGGGACGAACTGGATCGAAACAATCGCGTTCGGAGAGATTCCAGCTTTGCCGACTTGTTTCTTTTAAACCGAAAACTCCGTTTAACAAAATGGTTACCGACGCGGCGCGGCTGTAAAAGGATCCGTGGCCGCTTTCGTATTAGATAAAACTGGATAATCTTTATCCTCGTCAGGAAAATCCCGCGAAGTCTCGTGAAACGCGGCCGATTGCGAGCCTCTTAAATTCGAAGAATGATCGATGAAAATAGCGAAGTTAGATAGTCGTTTGGGTCATTGACCTAGTATACAGCATAGTATATTTGAATGCCTTAAAAATTACGTAGTTGCGTAGTCTGTTACTTTCAATATCATAAAGGTGAGGATGCCCCAAGGGCACTATTTTCGAAATATTAATAGAGACCTGATTCGGAAAAGGAACTTATTGACACTGACCCCTTACAGCTTTTATTGCAACTCCAATTGCACCGTGGAAAAAAGTAGTAACACTTTCTTCCATGCTTTATGGTTATTAAACATATAAGTAGATATATAACTTACTTCTCCAAAACTCCACGAACAAAGGAATCATAGGGAGTTTGCAGTTTCGTTTTGCCTCTGCAGGTAAGCGTTAAATTAGAACATTATAAATATTTGATAAAGGACGACTGAAATAGCTGTCATAAATCAATAAATAACTGTTAAAATGTGCTGCCATCTGTCGATGAGTGGCGAATGTTTATATAGTTCTGGTAAGAAATCTAATTTCCTTGGCTAGTTAGGAATTTGTAATTTCGTTATCTCAAAATCTCCCGGGGGATGGAGAAGTAACGAGTATCTACTACTGTGCTAGTAGATTGCATTTCGGGATTAACCACAGCCTTATAAGAAACACTATATTTTGCGATGATAGCCATAATTTAATTATCAATTGTAATTGGTTCCCTCCTGATCTTATTGTGAAAGTTTTCTCTCTTAACGAGCAAATTGGCAACTGATCGAATGTAGTCACGTTACTTTTTGAACACACCTCGTAAGAGGTGACGGTTTTAGTGCAGTGAAATGAAAGCAAACTTTCCGTCTTAGTACTGAGCAACACCGCTTACTTTCAACTTTATTAACGCAATCCTTATTCCGCCTTTCACAGAATTAAGTCGTCTATTAAGTAAATAATTTTGTTTACTTGGCATCCAGAAATTAATGCTTTTTCTTTAGTGACACGCTGCGCGTGGCAGTAGATATGTGTTCCCTAGAACTAACTAACATAACGATGTTTTTAAAATCAATATTTGTCACTTTACATGAAATATTAAGACTAAATTTTAAAAAATGGAAATCTTCTATTATAAAAAGGATGCATTTTTACTTAACTAAATTTTTATTAGCTGTTGGTAGCACCGCTTTGAAAACCATCATCTGGGAAAACATTATATCATTAAATTTTATCAATTAATAAGAGAAAACGTTATTTCTTCATATTCGCACCCATTTAAATAAGTCAAAATTAGCCGTACAGAAAGTCCCTCCTTTCATTTGTGCCGTTCTAGCTTCCACTTTTCCGTACTAAAATAAGACGTCCGTGTCAATAGTTTAACAGATTTTTTGCATGTTTAAATACGGAAGGTCGTCCCTTGGAGGATGACGACGCATCGACGTACGTCACCAGATAATCCATGTTTACGCGGGAATGGTCGAATTGGCCGCCCACGGCTTCAATTTCCCCTACACACATCACCTTCGGAATACAAACACGCACGCACAATAGTGGAAACTGGGGTGGGAATTGAATCCCCGGCCGATTATGCAGATGTCTATTAAAATCAATGACAACAGGATTATCTGTCTATAGCATATTTCGTATATATCCGTCGGATTGGCTTCATCTAAAAGTTATCACATCGTCGAGACGATAATGAGGACACAAACATTCATGATTGGAGCGTCTAAATTTTTATCGGGCAGTGTATTGCAGCAAAGATTACAGAAAGTCGTCTGTGATATTTTATTCCGTAAATTTTGATTTGAATTTCTATTTAATTAGAGGTTCTAATATTTCATTCTGTAAACTTTGGCTAATAGATAAAGTTTTACGTTGCGTAAATGTCAAAATTGCGTGGATTCCTTTAGGATTTTTTATTTTGGTGTTTCTTTCACCCATCGGTATCACCAAAATGTTAAATGACGGAAAACTCATTTGACAAGATTACTTTCGAAAAATCGTCGCTGGGCGGGGCGAGTTCATAGCGCGTAGTGTATTTTAAAAAGGAGCAGCTTTGAGGCTTCTTGCCTAGAGGGACCGCATTGTTTTTCTATCTTTTTTATTTATGGCTACTAATTTGCCTTTTAGATTTTTTTGCCCATAATCGACACACCCTGTACATAATCCAAAAAATGCCTGAAGTAAAAGTTATAGCCCTAGATCTCCCTCATATCCCGGTATATGATTTTTTTCAATAGGGTAAATACTTTTCGAGAAAAACTGAAATCATACAGTACGCCGTAATAGTAAGTGACGTCATCGCATCTAGATTTAGTGCGAGACACAGCGACTGTCACATGGACTTTTTCAAATATCTCGGGAAGCGTGTATGATAGACGAAAACCGTAAATAAAAAAATTGTAGGTCTCGATACGACCCATAATACTGTTTGAACCAAAAAGCCATATTTTTTTACGAATTTTGATTCGTGGCCATTAATTTACTCCAGAAAAGAACAATTTTTGAATTTTGTCCATAATTGAGAAACCCTGTATATAACCGAAAAATGTTTAAAATAAAAGTTATAGCACAATTTTTTTCTGAAAGCGAAAATAATTTTAAAAAAATATGGATATGGACTATTACTTATCTGCTGCAATTAAAGTCCGTACCTACAAATTTGAAACATCTAGAACATTTTTGAATATAGCACAGCACACGAACACCCTGTACAATATGCTCTGAAAACCTTAAATATGGGCTGTATGAAAGAAACTGACAACTGAATCACCCAAGTCCTTTCGTTAAAAAGGAGCGTCGTGACTTTTTGTGAAATTTGTCTTTTACACTCTCACCATTTTTTAATGGCATTTTAGTTTAGGTAGGACCATTTGTTGTGGGTGTGATAGTAATTCAAGCATTTCTTTTCAGCCGGATGCGAGTTCAAAAAGTCGTGGCAAGGTCGTTGGTTTCAAAGCGGAGTGCCAAACTCCCTGTTGATCAACAATACCCATATGGAGACGAAAGGCGAATGCTACGAGGAACAGGGGGACAAATATTTAGTTTACGACAAGTGAGCCACCCTTATTGATAATTCCGTCGTTTATTTGATTTTTGAGGATATCGATAAATATGGTAAAAAGTTATTTTAAATGAAATACATGCTGAATTTATAGAATAGCAGAAACACGTTTCTCGACTCAGAAATATTTAAACAACGTATAATTCTATTCTTGTTAACTAGATATTTTATCCTATTACAAAATTTTATTCTTCTTCCTGAAATCCCGATGATAAAAGAAAATTAACGCTGGGAAAAGAAAATCAATAATAAATTCATTCTCATTTTATCCCATCAAAATGTAGGTGCTATTTTAAATTTTAAAAATATATTAAGGGGTACATATTTTTTCATATTAGAATTCCTCCAGTATATATTCACATAACTCTTTAATTGGTTTTTGAATTTCAATGCAACGTTGCCAAAACTCGCTTTTCTATAATCTCCTACATCTTTAAATATGCTGACTAGAAGTCGGAAGTCGAAAAGCGCTGCGTTCTTTAAAAACAAGCACCGCTCCCAGAGAAAGTCAGTCGAAAAGTGAAACCCTACAGCACGGAAATTATCTATGTAGTGAATAATAGTGTGTAACTAGTTAACAGCTATGAACTAAATGCTTATTTTTGTTGATTTAAAAACGTCAAAACATGTAAAAATGTGGTAATTAATTTTTTTTAAAGAATATTCCACAAGCTACTGTAATACTACTGTAATACTATTTATAAAACTTCTGAATTCCTCCTGCGTCGGTTAACATCGTCATTATTATCATCCTGTTGGCTGCTTCAGAGCTTAACCTTTACCTGTACTTGCTTATATATTGTTTGAGGGGGGTGGAGCTAAATGAGGGGCATAAACATCGTCTTGGATGACTGACTCCCATGTTGTTGACAGGCGATTGTTGATGTTGTTGTTGTTGTTTTAGTGACAATTAAGATTGCTTATTGAATGTGGGAATTATTAGAGAGAAGAGCAGGTGTAAGATGTTTTAATTCTGGGCAGAAGCCAACAGAAAGATTGAAAAAACATCAGCAAGTTCGTTTCAGCAACAACCCACGCAGAGGAACCCAGAAGCTTTGTAAATAGTACTTACAAGTAATTTAAATTTAGGAAGCGTAATTTACTTAGTTTTTGTTTATTTGCCATTTGCGAAATAACCTCTTATCTATTTTCCCTTCAGATGGCGCTCCGTATTGATATTAACCCGCCTTCTGCGACAACGTCGTCGCGTAGTATTCCGGATAATTTCCGTCGGGGTACGGAGACGCGAAAAACCCAACCGTCGGCTTTTTGCGTCGATCTCGATGTATTTTCCAGTCAATTTTCGATGCAAATTTTAATAATATCGTAACCAATAACCGTTATATATACCTACACGCAGAGGTATTCATGTCGGTCTTCGAGGAAACTCCGTTCCATCAACTCCATTAAACTCGAAATGGAAACTTCGTATTCGGGCGGCTCGCGTGCTCAAGGAAATTGAAATATTTCCATGCAGAGCTGTTTCGTCGCCCGCCCCCCTGCAGCCCGACCCTCGTATCTCCGGTATAACCAGATTTTTACAATTTTCCCTATTATTATTGCTATATACGCGTATGAATTTCGCGAAAGATGTTATCGCCGCCCCCTTCGGCGGTGGGGTAGCTAATAATTGTAACGCTTCCCGGCGGCGCGAGGGGTTCGTTTTCAATCGTCAGTAACGGATTCAGCCCCCGTTACAGTTTCAAATTTTTGTAGAGGGTTTTTTTTTTGTGTTCAAAGTCGCCCGACTCCCATCCCGTGGCGTCATCTGTTGCGGTGTCTCGGAACCGATCGGTCCACACGACGGCCTACAGATGGCGCGGAAAGCATTTCCACACTGTTTTTATTTGACTTTTCTTTCGGCGCTGATCTTTCTTCTTCAGTTGCCTGAATAATTCAGTGGTTGTTTTGGAAAACCATGTTACTAAACTCTTCAACCATGATACTCTTCGTCTTCCAGGTCCTCTCTTACCGTAAACTTTCGTTGGAGTATTAGTTTGAGAAGATGGTATTTGCTTTCGTTTCGCATTATATGGCCTAGGTACTCAAGTTTTCTTCTCTTTATAGTGCTTATCACTTCAAATTCTTCCAACTTTTTTTGTGTTGCCTCGGTCGGTGTAAACGATTCCACCCCGTAAAGGAGTATCGAGAAAATGTAGGATCTTAATAGTCTGATTTTGATGTTCAGGTCTAGATTGTTTTATATTTTGTTTGGTTATTATTATAAACTTTTATAATGTTCATTAAATCTTGCAAGCCGTTCAAGCTATCTTTGAATACAGCAGTGTCGTCTGCATATATTAATATGTCCTCCGTTCAGTAGAATTCCATTGTCGATATTTTTCAAGGCTATAGCGAATATTTCCTCCGAGTATCAAAGTAGAAAGAATACATCCCTGTCTAACGCCATGTTGTATAGCAACCGCATTGACTTGTTTATCTGTATCAGACTTTATGATAGCTGTTTGATTCCAGTTTAAGTTTCTTATGATTCTAATATCCTTGTCATCCATTCTAGTATTCTTCAATACTTGCGTCATCCTCTCGTGTTGTACCTTATCATACGGTTTCTCATAATCGATAAAGCAAACACATACGTTAGCACTTGCAGACTAAACAAAGCTTCTCTTGTACCAACTCCTTTCATAAAGCAAACTGCGTTTCCGCTACTCTTTCTTTGCACATGCTGTATATTCTTGGGTGAATTATCTGAAGAAATGATGAGTGACTAAAACCGTTTTTTTTTTCTTGGCATTTATTAAATTAAAGGCCAATTTATTTATGAAATCAAATTAAAAAACGGGACCGTAGTCAAGACCTGAAAAATTAACAACTTCACATTTTTTTAATAGAAAGACATATATTTTTTCAAAATTGTTGTTGTTGGAATTAAAGATATACTTGACACTTTCCTTTTTCGAAGGAAAAGTTAATGTTGATTATTAAATTATACTTTTATTATGTTAAGTTATAGAAAAAGAGAAGTTGTTGATTGTTTTTAATTTGCGGCGCTTCATTTCCTTCTTTTGTTACGTTCATAATAGAAAACAGCCCTACAACTTTTATTTAAATAGCTTTGCGCTTCGACTAACTCTGAAGGAAGGTGTCAACATTTAAATAAACTCACTCTACGACTTGCAGGACCGAAGACTGCTACCGATGCATGGTACTCCACGTCAAACACCCCAGCGTGCTTCAATACAAAGAAAGTAAGGGCTTGCGCCATTGCTTAGTTATCGTGTATTATTCTAATTTGTCGATTGTGACGTGTTTCGCAGCTTACTGCGAGCCCAAAGACTCGCTTTCCGAGATTTGCTCAAGGATAGTGGGCGACGCTGCTTTGTACAGCATGTTCCGGAAATATCCGGAGGTCAAGCCCATCCCGTGTCCTTTTAAAAGTGCCCCGTTCACGTTCAGCTACAATCGAGGCACCGGCGACTGCAATAACCCGCCTAGCAGGGCTGAAAGTTGTACCGACGACTCGCGGCTGGTGCTTAAGTATCAGGCTTGCCCGGACGTACCTTCGACAGAAAGCAACGGTACGCCTTTACAATCATTAGATATTTGACGCCTGCGCGCTTATCGGGACTTGTGGGCGGCCATTTTGGTTTGGCAAGCACTCCAAAATGGCTATCGTCAGCTGGTCGAACCACAGCTGGCGGCAACAGTTATATTAATTTATTGTTTTGGATTGGGAGGATTTTATGTTGCTCTTTCAGTGGAGGAACTCGTGTGCTTGGCGACTTGGAAGGAAGGATCGACCAAGTATCTGATAGGGAAGATTTCGCAGGGTAACCGAAGGAGTTTGACGACCGACGAGGATCAGTACAGATGTTTTATATACCAGAGGGGCACGGAACACGGGAAGACGGTCTACTACGTCGCCCAGTCGGGTGATGCGACCTGCTCGGGGGTGCAGAGCGCTACCGAAGGGAGTAGGACCATGAAATTGACTATCGGTAAGGGAAGGATCCCGATTTTTTTTCTACGAAAACAATTTTATATTTTTTTAATTGTCCATAAAAAGTATCCGCTACTAACTAGCTTAGTTTAACAAAACCGTCGCATACTTTTTGCATTAATATTTCAATAAAGTTTCTCGTTCTTCTAAGAGATATGTATGACATATTCATCGGTATTAAAACTTGCATTTCCGCAGTGGATGACCAGCACAAGCGTTGCAAGTTCCCAGTCTGGATAACCGATCACCATACCTGGCTGAGCCTCGACCACCACAAGACGTTCAAGTTTTCGCAAAGAAATGCGACCTTGAAAATCCTGGACGACGACACTTTGAAGCCGACCAGGATCCATCAGAATTTCGAGCAGCCGCAGTTTGCGTTTCAGGACCTGGGCATGGAGTCGCAGGATCAGAAACGCCAGAACTCGGAGATGCGGCTCGTATGCCACGGCATCCTGCAGCAGCAGGAAAACAAGAAGGTGCAGATCGTCGCACACATCACGGCCGGATGGTGAGTATAATAGTACATTTGTTTTTTATCTTCTCTCTTGCTAGTTAATACTTCTAAAAGGAAAAAAGAAAAACGTTGAATGATGAACGCAAAAAATAAGTGTTTCGAAATGCGTGGTCCATTCTTCCGACACTTTTAATAAGCACCTTTGAGTAGTACTAGTCTTTTGCTATCGGGTTCAATGTTTATAGAGGTAATTTTTATGTTTCAGCGACAGCGGCTACGTCTGCATGGTGTTCTATAAGAGGGACTCGAACGTCATCGAGATGCAGCAATCCGGTGAGCCCCTGCGGCGAGACCGCGACTATTTTGAATGATGTAATTTTCCTTTTTCTACATTTCAGAAGACTACGTCGAGAACCCGGACGATGCTTGCTCGACCTTCGATGTCACAGTGACGCCGTTCGTCACGCTAGTCAGTAAGTAGCGCGATCCGGCTCGCAGGACCATTTTATTACTCCGATCACCTTTTTCCTTTCGCAGCCACGACGCTGCACTCGAAGAAATGTCCGCATCTCGGCCGGTACACGATCTCCGCGACGACGACCGCCATGGTGGAGAAACGAAAACGCAGGGAACAACCAGGTAAATAATTCGAGCCCCATCTCCCCCAACTTCCACCCATTTTGTACGCTTATTTTTGGCACGCTGCGTTTTTTGCTCAGGAGACTCGAAGCTCGTCGTCGACGAAGCGCCAGACTGCGAATCGAGCGACTACGACGCCCTCTCCGTAGGGTGCAGCGGCTCCCACGAGATGGAGTTCCGGTCGGCTTGTCCGGAACAGCCGTCCAGCTGTAAGTTTTTTGTAATCCATAAAGCTAAGTTGAAATAAGAATTGGCTCAGCGCTCACGTCGGCGCTCAACAACGGACGGGTCCCGGGTTCAATCCTCTGTAGCAAAAAAAAAGATGAGTCATTATTCTCAATTTACCCCTTGGTTGAAGCGGTTCCCAGGTTCGGTCCTCGGTGGACGCGAAAAAAAATATGTGTCACGTGATGGGTTGAGTGGTTGCGAGAGGATTGAGGTGGAGGGAAGGTTAAGGGAGGGGGTAAGAGTTGTGGCAGGGGTTGAGGGTTGAGAGAGCGGATGAGTAGGTGGGTGGTTGGTGCTAAGAAGGTGGAATCGAATGGCCTTGAACGGGGACCAGTTTCAGTTTCCGCTAATATGATATTTTCTTATGGAAATTTACATGTAAAAACGGTTGAACTTGCTTTTAAACTGTCATTATTTGGAGATATACCACGCTAATTTCGCATAACCGAACTACAATCATCCCATCTATCAAAAAATTCATTATGTAGCTGTGTCATTTCTGTTTATGTCACCCTACATTTATTGACGTAACAGAAGCCGAATATACCAAATGTCCTCTATGTATTATTTCCCGCGGCAGCGTACGCGTGTCACGGTAGCTGGGAGGAAGATGGCGTGTCTTACGTTATAACGACGCCGGTGTCTAGGAAACAGCCCGAGTCTCTGCGCTTCTGCTTCATCTATACGCTGTCAAATCAGCCGCAGCAGTCGGTGATAGAGGGCGGGCTCGGCAAGGGCGAGGGTCCACCCCTGTTGCGACTATCCAAGGTCACAGAGAGCTGTCACAGGCACGTCAAGCCCGGTATCACGGGCAGCTGGGCCTTCAATTTTACGAGCAACGGTATGGCGATAAAGTTTCCTTCTTCAGTGCAAGCGACGTTGCCGTTTTATTCGTTTCCAGGTACGTGCGATCAAAGCGACAACGTCAACGCCGGCCACGTGCTCTTGCCTGCCGCTCTAATGGTCGCGCTCTCAATCGGCACCGCGTTGGTCGTGAGATGATGAAAAAAGGCCGCCCTGCACACCCTGAGCGAGTATTAAGCGTGTTTTTTTTTATAGCGGAAAGGTGGTGTACCGAAGAAGATATGGAGAAAGACACCATTTAATTATTATTATATCGGCATTCGGGATACTGCAAAACATTCCAAAGGCTGACGAGACCGTAGATATTGCGATTACGTAAATTCGAGTATAATCAACCATCAACCAAACTCTATATATGCGTAAGGATTGCCTCATATTTTTCGTTATTAGCGGCATATGAACGACCAGATCGTTGTTTTCCGTCAATTTCCGGCGCGCAGATACGCGTCAACAGTCCAAGTTTGGGATTCAAAACGGATTTGCCATACAGTATGTATATCCCACTTAAGAACCGTACATACTGGTGAAATCGTTGTTTATGGTTCGATTTTGATATTTTTGTTGTTGTTGTTTTGCTTATTGCTTCAACTTAAGTCTTTGATAACGGTTTGATGTTGATAACTTTCTTATCTTTCCTTTTACATCAACCCGAAGCCATGGATAACTGCGACCAATTTTTGATGTCAAATACCGAGAAGGGCTATTGGAGATTTTTTTAAGTGTCAACGAATTCTTATTCAGGGCTACATAAAACTTAACTATACCAATTTCCATAAAGTTCGCTTAAGCATTACTCGTGTAGAACGCTTGTTTTTGCTTTTTTACTAAATATATCTTACCAAAGAGAAATGAAACTGTTGTTTCGTATAGCATCGACTAAAAACTCACACAGTTTTTTGGAGCGCAAAATCTAGAAGTACTTTTATAGATTTTTTCAAATTGAAAATGACAACAGATTCGTGTTCAGGAATACCTAAAAGTAACTAGACCAATGGCCAAAGTTTTTAATGTTTTAAAAAAACAATATTCAAATATAAATTAGCCAGTGAATTTTACTGTCGAATATTCCGTTCTCCATGGCACACTTGGTTTTTTTTAAGTCTGTTTAATTTATATCTAATCCTCTCTAATCATATTTAATTTTAAGGAAATCGTTAGTGTCTTTCAGTGAAATATATCTAACAAAAAAGAATTATCCAAAATTAGTATACTTAGGTAGCCTTAATAGCCCTTCTCGATATTTGTTATCAAAAATTAGTCCCAGTTAGCCATGAGTTCAGCATGCGTTTTTGAAAAAAAGAATTATCAATATGAAACCGTAATCAACGATTTTACAACGATATTTCAAACCCCCTGTATTGAAACATTATAAAAATTGGTATAGTTGGGTTCTAAGTACCCCTGAATAAGAATTCGTTGCCTATTTATTCCTTTACAAATCCATAATAGTACTTCTCTCTTCTCTCTTTTTTGTTAAATAGTCTCAGTTGGTCGTGAGTTGAAGCAATTACAAAACAAGATTTTCGTGTATATTTCATAGACCTATCCAACAAAAAAACATATTAAAATCGAACCATAAACAAAGATAACAAGGGTGTATAATTCTTAAGTGGGACACACTGTATATAAGATTGTTTCAGTTTTTTTGTAATATCTAATTATCGGATACTATTTAACGGAGTTCGTGATTATTTATCAGTGGCGTACTATTCAGCTATTGCTGCGGACATATTAAAATTGTAAATGAAACGAGTTAAGAGTACTTTAATGAATACCAAAATGTAACAATTAATTAATTAAATGTCCGAATATCGGTATCCTGAATTTCAGAGGGAAACATGCAAATTTTTTTAAGTTTATAGGTTATATTTTCGTTTTCCATAAAATACTCCCAATACCTATAAAGTTATAATTGCATAGTGCAATATTGATAAATTAAATAGTTTCCAATAATTAAAATTAATTAATAAATCCGGTATTTAACATTGCTAAATTGTTATAAAGGTATTCCGAAGTGAAAACCATATAAAGGACCGTAAAACCAGTCTGCAGAGCTCTACCAATCAACATAGCCTCGTTTATATAACCTGGTTAAATATAAGAAATGTTCCGTGGTCTGAAATTGACGCAAAGTTATAAATATGTCGCTACTCCATTTTACGCGGGCAGATATAGTTAGAATGTAACGAATTGGCCTAAAACGCGGTCTCTGGCAGAATGTCGTGCAATATATCCGCGTTTTTTAGACACTAATATTAGTCAATTTTTTAAATGTTTAATAAAGGTAATTTTATCATTGGGACGGCGGGCGCGGTCGGCGGACATTTTGAGCTATTTGTGATCGATACAATTGTTGGCTTTTTAATATTATCGTAATTTTAATAATAAAAAAAAATTATATATAATTTATTTTGAAATGGGTATATATACGTTTAGTCGGTTAAGTGTAAAACGTGACGCCGCGAACTTCGGTGGAAATTGGGCAAATAGTTGTGCCGTTAATTGAGGTTATCGGTGACCAAGGATCCTAACCTCATTTGGTTGCGTAATTATTGGTCAGCGTCCCAGAGATGTCGCGTAAAAACGTAAGTAGTTTAAAAGCACTCCCGTCGACGCGTACAATAATTAATGCAAACGCCGAGCTTTACTATACAACGAAAAACGACCTGTCTATCGATTCTTGCCGAATGCAAATTGTCTGTGTTTTATAAGATGCCCTTCCCGATGGCCGAGTGCGTTTAAAGTATTTTCGTGAATTATTTTTCATTTGTGGCGGTTCCCGCGGTTGGCTCGGGACGAGACGATGCCAGGAATGTCACAAACGGTAGCCATCTCGCGCCGACCTAACCTCAAAGGGATTTAAACCTCCCCGCCCGTTTTCGATGGAATAACTAGGAACAGGTACTGTGATTTCGAGTAGTCACAACGTAGAAAGAGACGGTCGCTGAAAGATACTATATTTGTAGAAATTCGCGTCTGAGTTAAACGACACTACGTACAAAGGCTTGGTGATGCTTTCGAGTCGGCTATGGCGAAAGTATTAGTCGGTTCATGGCGACGCAAAAGCCATCCACCGAGTCGCCGAGTATACCAAACGCAAACAATTATTGAACTAAATATGGGTAAATTAGTGCGAAACAAAAAGGCCGTGTAGACTTTTTTTGTAAATAAAAAGAAAACAAAATGGTAGCCAGATTAGTCACTATAATAATGTTGACGGACGACGATGAGAATTTGGAGAGAGGGCCGGATATAATATATTGTTCTTTATCTTAGTGTTACCGCGATATTTTTTTATGTATTTAAACTGGAAGGAACGATGAGTTTTTCACAGGCAATGTACCGTATGTACTATAATGTTTATAATTCTTAGCCCTTTTGACAGGAGGTGTTTGTATATTGACACTATCGACGGGGGAACCCCGGGCAGCACCCGGGGGGACTTCTTCAGAGACCAAGGTCTGCGCACTTAGAATACCCGATCGATATGTTAGAGTTTAGTTCCCCTCCCCCCACACATTTCTTTTTTTGTATATTACCTGTATATATGTGTTATATATAAATGTTTCCGATTATATAAGAACTTTTCCGTTTTTTTGTAACATATAAATGTATAAAAGACTGTGAGCGAAACGTTTAACTTTAATTTTTTTTATCGTTAGTCTATAGTTGTGGCGAAAACCTAAAAAAAACGCGGCCACTTTGTCATTTTTCGTTTCGCAATATTTAGTTTAAGGTTAGGTTGATTTGACGTTCCTGTCGGGGCGGCGGTCCCGCGTTTCGTTCCGTTTATTTATTATTACCCGGTTTTTGCAGCTATAACGTCTCGAGCTTTGTCGTGGTGATTTTTCCCTCTAAATATTTTTCGCAAAACTCTCAGAATAATAGTGTGTCCAACCATTTTGCTTCTCGATATATAAGGGTTACGATTATTATATTTTGACTATGAAAAATAAAAGGTGAAAAAATTGCGTCTTTTTGTTTACCCTAACCACAGCTAGTCAAATTGAGACATTAGGTCTACCGGTAGACATATGCACTTGGCTTATGCTGCAAGTGGAAATAATGCTTAACAAACTCAAGATTTGTTTTAATGACTATATTTAGCAAATAAGCAATTTGATGGCGAGGGTATTTAAGCGTTAAGTAACAAAATAAAATACGCTAGGAACAAAAGTACGCAACCAAATTGTTCTGTCATCAAAATTAACCAACGTGAAGTGATCTTATGGAAAATCACTATTGGAGTTGCCTAGAATTAATGCTGATGAGTCACTACTAGATGCGCAACGTAAAAAATACTAAGTCTTCAAAATCTTCATATGAATTTTAAAGCTGTATTCAGCGTATGTGGCGTAAATCACAGATTTGTAGTGGTGCATGAGAAGTACTGTGTAATTAATTCCTCTTGGCCGCCATTCTAATTGTGTAGATCAACAAAAATTTAATGAAATCTCTAGATGGAATACAAAAAAGACCAGTCCGCAAATTTTTAGTCAACCTTCATTGACCCTAAGTAGTTACTGTTTTATTGTTTGTATCATACAGCTATTCGACAATATAATGAAACTAGCCGCACTTTGCACCACTAAGCAGCGATCTTCCTCACTGAACTCTTTTCCCCAAAACATTAATCGTGATATGGCCTTATTTTGCGAAAATGTACACATAAAGCGGCACATCTAAACTGGAACCTGTCGCTCTGACAAACTGTCCACGGCCATGTTGATCGTTGAAAACAAGATTTAAAATAATCGCGCATGCGCATATTAACTGTCCTATCAATATTTTTTTCTACTCCCGTCTGTAAAATACTTAAATTGCCCACCGATCTAGCGTGCGGGAAGGGGCACTTTACCACGTCAGTTTCGTTTCCCGTAAATCCGAGACACTTCGGACAATCGGATGTTTTCGGAGATATTTCCCACGCTTTGAATTTTGACGTTTGTCAATTCTGACGGTTATGTCAGTGAATGTATTCGTGTTGTTTTGCGAAAATGTACCCAAAAACTAACGGTCGTAGAAAAATTATAGTATGCAACACGTTTGGTAAACTTTTTAACTCACTCGTTTATTAAAAACTCTCTCCGCTCGTGTCAATAAACTCGTGAGTCAAATGCCGTTTACCGCACTTGTTGCATAACATACTAATTTTCATCATCGCTTCTATGTAATACATACATACATATACGGTTTTTACTGCACAACATAGTAAACGGAAATAGCTGGTTCTAATATCTTTACCAATGTAATTAAGAATAAAATTAATAGCCCTTTAAAAACTGCGAGAATTAAAATGACTCATTTTGTGCTACAAAATAAATTACCTTACTTTAATCTTCAGAAACTTGGAAAATGCAATACCAATTATTTGCTAGTATGCTGTGTACGTAAACTGCAGGATTACTAAAACTAAAAAACTAAAAGTTTGGAGCTGTTGATTATTTTGGCATAGTAGATTACCAAATATGCATTATGCATATACAAAATTCCAGTCGGTAAATTTCTTATCTCAGGGACTCCCTGGAAATATCCATAGATAATAAATTGGTTAGTTATGAAAATAGAGTTATGCATACAGAAATTATTAGTTGTTAACGGAGTTGGTAGGTATGTTTTGCGTATGATCAAGTCTTTTCGTCTGGCGCACTATTATTTCCCAATTTTACCCTTGAATAATCAAAACCAATTTTTTTAAACAACATTTTTATTAGCAAAACATTTCATTACATAACAATGGCTTACATTATTCGAGTTATCTGCGAAAAAAATGGCACTTTAATAGGTTATAAAAAAAAGAACACTTATGCAGTCTTCTCGAGGGGGCCCTGTAAGCCAAAAACGAATAATACTAACGAAGTTTGAGTAAAGTTGCAACAGGTTTTATTCATCCTAAAATTTGTTTTAAAGTCGACGTAAAGGAGATATCGAGAGGGGACAAACGAACTACTCGGGCATGGTAACGTGACAATTGTGCTAGTATAAACGATGAAAGAAATTAAATTAGGTCATTTAACGCTTAACCAATCGACACAAATTCAGTTACAGTAATCTTCTCGAGTAGCGGCTACATACTCGTCCACCAAGTCCTGCACCACCTCCCTACTTGAATCCAACTCGTCTAGATTTTCCTTAAACATCTCTTCTTTGCGGAACTGGTCCAAGAAGGCCTCCCGTTTCCTCAGCTTGTCATACTGTGTCAAGGCGCGCTCAAATAGCTGAAACACGTCATTTAAAGAATGCAATGAAGGCCTAAATGTATGACTATAAGTGGCCAAATACAACCACATGTTTAGACAGATATACATTATGCATTTTCCTTCTTAAAGACCAGATTTCTGTTTTAAATTATTAAATCTGGCAGCTTAAGCTGCAATCACCTTATGCCATCAACAAAAGAAAAGAGAATAATGAATGTCAATTTGAACGCCAAGCTGTGTCTTTGCTTATGTTTTATCATTGGAGTGTCTCTTACCGAACATATGTTTGTGTGATTGGCCAACATGAGACCCGACACCCTGTGAGCAGTCGACACGTACGGTGATTTCCTCGACAGGGCCACTTGAATACTCGCCGGCCCCCAAGGTATAAACTGGGCAAGTTTACGTTCCCGGATACGCTGAAGTGACTTGTGGACCTGCGTGGGGTCCACTTCTCCCTGTATAATGTTCAAAATCGATATGAAACAATGCTGGGAGCTGCGGTCCTGCGCTGTCGACACCATCATGTTCTTTGGCTGCAAGAGTCTCCTCATCACGTCCAGCACCGTAGTTTTCCTCACGCTAACCTCGTCAGTATCGGTCGAAAGGGGAGTGTAGCCCGTCATGAGAAAGTGAAGACGTGGTGTGGGAATTAATGGGGCCAAAAGACCCATGAGGTCGTTGTTCATGTATGACGGGTAACGGAGCGTCGTCGTTGACACGGACATTATTGTACTGACGAGGCTATTGATTTGGGTGAACGTGGGGTTTTGTATTTTGAGACGATCGGCGGCGATGCGATTCAGGGCCGTGTTATCGAGCACCACCACAGAATCGGCCGATTTCGTTAGCCGTTTAAGCGTCAACAACGAGTTGTAAGGCTGCACGACCACATCACTGCAAAACTTACGCATAGAAGACACCAAAGTAAGTCACCATGCTTACCTTATCTCGTCTAAGTTGGGAAACACGCTATAAGTCTGCACTAACTTTTTTGGAAACCTATCAGATAGTTTCTCTAATATATTTGAGCCCATACCGGACCCCGTGCCTCCGGCTATCGAATGGCAGAGTACGAAACCTTCCAAACTGTCGCTACCGTCGGCCTCGCGATCTATAATGTCGAAAATCTCCTCGTTCAACCTTTCGCCCTGCGAGTAGCCCGAGGCCCAATTATTGCCCGCACCACCTCCGTTTTTTGACAAAAACACGTTCTCCTGATTATACAACTTGGAATAAGGGGAGTTGAGAATCGTGTTAATCACCCTGGGCTCGAGATCCAACAAAACTGCCCGCGGAATATAGTGTTCGTCGTCGGCCTGGTAAAAAAAGACATCCTTCCTGTCGATACCTTCGGTGGCAAAATCTTCAAGAATTCCCTCGGGATTGATACCGTGCTCGGTGCAAAGCCGCTTCCAAAACTCAAAGCCGACTAAAAACAAAGCACATCAAAGCCTAACCTAAAACGCGTCAATTACCGCTTACTTTGATTGCCGCATTGACCTAACTGCAACGTAATCATTTCGCACGGCATGTTAACTGCGTTTAAAGCTCAAGAACAGTCACATATACTACAATTTAAAGGATTTACTAAGATAAACGAATTTATTTGAAACCGCTGACAGTTGTGGGCGATTTAAACTGCGCAGCGGTGATCTCATTGGTCCTAATTGGACGCACGGTGTTCATGTGACCTACCGGACAAACGAACTAATCGCCATCACGAGTTTAATTGCACCTACCGGACTAATGAACTACTGGTGCAGCGCGTATTTCAATCTGAAGTTATAGCAACTGTCGCCGATTGTTTTGTCAATAACCCGCGAAAATGTCGTCGAGTGTGAGAGAAAATCGCGACAAGAAAGAGTATAATGCACTGGACGAAATCTGCAAGGGACCACGGTAATAACAATTAACTCGAAATGCGCGAAATGACGCGTCTTTCATTTTACAGTATGACGAAAGAATTTATAAGGAAACAATGCAAGGAGCAGAAGTTGTACCAAACGCCCCACTTGAACGACGTGCTATACTTGCATTTTAAGGGGTTCTCGTATATCGAAAACTTGGAAGAGTACACAGGTTTAAAATGCCTATGGCTCGAAAATAACGGCATAAGAGAAATAAGCGGTTTGGACCAGCAAACGGAACTGCGAAGCCTATTTCTTCACTATAATTTAATTAAACGGATCGAGAATTTAGAAAAATGTAGCCTGTTGGACACATTAAATCTGTCCTACAATCAAGTGAGGAAAATTGAAAATTTAGGTGCTTTTATTAAATGCGGTCGTTGCACGGTAACCGTACGAGGTCATTTGCAGATTGCATCAAAACTTTGCACACCCTGAATTTGTCGCACAACTATGTCGAATCGTATGACGATTTCGTCCATCTCGAGAAGTTGTCAGAACTATCTGTACTGGATCTTGCCAATAATCACATAGCTGACCCTTTGATAGTTCAAGTGTTGGGCAGGATGGCCGATTTGAGGGTTGTCAACCTAATGGGCAATCCGGTTATCAGGAAAATTCCGGCTTACAGGAAAACGACGATACTTGCTTGCGTAATATGTATACCATAACACACATATAACACGATATATACTTTACCAACATTTTCAATACTCAAATGCCAATGAGTTTTTTTTGCAGAAAAACCTACAATATTTAGACGACCGGCCAGTTTTTCCCAAGGAACGCGCCTGCGCAGAAGCTTGGTAAGATTTGTTCGTTTTTAAACACATGCGCGCAGTGTTGACATGTCGCGCAGTCTGTTGAGAAAACGTATCAATTTAATACATTATCAGTCTATTACACTATACAGTAAAACAATGGGGACTCACAGCATAGTGTTGCATATAACAGTTTTAAGTCACGCCAGGAATGAAAGTTGTTAATTAATATTTAAAATATGCAAATTAATGCGTTAGATAATAAAGGCGACTTTTCTATCATTGACAAAAATATGTCCATATTTGCTAACTTCTAAATCTCATATTAAGTGATTCCTGAGAATTTGAGAGAGATGTCGCCTTAAGTTTTATTTTAATTGGAAAAATGTCGAGCAGGGAACGCGGCGGATTGACAGAAGAAAGGGCGGAGCGGCAACGTTGGGTGGACAGGGAGCGTGCAAAAATTATGGAGAGCGTGCGCGGTATTTTTGACAGACGACAGTTGGTTGCCAAAATGATGTCGCCCAAAATTTTTTATTGTTAGGTTTAACGAGGATTAGGAACGCGAATTTGGCAGCCAGGCGACAAGACTCGTCGAAATCGGATAGTGGCTTTTGCACCTCGATGGCGGACTCGGAGAGCGACGAGGAAGTCATAGATTCCTGCGAAGAAAACAGCGACGTTTCGTCACAATCCTTCGAAGAAAACAGTGATGTTGCGGAAGAATTAAACGGATATGAGTACTTCTTACCGGTATTTTCAGATGGTGATTCGACAAATCAGTTAGTACGACTGCTCGAGGACGACTTCGATCAGCAGCCTTGCAGTAGCGGCCTGAATGTTTGTCAGGCGCAGACAAATGTTCGGGATGTGAAGAATTTTGGTAGATCGAAAATATTAATCGAAGAAATTGATTCGGTTGAAGAACTATTACCGACGCGAAACGGAAAAGATGGCTTGGTTGAAGCCGTTGAAGCTGAGCAACCAACTGTAGGCGTCTTGGAAGAAACGAGAAATGGACCATTAGTGGCAGACAAGAATCCCCAGAATTTAGTGAAGAAGAACGTCGATGAAGAAGCTACGTCGTGTATAGCGGCAGAAGAACTTAATAATGAATGTGTTTGTCAACATTTAAAGAATAATATTCTAGCTCAAGATGTTGAAGGTACCGAACAAAATTCGCTTAAATATGTCGAAGAAATGAATCCTCACGACTTAGGAAGTAAAATCGACAACCTCCTTGAAGATATTGAAGAACCTGTAGGTAAAGGGACTGAAGAAATGAATTATCATTTAGAGAAGAATTTCGTTGAATATATTGAGTTCGCTCATATGGAGGAGCAAGACATTAATCCTCAACGTGTAGAGAAGAAAACCGACAACCTGCATGAAGATATAGCATTGACGGACTCTCTAACGGTGAAGAAAATGGATAACCTACAAGAAAAAGTCGTTGAAGCTAATGAAGAGACAATAAGGCACATTAAAGGAATAAGTAATGAAGAAAGTCGAAACGAAGAAGAAGAAATTGTACGATACTTAAAAGCGGCGTCTTCGAAAATGCGAAACCGCTTTCGCCGCCCCCGGACTTCGTTGACTATCCAACGCAACCTCACCGACACGGAGAGCGACTACAGTGACGAGTGCGAAGAAGAGTGCGCCCTCTACGAGACGCTTGACGCCCTGGAGGCGCCCTACTGCGAAGCCGTCGACGAAATGGGCGAAGGGGATTTCGCGGTGGATGCGAAAACTAGGGAGGACGTTGAAAGGGAACTGCCGAGACCAGACGATTTGACGCTCGAAGAAGCCGTCGAGGACAGAAGTTACAGGGAGCTTTTGACGTGGGATATAAAGGCCCCCAAGGAAAACTTGATAATTTTGAAACCTATCGAAAGGCGAGCGGCTCCTGACGGAAAAGAAGAAGATTCGTCGTTTCGCCCCATCGAAAAAGAAGAAGAGGTCGAGTTTGAGGTTAAGTTTGGCGTTGTTGACACGAATGAAACCGAAAAGGTTGATTTAATCGGGGAACACGAGGGCGTGGACAACGCTTTGAAGGTGCGCGACGCGATTTCGAAAATAAGGGCCGGCATGGCCGAATTTCAAAAGCAGTTCGACGAGTTTAGCGAGCGAGTCGGCGAGAACACGGAGAGGAGGGTCGACGGCAAAGTGGTAAAAGAGATTACCGATGAATACTTGAAGAAGAACTTCGAAGACATGGGAATGTACCTTTCTGACGATGAAGATTACGATTGGTTAGACATGGAAACCACTGACGCAAATAAAACCGAGGAGAGTGACGAAGTCGATAATGACGACGCAGTCGTTAACATCAGAGCTATGTGTTCGCTGGAAATGCAGATGGCGAAGAAAAAGTTTGAAAATTAGTATGTCAGTAGTGTTCCGAAATAAAGAAATGTTGAGAGCAGCTTTGTTTTGATATTTATTTTTGATGTTTATTGATAAGACTACTGCCCAACGAAATTTTAATTGTATCACAGGCGCGATCTGTTACAGCGACCTCGAACTAGGGATGTTCCGATACCACTAAAGTATCGATACCTACTCATTTGGATAGTACTCAAATCTTTTTTCGATACTACTCAAATAAATACTCTTAAAGTATCGATACTTACTCATATCGATACTTTTAGAACTTTATTTTATTTTTTTTAAGGAAACTAAAAATGAACGTTGAAGGACAATAATTAAAACAAAATTAAGAAGGAAAAGAAAACTTTTATTATAAAGGTTTGCGTGACGTTAAGCACGTACTGTAAACAATAAACTCCATGATAACATTGGAATAAGAAGCCGATGATTACAATTAATAAAATTATTCGTAAGCAATCTCTTTATGTTTGACAATTTATGTTGGTTGACAATGAAAAAAAATGAAGGGCGGACGTCTTTCACGCTTTTGGCTCGGGCTCGGTCGAGTGAAGTCGGATGAGTCCGGCTTGGCTGGCGCGAGACAACGCGTCACCATAGATCAGAAAGAGATTGTCTGATGCGTTCGGTTTTTTTTAACGGTGAGGCTGATTCGATTTGATACCAAGTACTTTTGTTTCGATACCGCAAGATTGATTCGATGCTATAAATACTTGGTATCGAATCAAAAGTATCGAGTACCTACTCGTATTTAGTAGTATCGGAATATCCCTACCTCGAACTAACGCCATTTAATTTTCTATATTGCCTCGCGATGTCCGCTGTTCAAGAGATGGTCATAGAAGATAGACGGCACAAAACTGAACGTTTGCCTTTTCATGCAACCATACACTTCAAAAGCGCATTTCAATTTGAGCGCAAACGATTACAACGTGTAGGCACCACAGGACGTACTGGGTTAAAGTCGTAATGAAAACAAATTTTTTTACCACCAAATAAAAACTAACCTAAAAAATGTTGATTGAAACTGACGTAGTTTTTTATTCTCTGCACGCATACGGCATGAGCAAGATTATAATCAGTTTGTGATGATTTGTGGTATACATTTTACACAACGATATATCGTCTCTCGACATTATGAACCGTCACAACAATAGGTAATAAATAAATTATTCATTATTAATTATTAGAGATTTACGACGGTAATTGCAGTTTCGATTTGGGCGAGACTGGGTCGTTTTACGCGATTCGCGATCAATCTTTTTGAGTATGGCTTTAAAATCGGATTCCTTAATTCGGTCCTTCTTTTCGACGACTACGTTCCACGGTTTCAAGTTTCTGTGCGCAGAGCGCTTGCACTGGACCGAAAGATTATTCTGGGTCGTGTGCTGCGCGTTTAGTTGGTTCGCTTCCGTCGTACTTATGAATTCTGCGTGGTACTCGTTTCAAAACAACGCGATCAGTTTCGTCGTCGAGACGAACTATCTCGACTGGGACACGGAGTTCCCTTCGGTATCGGTCTGCGAAACCGACAATCAGAAACGTATGACCGAGTTTACCGACAAGTAGGTATAGCATAATGTTGTCTTATCTAGGACAACAAATATCCTCCACTTTTGCCATAATTTTGACCACGCTATATAATTAACTTCATCAAATTTAATATCTCGCTTTTAACCAATGAAACTGCGGCATTAAACTGACCAATATTTTTGTCTATGGCTGCATTCAACAACCAACATGGCCGCTGACAGATCTCCAATAAATTATGCCTAAATCTCCTTAAATGTTCTGGGAAAACGAATTAAGTGTGCGGAAATGACTGGAAAAAATGGCTCAAGATATAGGTTCAGTGGTTACCGCATGATAATCCCAAATAAACTCTAATTGTCTCACAGGTTTATTAGTTGCGTCTCCAAAAACAAAATCTCTCACAAACTCATATTTGTAATGAAAAAATAACTAAAATAGGCATTTCCTTTTAGCATGTAGACTGCGCTGCAAGTAGCACTCCAAAATAATAACATTAAACTGTATTTCTTAACTCACTTATTAGCACTCTGCGGTTACGGTCATAGTCCTCATCTTGGTTCGAATAAGATTACATAAAATCGTCTTTTTTTTATTCTATTTGGGGTGCTCAGATTCAATAACAGCTTGTATGGCATCGAGAGCACAGTATATTATGGACTATCTATAGATTATTCGGTGATCCCCACGACTACAACCTCGACGAAGTCGTCAAGGAGGCGGCGTTTTTTAAAGGCTTGTTTTTCTTTACGTTGGAAATATGCGGGCCCAATTCCCCACCCGATCCGAACTGTTTTAAGAGGACCTTAAGCGACTATGCGAATGAGGTATTATCGGTCTTTGCTTAATCGAAGCGCGATAGTTTCCAATACCGCAAAATTTCAGTTGAAGAGTTCCTGCAATGAATTGTTCAACAGGTGCGCGTGGAACGACGTCGAATTCGACTGCTGCCTCTATTTTAAGGAATTGCGAACGGATCTGGGCTACTGTTACGTGATTAACAATTTGCAGACGAAGTAATGCGATTTAACGTTTTTTTTGCGGTTTTGCGTCACTTGCTAGTTATTTTAGAGACCGCAACGGCTACAGAATGGTGTCCAATAAAAAGTCAGGCCCTGGAACGCTCCGGTTGGAGATCAATGGCTCCACCAACGTAAGGTTTTAGAAAAAAAAGCCTTTATTCTTCACTCTTTTACTGGCGAGCCATCTGCGAGGATATACTCGAAAGAGAGAGTCATTGTAGTTTTTATTTGATTACATAGACGACGCGAGCTTTAAAATCGTATTAATCGTTTATGTTTTAACTTTTTTTGGGTTTTTCCTAAAAATAGAAGATCTTATTTGTTTAGGTCTATGTTTTGGGAGAGCAAGAAATTCCGTCTCTGCTGACGTCTCCCGTCGACACGATTCAAGCTTCTCCGAATACACGTCTTCGCCGTTATTTCACTGTAAAAGATATCGAAAATCAACCGGAAGTGAGTAGAAGCGCTCAAACAGATTTTTTTCTTCCCCTAGGTAAAAAAGATTTCAATTTACCATCACAGATTGTTAGTTTTGATCAACTTAAAAGCTTATTATGCATAAAGTTAACCTTTTTAAAATGTTTTGCTTTGAAAAACTTTGTCTCTTATTGTTACTCTTTTCTTTAAAGTGCAGTGTTACCAGAAATATATCTCTTCTTAAGAGAAAACGTTAAGAATTTTTGGAAGTTTGTTAACAGTAAAAAGGAGAGAAACTTTATTCCATCGGTTGTGCACTTTGGCGACGTGACCTGTTCTGTGGGTGAGGATATTATCCATTTATTTTGTATAGTGACGGGGACTACGTCTCATGTATGTCCCGATGGCCTCCCATTCAGCTTCACAATTTTTAAAAACGGGAACTTTTCCAACTTATTGGAAATCAAGCTTCATTGCCTCTATCCTAAAATCCGGCGATAACTCGCAAGTCAACAATTATAGGCCCATCAGTATCCTGAGCTGTATTCCTAAAGTTTAGTCTGCTACTATTTATCTGCTGACCTGAAAGGTTGCTCGCTCCACTGAGCTAAACTTGCTTTCATTTACAATTTTCTGCTGGAATCATTGGATTAGGGGTCTAACTTTCATGCTATTCACACAGACTTTTCAAAGGCATTTGATCTTGTAAATCAGGAAAACTTTTGGATTGGTTAACGTCGTACCTTACTGAAAGAGCGCAGATTGTGAGCGTCCCAATCCACCGAAATTAAAGTGCCTTCTGGTGTTCCGCAAGGATCACACCTGCGACCACTACTCTTCAATGTCTATGTGAATAATATTGTCTCATGTTTTCATCGCGCATTTTTTTTATTGTTTGCTGACGACCTAACATTCTATATGAGAATCCAGAATACTGATGACTGTATAAAACTCAAATCCGATTTAGATCACCTATCGCTATGGTGCGATTTGAATGAAATTGAAGTAAATATTAATAAATGCCAACTAATGATCTTATACGTATTATACGTATAACATAAAAGGGTCACCGTTATTGCAGGCCTCCGGAATAAGGGATCTTGGAGTGTTACTCGATATTAAATTGACTTACACAAACCATGTTTCATTTATTGTGTCCAAATCACTTCAGATTTTGGGCTTTATTAAGCGTTGTACAGTGGACTTCAGAGTGTTCCGTCTCTCAGATTACTGTTCTGCTCCCTCATGCGCCCACACCTGGATTATTGTTCCTGTGTGTGGTCACCTTCGTATAACGTCCATAGAAGCAGCATAGATCCCTGCGGTATATAGCATTTAAGGAGCACCAAGGACTTGAGAACGTCGATTACTCGGAACTGGAAATCTCGCCCCAAGTTACAACTCTTCAGATTCGTCGCCTGCATAGGGATCTCACCTTTTTTTATAATCTACTGCACTCAAATTCTCATAGACCTGAGCTGTTATGTAAGATTGGGCTTCCAACCAAATTTTGTCACATTAGGGTTAGATTTTTATATATCTATTTCATTCGGTTTTATTTTGTTTTTTACTAGTTTGTTTATGTGAATCTTATTTTATATTAGGCGGTTGGCCCATTGATAAATTAATAAATAAAATTCAACTTTCAAATTACAAATACAACACAAACCACAAAATCCTACAATATCACTGTGTACAAACTACAACCTCACAATCAATTTTTCTTTTTTTATTTTACTGTGGCACTTTGAGATGGTGTTTCCTAATAGGGTGCCACTTACACATACAATGCTGAAAGAGACAGAACAAAAAGCTGAAAAGTAGTTATTGGCCGAATGGTATGCACAAACTATAACCTTACATTCAATTATTTCTTCTATTGCGGTATCACCTACAAATACAATTTAATATGGTGAAAAAAAACGGAACAAAGAGCAACAACAGGTATTTAAGTAAATAGTTCAAAAAAATTGTCTATGACAGGTAAAAGATTTGAGCATACGCCAGAGGAAGTGCCGGTTCCCCGACGAAAATTACCTCGAAGTGGTACCGTACTATAGTTACAGCGGGTGCCTGTTGCAGTGCAAGAAAACCGCCCAGATGGAGAAATGCGGCTGCGCGCACCATCTCGTGCCGAACACACGTATGACGTGCCGAAGTCTGACGTCACGACTGTGTATTGAATTCTCTATGTTGTAGCTATCGAGAAACGGTGCAACATCACGGGCTTGAGTTGCTTGAACGAGCATTACAGGGAAGTAACGGTGCTGAAACCCGCGTGGTCCGACAGGGTCGGACTCGTATGCGAGTGTTTGCCCAGCTGTACCGAAATCCAACTAAATGTGGTCCGTGATTACAAAGAAAGGTTCGAAGGCTTAAATAAATCAACTGTGACGTAATCTATTATGTCATAATCAAAGTAAAGTTGTAATAAGTCCTTATTATCGTAATAGATGGCCCCATCTGAAAAGCATGTGTAATCTTTTATAAGTTTGTTTGTCTATGTGTACAAATTGCTCCTATTCTTGGGTAATTATTTTTTATATAACCTATAACATATGAGTTGAGCAGTTTTACGTTTTATTATGTTATAACATATATTGTATAGAATCATAACACATTTATTAAAAAAAATTTAGAATATCAAATGTTAATTTCTAGGGAACATTGAGTTGACATTTAACTGAAACGAAAAAATGATCAACCCTTATTTTTATTTTATTTCTGCGCGCTAATTGTTTTAATTTTTTCGGGGGTAACACGTTTAACTTAGAATTTCCAATTTGTTCAATCCAAATGTTAAATTCCTGCAAAGCTTCAAAAAAATCTTCCATATTTTCAGGGAGTGGTGTATATTAACGACAACCAGTAGACATTTAAGAAATGGAAGCGACATTTTACATATTGCTTGATATAAAACTGCTGGTAAATTTCAAAAAACTCTCTTGTGTTCTCTCCTGTAAAATTTTATAATTTGATATTAAATCATAAAAATAGTGACGCAATGTTCACAACATATTTCTGATAATATCAGCACCCATCAATAACTATGGGATTCTGTACTTCAGAAAAACCGAGCAATGCACCAAACAATTCCATGTTTTTTAAAAATAAATATTTAATAAATATTTCCAAAAATATCTAATTACATACATAAACTGTAACAGTGGAATCTAAACATTTAAGTCAGCTTATCAGATGACACTTTAAAAAAGACCAAAATGCAAAAAAAAACGTTAAGAGTGGGTAACGTTCAAAATGAAATGACGTGATGGTGACGCAAGACAGTTTTAAGTCATTTATTGCGACAAGCGGTTGTAGTACAAACTACTCTAAATTTGTTCTCTAATTTAACATGTTCTTTATCTATGCGCACAATGCAAAGTAAAATCTTTATAACCTCACTTTTTTATTCTTTTTGCATTTTTTAAATTCACTGTGACGAATTATATCCAAGAGAGTAAATAGAGCGGGACCTCGCGTAGTCTTGACATTATTACAAGTTATCGAAGTTATTGAAAACAAGTCACTAACGTGTTTTATACATATAGCCACTACACTACATATGGCCACTGACAAATCGTCAATTATTTTGGATGCGGCAGTGTTTTGTCAAAATATCCCCAGATCTCGTTAAATGTTTTCGAAAGACGAATTAAGTGTGTGGAAATAGCTGTTTGCAAAGAAAATGATGTACAGTGCAAGGTAGTGCTGAATTGTAGATGCATGGGCGGAAAATCACTAATCACATTCTCTACGAAAATATCAATGCCGCCTGTGGCGCATCAATTTTTATCCAAGTAAGGCCGCTTACCAATCTAAGCTAATAGCTATATGGTTTAATTTATAAATTTTTCTATTACAACAAGCCTAACTTGACTTTCAGCATTGCCGAAGACTACGCGGTGGTCGAATTGGCTCTCGAAAGGTTGCCAACCGAACGCTACAAGCGCAACGTTGTGATGGGCCTTCTTGATCTAGTGGGTACGACAAACCATATTAATAACAATCATAATAATAATTGAAATTCATCGCTTTTTACTTGACGTTTTTGTCATCGCTTCGGCTGGATAGGCAGGTTGCACCTTAAGGAGGGTCCGCAAGGACATATTTTCCATATTTAGCAAAGATCAAAAGATGTTTGGCAACACTGCTTGCTACCTTTTTTTCTATATCGTTTATTATTTTGAATGGAGTGCAACAAAGAGCAGTTATACAAACCACATGAGCTGTGTATAACATGTATAGAGACCGTATAGTGTTATGGGATACTCCCATAGTCCGTTATTTACAGTGAAGCAAAAAAGGTGACGATGAAATTGATAAAAAAAAATATTTTGTCAAAAAAAAACTACAAACAAATACAAAACAGAAGCAATATACAATAAAACCTATTTTGAAATTTACTTCCCTCTCAGTTAATCTAAAAAAAAAACTCCTCGAAGGAGTATATTGCTTTACTCAATAATAATTTTTTTACTAACTTTTTAAATTTTCTTCCATTGGTAGTAGGTCTCGTAAGTGGTTATAAATTTTAATGGGCACTCCATGCTGTAGAACAAGCAATTTATTAGGTGATCTGGTAATATTAACTGTGAAGTGATGTTAAAAAAAAATTTCTTACATAAGTAGGACAATGCAAAACATATCACAATAAGTTATCTTTAGCTTTTTGAAAAGGTCTCAACAGGAAAAGCTTATTAGGATTATTTTTTGGGCAATCATATGTGCACACTCACTGTCATCCCAAGTGGCAATACCATATGGTAGTGTGGAGCTAAGGTGTGCAAAATTTTAAGCCCAGGAATTTTACTACTTTAGTCTGCCGAATAAAACTCCTGTCTGAAGTTGCAAAAAAGCGGCCCCAGGACGCTGGCACCTGTGGTACAACTCTTGTAGGTTTCCACGGGCCCAATGACCCTCCTTAGGAGTAACAGTTCCCACTAAGGGCTGCCCGATGTGGTGTACCTCATTTTTTTTTACTTGCAGTATCAATGGGGAGCGCCGCAGCGTTGTTTTTAGGCGCCAGCCTACTGAGTTTCGTCGAATTGCTATACTATCTTTTGATAAGAGCGATGACAGACTACTTCAGACGGTAGAAAGCCCATAGATGCACCGAATTTCCACATTTTGCACGTGTGACGCATGCATATAAAAATGCACATTGCAAAACGCGAAAAATTTCGCCGATTGTCCTCGCGCGCTAGAAATGTTATCATCGACGGATTCCTTTAGCATACACGCATAATACTGTTCGTAGACGATAGAATTCTTTAGATAACGTTGCAGCCGGTATAAATTGACCGTCGGAAGTACACTAGGCCACTGTTGGTCCTCCCATATAGCTGACGTTCGACTGTTAGCTTTGAAAATCGCTCTCGCGCAAACATGGTGTTCAAATTGGCGATCTGTATGGCGTTGGTTGCTGCAGCATGTGAGTATACGAACCGAGAATAGCGTCCCTGTGCATAATGTTCGATAGGAAAAAATTGAAATTATTATTATTGGGGACTTTTCCCTTGTTAACCGATAAAAAAAAACAGTGGTATGAGGGTAATTTTTTGTAGCAGACATTTAACATAATTACAATTTATAAATATAACAAAATGTATACTATTTTATTCCTTGACATATTTTTTATTTGAGTTAATTTGTTTCAGTAGTTTGTCGTCATTTTTTAAATTTTTGTGATGTCCACACTTGATTTACTGTAGAAAAAACGCGTTCAGTGGCAGCGTTAAATCCTAATTCCAAAATTTGTAAGGTTAAGGTCGATGATATACTTTTTGTCACCAATATAAAATTTGAAGACTACTTACTATAAATTATTACTACAAATTACTTACCTTATTTTTTTATGGTAAATAGCAGATTTGCAATATTTATTTGTTTAATTAGCTTAGCAAAATAATATTTCTCATAACGTTGTGATTCACGCCAACTGCTCATCTGTATCTTAAAACGTCTTCAAACACGACGACTGTAACTGTAACTTTTTGAGCGGGCCTGTAACATTTTGTCCGCACCGCACTGCGCTCATAAATACGAAAATCATTGCCGGATTTTTTCAGGCGGCAACCATCACCACTCGTTGAAGACTAGGGCACTGGACAAACACTGCTATTTGAAATGTAAGTCACAGATACTGGCGTTTTTGCCAAGTTTAAACATGTATTTTTTTTTATTTTTGTCTATTTACCTGTCGCAAAATATTCGACTATATATTATAACGTTATTTAATTTATATAAATTGACGTTCAACTGTCGAGTGTAAAAAAAGTTTTAATTTTATCAACACTGTATAGGTACGGGAGGCAACGGCACCGTAACCGTCGTTACCCCACGTGAGTAATCCTTAATAAATTAATCGGAACAGCCTAAAACCCTTTGCGCCTTAGGACCCTCCGTCACCCCCGTCGGTACCCGGGAAACGCCCCGTGGTACCGGCCACACCTCCGCTACTCCCACTTCGAACACCGGTACCACCGGCACCGGCGGCATAACAGAAACGTCGGGAAGTACGGGTACCACGTCCGACGAACCCGCCGTGACTACGGGTACCACCGAGCCAAGCGAGACTACGGGCACCACCGAAGGATCCACCGCAAGCGATCCCCAAACCTCGGAAACCGAGAGTACCCCCACCACCCAGACTGGCGGCCAGACAGGAACCACCGATCCAAGTACGCTTTATTTATTATAATGGGTTTAAAAGAGGATTTAAATCATGACTTATAGGATAGGTCTATAACTCGTGTTATTTATAGAAAATAGTCAGTGAAAATTGAAAGTAATTGCGACTTTTTTTTAGATATCCAGCATTGCCCGTGCAAGTGCGTCGACGATGACGGCAACGTCCATTGGGGTGGATTGAGGGGGGTTGAAGAGAAACGCGCCCACCATCAGAGTCGTGCGCACGGAACCCACGACAAGGAACACCATCAAAGCAGGAGTCACCACGGCGAACACGAGAAGCAGCACCACCAGAGCAGAAGCCACCACCACCACGACCAGTAAATTCGACCAGGCCGCGACGATTAACCACCACCGAAATTTTTGAATGCGAAGGCAGCGTAGAATGTGCATACCATTTTTTTTTCTTGCCAATAGTGTGTGCTAAATAAAAACATGTCTTGGAAAATTCATGCTTTTTTACAGTCCCCTGTGGTCCTGATTTAACGCGATAAAAAATTATAAATAATAATAAATAATAGACGGCCCCATCTGTCGTGTTCATTGCAAAGTAGGATTTACACCGCTTGAGTGTCTTCTACCTAAATAACATATCCAAGGAATATACCATGGCATAAGGGAAGTAAATCAGTGATTCAAGATTCCTTAAAAATGTAGCACAGTCTTTGAAATTTGAAATGGAAAGCTCTGGATTTTCCGTTCCTAGATCACTTTCTGAAAATTACATATTATACATTTTTCGGGAAAATAATTATTTTCTTTGTTTTTTTGGTGAAAATTCCTGTCCTACTGATAAAACATCCATTACTGAAATTTTTAAATTCGTAGTCAGCTGATTTTTTTTATTTTAACAAGTGTAAGTATAATCAAATAGAACAACATAATGAACCAGAATCGAATTTGATCCTCTCGGTTCGACAACTACGTCTTGACTAACTTATCGTAAACCCAAAAAACATCGCATAATAAGACCCTAATTATATCTGCTCACCGCAACTTGCCCTCTCTGTCTTTTTTGCCTGAGACGCCGATACATTTTACAATCGGCAAAAGAACAAAGCGGCGCCTCTGTGTTACGAGTTCTTGTGGGATATGACGTAATAATATAAATATTCTAACACAAGACATATTATTATACGAGCCAGTGTAAAATGTGCAAATTTACGGCTATTAAAATTTCTTAGTAAAATTATTACATGCAAGCGAAAGCAAAACTTGCAGAATTAAAATATAAGTTGTCGCACTCTCTCTCTCTCTCTCCCCGCGGCCACTTCCCCTACGCGTGCAGTCTTTCGTTATTCTACCGACTTAGGAGGGATCTCTAATTGTTGTAAAAATTAAAAAAAAATTAAACAAATATATGCGCTTCTAGGGCAAAAATATTGAACATTTAAATTTATTTTCATAAGATTTAATGTAATCATGCTCTACCGCAAGGAAGCTATCAAGCTGAACGACAAACTAAACCGTTAAAAAAGACCAAGGCTTGGAGGGTTTGACAATCAAAAATTTCTATCCTTCTCAGTAAATTGCAAACAGATTTTTTTCCATGTTTATTATAGGAACACTATTGATTTGAAAATTTAAAACGTGTAACCTCTCTCTCGGGGAACATTAAACAACTAGAATTCAAACTAGTGGGATCTTTATTGCCTTGACGTAAAAGTACCTTAACCTCTCGGCAGCCTTGGTGCTAATCGTTCGGTCCTTCACTCACGAAAACACCACCAACTAACAGTTACTGACCAGGGGCCCCATCAATTTCCGCTGCACACACTTAACCTGCGGTCTCATGTCGCCTAACTTAACCTAACTTACATCCCCTGTCCTTGCCCATACTACCGCACGAGCACAAAGCCATAAGATGCATCGACAACAAAAATTCATAAACCACTTAACAGGCGGGTCGGTTACAAACACCCTCTTCAAGCCTCGTTCTTTTTTAATGGTTTAATTAAACTTAATTGAGCATGAAACATCTTTTTCAAAGGAGTTATTAAGCTTTGTATTAAGTCTTATGAAAATAAATTTAAATATTCGATACTTTCTATTATGAACAGTAATTAGTTAAATAGTGGAAATACATAGATCAATTAACATATTATCTTATAGCATTAGTGAATAATTTTCTCAACTAGTAATATTATATTACGTCATAATGCGTAGAACTGGGCCAAGGGCACAGCCCTGCTACTTTAATGAATAACGAAAAGAAGACAGTCCGTGTTTTAATTTATTGCCACAACCTCCCACTGCACAATACGTCACAGACTTTCTGCTCGCCTACTTCGGTCATTGATCAAAACTCGCCTACTGCCAATCTACCGCGCGTACGGCAACTTATATTTTAATTCTGTAAACTTTGGCACGGCGTTACATAAGTAAGTCGCCACAAATTGATTGCCAGCGGCATCTGTTTTCTGATAGATCAACCATATATAGTGCCACCATGCCATTTAAGCCACCATACTGCACCACGCGTCAGAAAAGGCACCATATATTAGACTAGCTATGTGCATGTTACACACGTTAAAAATATGTACGGCATTCCGCCCACTTATCGAAATTTTTTTAAGAATTTTATCTAAATATTATTAAAATATATTCAACTGAACCTTTCGTCATGCCCTCAACGAGGCAAAAGGAATTTATATTTAAAGCAGCGAGACGGAACACTGACTATCAATATACTTACTATACGCAAAATGCACATAATGATAAATATATTACTCATTCTTTGCGCAGTTTCGATAGAAACAGAGACTACGGGTAAGCTTTAAAAAAAATATCGTTTTATCTCGAAGACTTCACGTTTGCACCGCAGATCACGCTTCCCGCATCAGACACAAACACCCGCCAAATCAGAGGCAGCTTTCGCCCCAAAAGTGCGACCTGATATGTCCCGGTCAACCGCCATATCCGCTTCCGCCAGACTTTATCCACAACTGCAGACCCGCGACTACGCCGCCAAAGCCCACAACGACGACCAAGAGAGCACCAACTACTACCTCAGCGAGTAAAAATGTCACAGAGGGCGGGGAAAGTACCGAAAGCAATGAAGAAGGCAGCGAGGAAAGCGGAGAAACCAAAAGGAACCGGCACGGTTATCGTAAGTGACCGTTTGTTGTTCTCTGATTTTTTTCCGTTGGCTGCAATGTTGCTTAGCCAAATTCCGCAGGAAATTCGGATTCGCACAAGAAAACGAAAAAAATAGATCCGACGAAGACAAACGAACGAAAACACGTGCTACGTCGAGAAAGGGTATTAATCAAGAAACACATTAAAGAGAAAATATTCCCCAGCGAGAGAGTGAGATTGGACGGATGTTACGTCATTTGTTCGGAGGCACCATATGGTAATCCGGGCGTGCCTCAGGGTTCGGTTGTCAATCCCGGTTCAAATGATCCTGATATCCACTACATAGAAGGGGGCGACTCGCCAATAGATATTATCTACATACCGCCCGTCCTACAACAGCCGCCTCCGCCGCCGCCGCAGAGGCCACCCGGCGACTTCTTCGGCTTACCCAATCCTATCCCCTTCATCCCCAATCCTTTCCCTCAGCCCCCGTTTTTAGATTTTATTCCGCCTATTTTTCAAGGTACGTAGATCTAAGGTCGATCGGCTCGAGGTGATTTTCTCTATTTTCGCTTTTAGAGAAAAGAAATAGAAACAAAGTACACACGTCCAAACAAGGGAAGTCGCACGGCGAGCCAATTGAAATTCACCACTGACCATACAACCGCTTCCAATATTTTATATTTATTATCACTATTTTATATTGCAAAGAGAGGGGGCAGTTTTACCAGAAGATAATAAACGATTTTTGATTTAACCGTCAGTTAACGCGAGTAGTGACGACATAAAAAGTGCGACACAAATTTTTACAATGATATGAGGCCAAGATAAATGTAAACGCAATATGTATTGCATAGTACTCATATAAATAAAATGTACCTACTAATTTTACTAATATACCTACCTAATATAAATTTGGCAGATAAATTTACCAGCTATTTTTTCTCAAATATATGAACATAAAAAGTGCCAATGGACAATTTGTATGAGTGCTTAATAAACGAGTGAGATAAAGAGTTTACCATACGTGTTGCATACTATACTTTTTTCTACAACCATTACGAAAAAATGACAATTTAACAAATTAAAAATAATAATAGATTATCGGACTACTAAATTTCATATCATTCTAACAACAAATTTACTAGTGGCCATTAAACCTATTCGTTTATCGTTCCGATCGGTTCTGCTCTTTTTAACTGTCTACGTTAGACAGAGAGAGATGTATTATTGCATATGTCATATAAACAACGGAATAATAATATATTATGCACCAAGTGCGGTAAACGGCATTTGACTCACGAGTTTATTTGACACGAGCGGAGCGAGTGTTTAATAAGCGAGTGAATTAAAAAGTTTACCGAACATGTTGCATACTATACTATATACGGTTAGTTTTTGGGTACATTTTGGCAAAACAACACAAATACATTCACTGACATGACCGTCAGAATTGACAAACGTCAAAATTCAAAGCGTGGGAAATATCTCCGAAAACATCCGATTGCGGTAAAATCCCGGAAATGTCCGAAGTGGCTCGAATCCATGAAAAACGAAACTGAGATTGTAAAGTGACACTTTCCGCATGTGAAAGTATTTTACCGACGGGAATAGAAAAATATGCAGGGCCAAATAAACCAGTAAAAGAAAAAACCAAGAAAATTGAAACTCAAGTCAATAAACAATTTGTTTACTGTATGTGTAACCTAAATTATCCCTAAATGTAAGAGAACTGCACAGAAATTATTTTTAGAAAATACATAAATTAATATAATTTATATTAAATATATTATATTATAAATATATATATTAAATTTTATTCAGAACTTCAAACATCCTCTTTTCTCTCATTTCTGCTATAATATGGTCGATAAAAACTTTCTTGCAAAAAATTTAGCCAAAACTAGGTAAACAAAATTCCACCAAAATAATCAAGCCCTGTTTGCTCGAAAAAATTGCACGGTATCTACCATCAAAAAATTGCCAGTTAAAAATATATAAATTTTTAAAAATTCGTATCTGCTAAAAAATTCATGTAGAAATTGCATCGTGTCTACCGGGCTCAAACTGTATTATTTTCTTTTTTCTTCTTCACTCTTTCTATTGGCCACAATTGATAGGACGTACGCGGACGTTTCCAATAAGGGTTAATAAAAGCCAAGGGAAACACTGTTTCATTTTTATTTAAATAAAGAAAAAAAAGCGGTTAGTGTAGAACATGGAATACGGCACAAATAATTCACAAAAAAAATTGTGTAAATTTCTAATGAGCCGCAAAATCAAAAAAAAAAAACCTCCTCAACCTTTGCTATCGTCCTGAGCGTTGGCCCCTTCCTCGCTGATTTGTTGGATGTAGTTTAAAGCATTCTCGTACGCCTTCTTCACTGCCTTCCTGTCCGACTGTTTCCTCGGCTCGTTTGCCTACCACACGAGACGGTTACTTCGACGGAACATCCTCCGCACACGCTTTAACTCACCTTAAGCTCGTCCTTTTCGGTATCCTGGCCCATAATCTCCAACTTCTCGGCTGGCAACCACTGCCAGGTCCTTTTCGCGTCGAAGAACAACACCAAGTAGACATGCTCGGTAAACTTGGACTCCAAATCCAACACCTCCTGGGGCGGAGACGGCAGCGGCACCCCCTTATGGATGAAACCTTTGGGCATGTCGGGATCGATGATGAGCGCCGGGTACCATGGGTATCCGCGGCACTTGGCCCAAACGAGACGCAATGGACGTAGCGCCCCCTCGTCCGTCGATTGCGCCACGACCTCGCTGTCCTCGTCCTCTTCGTCACTCTCGATTTCGCTGGGATCGTGCGAATAGCAAGTCGACAGGCTCGCGTCGCTGTCATCGCTCTTCTCGTCGTCAGAGAGCGTCTGTCTACCGGCGCGGTAAACCTTCAAGAAGTGAACATATTTTTTCAAGTAAAAAAAAAGACGGCATCTCAAGTCTCAAACTCTTGAGGCAGGTGATATTTTTGATACACCTTATATATACAACGAGACGCAATACGGATCACTCGATTTGGCAGGGTTAGCCGGGCGCCATTTTGAAAGCGGACATTAGCCCAGGAATCGTCCAACAAAATATTTGAGACCAATTTTATAACACTATGTATACACAATGCGACGTTTAGGTGGCTTTCGGCCGTAACGGTTGACGGGAATGACATTGGTAATTAATCCGGTGACATTTTACGCGCACGTACCTTGAAACTGTCCGGAATGTCCGAATTGTCCTTGGCAGCGGCGCTGGCTCCGTCCGGGGCGGTGGTTGCGTCCTCGCGTGGCTGGGACCGCCTCCCGCGACCCTTTTTCCTAAAAGGAGTCCCGCTTCTCAATTAAAACCTACTTCGAAAATATGCGGCGCTCAAAAGTTGCGTCATGAATACTACTGTTGACATTTTGGTGAAAATCAACCAAAATTAAAACTTGAGTGGAAGTAGTAATCGACCAAAACAAAAAACCCCACTCCTCTACATAAGTGCGACTACTCACTGTTTAGTGGGCGTCGAAGGGGGCGTGTCAGTCTCCGTCTTCTCCTTACCCTCGTCCTTTTTCAGCGCTGCTTGCGCCTTCTTCGTGAACAAAACCGCCGTGCGGCGGTTAACCCCGCTCGGGGAGACACCTGAAACACGCCCCGATCAGACCCGTGAGATCGGCGACCACGCCCCCTACTTGCTGAGTTGGTCGAATCGTTCCGCGCGTCGTTCTCGCCGTCCGACTGTGACGTCAGGTCGGTTTCTTCGCTCTGCGATGCCGCGGCTAGACTTTTCCTCGCTTTGTTTAGCTCGCTGCGCACGCACTTGACCCGTTTGGCACGCGCGAGACCGTGCTTGAGGGCCTGGCTCTTCGCGAGTAGCTCTTCCAGCTTAGACACGACGTCTGCGCCTGATTTGCCGCGCAGCACTTCTAATTCTTTGTCGATGTCCGAGGCGAGAGACTCTTCGCCGATACCGTTACCGTTAGGCGTCGGGTTTTTATCAGTAGGTAGCAGTCCTACGCTTTCCAACTCCTTTTTCGCGTGGCGAAATATCACCCCACACTGATCCCTCATCTAGGGATGACGAGATTAATTGCAAAATTTTTAAACATGTTTCATTGAAAATGAGTAAGTGCATAGATTTCCAAAATTTCAGGCCAAAATCAGTTGGTCTATGGCGAGTAGTTCAAATGCACCTCGTGCCTCTGTTCAAAATCAACTGACTTATTAAAAAAAAAACCTGTGAGTGGATATACCATCGAGTATTCAATTAACTAAAATTTAAAAAAATCATTTTGCTGTTTGCGTTTTATTCAAATAAAATCCTACCTAACAATTAGGCAATCCCGAACACCTAGTTCCCTATATCTTTCCAGCATGTCTTCGTTAAAAATTAATATGTGCAAAAAACGCGAGTAGTTCAAACGTCCTCACCTTAATCGCCGCCCGATAAAACACGGTATCCTTGTTGTTGTACGCCAGACAATTGGCAATCATCAAATCGAAATCCTTCTCCATGGCGGCTAGGTCGGAGTAGAGGCCGTCGCGCAACTTCCTCCTCATCGTGCTGAGATCCATCGGTTCCGAGACGACGGTCGTGTAATCCGGCACCTCCTCGACGTCCACCGGCTCGGTAAAGATCTCGTTCGTGTCTTTGGCTTCGATAGCGTCTAGCACCTTCCCTAGGCTAGCCTCGAGTGGTTTCAACTTTACCCGCAGCACTTTCTCACTGACTCTCGTATACTCGAGCTTCATCTTCTCCCGTTTCCTCACGAGCTCGCAGAGTAACCTCGCGCGTTCCAGGTCCTGCCTCAGACACTGCCAGTATTTGAGCTGCCTGCACAATTCCCTGATGTCGACGTTGCCCGTGTTCGAGTCTCTGGCGCCACCCTGAGCGCTCTGCAACCGTCGGAGAAGCGGCACCCCGTTACGGTACTGCCGTTTGAGCGTCCAGTACGCTATCAGGCGTTGGATAAAGTGCGACCTCTTGGGAATCGTCACCAGCGACGCGATCTCCTGGATCCTTTCGGGCGGTATCATCGGCATCAGTATCACCGGCGCGGAAGTACGTTTCTTCGCCAAAACTTTCCGCGCCTGGATCATTTTCTTTCTCGGATCGTCTTTCTTTAGGTCGGCAGATTCGGTAGGCGCGTGCGTGTCACAGTAAGCGATCTTTTGCACCAATACCGGTTGACCGGCGACTTCGGCGCCTTTAACCGCGTCCATTTTCATGTAAAGGCCGGCCTGTTGCGCGCAGGTCACGTGGAACGCCGAGTAGCAGCTGTTCCGGTGACATTGGATGCACGCGCCCACCCCTTTCTGCTTGCAGACGTAGCACGTGAGACGCCATCTAGCGGCCGGTATCGTTTCTATCGAGTCTATCGGTTCGAGGAACACGGTATTGGCGAATCGGACCTCGGGGATCCACAGGGCGCAGACTACGTGAGCCCAGGTGCCGCGATCGGTTTGTTTGAATGCTCCGCCCTGGTTCGGGCACAGATCGCAGTCGACCGCACGGCTTGGCGATTGCAAGCAGCGCCGACACAGCCACTGACCTTCCGGGATGTAGGGCACACCGTAGCAGTCCTGGTGTACCGCCAGGTTGCACATGTCACAGAAGAGGATGACGTTCGTGTTTTGGCACTCACCGTCCATGCAGATGCAGCAAACGGCATCGTCGTCGACGACAGCGCCGCTGGAGTGTCCGTTGACCGACGCCTAGGGGGAGCAAGGATAATAAAAGCTGCGAACTAATGTCCGCCACAAATACTTTAGACCAGCGGTCGCCAACCACTTCTGATAGCTCTCACAACGATGTTAATTTTAAAAATACAAACTGCAGAAATCAGAGAAGCTTCAAAATTCCACAAAAGAATCAAATTGTCATAATATTAAAGATAAAGAGCGGCAACGTTGCGGTGAGCGATCTGCCGCAAGGAATTAGCTAGAACCGACCAGCCGGACCAGCGCGTTAGTGTTCGATAGCGTTCTGGATTGTTTTGAACGGGATAAATACGCACGGCGCGGCGACATTGCGCTTAGTTTAAAACTGAACGCATAATCAACGTCCAGCGGTTGGGCTAGTAGAGGACAACAAAAAATAATATTATGGCAAGCAGTAGTAAGAAGATAACCTAACCTAACCTAACCTAACCTAAAGGTTATGTTATGTAATACATCGGCCTCTGTTGCTAAAAAGGGAAATATTGAGAGACATCATGTAAGTCGTGTCCCAGTTAATTGCACAAAAAATAAACCTTATTAAGACGGGGAAATGATAAAACAGGCGTTTTTAGAAGCTGCTGATTCGTTATTTGCCAACTTTAGAAATAAAGACTGCTAATGATGAGACGTGTAGAAGTAATGAGCAATGATATTTTTTTACAGTTAATAAATGACTTAGATAACTGTGTTTATTTTTCACCTCATCAAGATGAGCCAACAGGTGTGGTCGACACTGTCCAAATCAGGATGGTTTTTAGTGATTTTACGATTAAAGAAGATCTTTTGAAGTTTATTCTACTGAAAGGACACACTACTGGACAGCAGTTGTTTTCTCATTTAAAAAATATTATTTCTTCCGGGAAAATTCCAATACCGAAAATGGTAGGCTTGACAACCGATGGCGCTCCAGCGATGGTGGGTTGTGATAAGGGTCTGGTGGCGTTTGGTCGTAAAAATGTAGGTTTTCCGCAATTTCTCTATTACCACTACATTATCCATCGGCAAGCATTATGTGGAAATTTTCTGAAACTAAACAACGTTACGAAAGTGGTGGTAAAAATGGTGAAGAACATTAGAGCTCAAGCATTACAAAGGACATTATTCAAAACCTTGGCCGATAAAGTTGAGTGTCAACACGAGGATCTACTCCTTCACTCTAAAGTCCGATGTTTAAGTAGAGGACCTTTTAATGATGTAATGATGGTATAGTTCAATTTAAACAACACGATGAACCGACTCCGGAACTAGAAAATTCAATCTGGCTTAGAGATTTTGGTTTTCTTGTGGACATTACAGAGAAATTAAACGAACTTAATTTGCAGCTCCAGGGGAGAGACAAAGAACTAACGGAAATGATGAAATATCAAAAAGCTGGAGTTTTGGGAGCCAAACCTAATTAACAGCGATACCAAGCATTTTCCTATTCTTTCAGAAAAGATATCCCAAAATCCATTAGAGCCCTATGACAGCAAATATGTAGAAATAGTATCTACTCTGAAGGATAACTTCAAAAATCGTTTTAAGGATTTCAACGAAATGGCTTTAGTAGCGCAGTTTGTTGTTTCACTCTTTATGAAAATTGAATGAGTTTGAGACTTGTGTTATGCAAAACTTTTGCGAAGACATCGCTGCAACAGAAATGGAAGTAATTGAGTTTCAAAATGATTTAGCCTTAAAATCGTTAGTCTCAACTACCAAATGTATCTGGCCCATTGTAAGTAAAGACAAATATTCAGTTCTATGCCGTGTTGCCTTGAAAGTGAAAGCATTATTCAGTTCACTCTATTTGTGTGAATCTTCTTTTTCCAATATGAAGTTTATTAAAAACAAATATCGCAACCGACTTACAGATGAAATTAAATGTTTGTTATTCGAAACTGAAGTTTCTTCCGGCGCCATCTGCAGTCGAAATGGGAACATTTTAAAAATAGCAGAAAATGAGGTCTTCCGCCTCCAAGTAAAGTTTTAGAAGCAATTCAGAACACTCACATGCCTAAATGTCATTGCAGGTGCAATAAAATATTTGTTTAAAAAACAGCAAATGGTACCAAAAAACATATTTTTTAAAATTTAGTCTATGGTTCTAAAAAACTTCACTATAAATTTAGTATTACAGTTACAAAATTCAAATTATTTAAAAAACATCTTAAGGGTTACACAAAATAAGCCTTATTAATGCAGACATTTTACATTTTTCAAATATTCCAAAATTACTAAACAGATTAGCACATAAACCAAAACTTTTAAAAACTGTGTGGAAGCCACATACTTTAGCCACAATTTTTGTTATCACTGTATAGCGGATCAATAGCGAATCTGACCAGTGACCATTAACAGCTTTTGTGTTCTTTTTTTCCGATGGTGGCGCTGCTGAAAGTAAACAAAAGTGGCCCTATGAAAGTATTATTTCCTTCATAAGCAACACTAAAGTATTATATTACTGACTATCTAAAACAGTCTAAGTCGTTGAACATCCACCAGAGTGCTACACGGCACAACAATAGACAACAACATCTAAGAGATTTTTCTCTTATAACGCTATTAAAGTTTATAATGATATGCCTGCTAAGTCGTTTATAAATAGAAATAATCAATTAAGTTTCTTTTTTTTTTTTAATGATGTACGATTGTTTAATTATAATTCTTACGTTTTCTTAAGGGTGGTTAGATGAACAGCTATGCTGGATCCCACCACTAAGTGTCTTTATTTATTGTATAATGTATCCCTACGGTACCAAAACGACATTTTGACTTGAATTGAATGGAATTTGGGTTCTGATAACAGTTTCTGTAGTGTATGACTTTTGCAAAACAACAATAGCAATGAAATCAAGTTTATCATATTTAAATTGTAATGTGGAAAGCGGCTGAAAAAAAAAATTAAAATAAAAGCACTAATTCTGAAATTTAGGGCTAATTAAATTTTGTCGACGGTCAAGTATACACTTTACTTGTAAAGCTGGTTTGTAGGGACGTTGGAAATATATTGCTACAGCCCTTCTACAGTGTGCCCAGATGGGTTTTAAAAAAAATTACATTCGTGCGTGACATCCATCAATTTGTGTTGTTGCTGGATTTGAAAACGCTAAGCTTTTCCTTTAATGTCAATGACGCGCGATACTAATGATACTAAACGAAATATTTTTTTATTAATATTAATAAAAACCATGCAACACAATCATGAAACTCATATTCTCGGAATTTGGCTTTATGCGGAACATATGTAATTACCTGAAAGTATGATTCTTTTTCCAACCTGTCCATGAGCAGTTCCAGAACGTCAACGCTGACGGGCGCAACTCCCATCGCTTCCCTTCATACATAACATTACACATTACATTACACTTTACAAAGTGACACAATTTCTTAGAAGTCAATATCCTTTTGCTTATTGAAGAAGCTTGTTTTTGATTAAAAAAAATTGTTTTTTCATAGACTGTTGGATAAATATTAAACTTGCGAAACCTAAAATCTGTGAATATTATACTATAGTATATATAACAGAATATAATCTTTTCGAAAATTTCCAGGACCAAACAAACATTATTTTATTGACTGTACATTTGAACTACTCTTCAGTTGTGTTTTTTCACTATTAGGATTAAATGAGAAGGTTGGGACTGATATTTTATATGAAAAATGTGTTTTAGTAAAGAAACAAAAAAAGCTAAACAACCCTAAAATCTATACCTCTTATCGTTCATCAGTGCCAACCAAGCGGTATCTTCCTCATCGACATCGTACTCGACCTCACCATCCAACTCTTCCGTGCTCTTTTCGATAAACCTTATATAAGCGTTAGGCCTCGGTGGGGCGTCGCATATATTATAATCTTCAAGTTCTTTAAAACTCGCTTCCGGCAGTTGGACAACGGGTTCTGGGATTTCGGGTTTCTCTTCCTTAATTTCGGGCTTCTCCTCGGGCGGTGGTTCCTCCTTCGCCATTACAGGCAGACTGTCGTTAATATTCCATCGACACGTCACCCCATTTAACTCAAACTGTACCATTTTCTGCGCCTCTTCGAAGGTAAGAGGCTCCGGCGTCGCAATTGTGACGGGTATTATGTTAGCCTGTTTCGGTCGGTTCCTGCCCTTTTTGTTTTTCGGGGTCGCCGGTGTCGTCGGCGACAGCGGCGTCGGACTGTCGTGATTGTAACTCTAAAAAAATCTAAACCTGTGAAACAGTAACTGGCACTGCTCCGCAAATACAAAAGTTGAATCATTTTGTTTAATAATAAATGCGCGGAAACCGCACATGCGATTTTTAAATCGATGTATTTCCCTCCGCTTATGAGTGAATTATTTAGTAACCGCCGGTATAAAAGCTTTGGGGCGGTCGATTACCTTCAGGTGATACTGAAGTCCGCATACGGTCTTGTAGCTCCGTCCGCATTTTTCGACCGGACAAGCGTACGGAGGACCGTGATCTGCTCTGACTTTTTTACAATGCTCCAAAATATCGAAGTCAATACCCATGATAGTTACAATATAAACATAGGTGGCTTATATACAAATAATAAACACCTTTCTTGACAATTGACAAGTTTAAAAAGGAAGAAGACCTGGTTCACTTTACTGTCAGCGTCAGATTTGTATTGAAGTTTCCAGAGTGATCCGGATAGTTTGACTCGAAAGCTTTTAGACGGCGTTAATTGTTTTGAGTTCATCCAAGTATTCCTGTTGATTTCATACCAATGCCGGGAATAGAGAAACAGCCGGAAATAGCCGGGGCCATATGCGCGGTCCCAGCAAGTCAGTCGAACGATGATAGAGCAGTTCAACCAAGACAACCCACAAGTTTGCAGGGATTGTTGCGGTTTTGCGTTGAAGCGACGAAATCAGAGGACGCCCCCAGTGGTTCCCAATTTCAACCGATGGACGAGGACAGACGCAAGTGGCTCGAAGAGGCATTGAAGTCAATGACTGTGGACGTTATCGAACTACTTCAAAAACAAATTAAAATTCTGCAGGATATGGACAACGTTGAAGCGGAAGACGACGTCACGAAGTACGAAGAAGCGATTGCCATTATCCTAGATCACGTTGATCACTTAGATATTGCTTGTGGTTTGTGTGGCCAAGGTTCTACTCAAAATTCATTTCATCCATCAGATTTTAGATTTTCACAAAATCGGAGGTTTTATGGTACTATATCCCTGCCTCAAGTCGAAAAATGCGAAAATTAGAGCGGGAGGATGTGAACTACTGGCTGTACTGTGTCAGAACAACCCTTATTGTCAGCAGGTTGTTCTTGATAATGAATTCATACCAAAATTGTTGAATATGTTAGAGAAAGATGAGGATCCGCTGGTGGGGTTGAAAGCCTTGTATGCATTAAGCGGTATGTTACTTTGTGGAGCATCATGGAGTGTGGCTTATTTGTGGTAATCATTTTCAGCAATTGTAAGACATTGTCAGGAGGGTTTCAATCAATTCATTCACTATAACGGCCCCGCTATTTTATTAAAAACGCTCGGCAGGGCCGAGAGCCACAAATTTATAACCAAGGCCACATTTTTGTTGAAAAGTTTATGCGATTCCCAGCCTGACTTTAAAAGTAAGTACTTGATAATGACTCACTTAAAGGGGTTATTGAAACTATGTAGTTTCATATTATACAGGTTGTCCGCCACTATTTTTAAGGGAAATAAACTTCCGATACTTTCTGGGACAACTTGTGTACTATTAAGACCTAACCTTACTTCACAATTGACTTTAATTTTCTAATATCTAACAAGTTTATAATGATAAAGAGCAAACAAAAATACATTTTTACGCGATGCTCTCCATAACCTCATATGGGAACCACTTGGAACTCTCGATGGCATCCCACAGGTTACAGTCTTGGTCGATCTTCTCGCGATTCATTTTGTCGATGTCCAATGGTAACGAGTGATCAATCAGTTCCAGTTCGTCCTCTTTCTTGCTGCCGTCCTGCTGCACCCCGTACACTTGATCCTGTCCTTGACCTTGACCTTGGTCGTAGTACCCTTGGGTCTGCCAGGACGCGTAGTTTTGCCAATAAGAAGATGGATCATAGTATTGACTATAATCGCTAGACGTCGCGGTGGTCAACGTTGGACTTTGCGCAGTAGGCGCGTCGCCTAGTGCTCCCTTCGGTTTAGGCACAGCATTTGATATTTTTAAAGCTTTCGTGCCCAAACCAAGGTACCCGTTCATTGTAACGAGGCTGTCTTTCATCTCATCTTCAGAACCGAACCTAACAAATCCGTAACCTTTGCTAAACCCGCTACTGTCTAAAATTACTTTCGCCGTTTTGATGGTGTTGTATTTGGAACTAAATACGCGGTATAAATTGTAATCATCAACGTCAGGACTCAAGTCGCCCACCCACACTGAAAACTCGCGATCGAGGAGGGTCCGACCCGCGTTATTGCTCGCGTTATTTAGGCGGAACCGTACCACGGGATTGGTACCAGGTATCGGTTTCGAATTTAACTTGTGCATAGCGTCTATAGCTTCTTCGTCGTTGGCGAAGTGAACGAAACAATAACCGGCAGGTTCGCCCGTGAATTTGTTGCGCATCACTTTGACGTTTAACGGATTTTCGCCCATTTTGCGGAACGAGTTTATGATAAAACTCTCCGTCATGTAGGGTTCCAGGCTCCCCATCCACAGCTGGCAATGTACCATGTTCGTCATTTTTGTTGATAGTGATAGTCCGATCAAACCCTAACCTACAAAAAATTTTAAGGTCGTTTGGTGTTTTTGGAGTACGTGCCGGCTTTAATATCGCTCGTCATCGGAGATAGGCGGCCTAGTGACGAACATGTTTTGTCATTGTTAACTTCGTTGTTGGAAGATAGCGCCACTGCAGTCAACGAATGCAAAAATCTACGTTATAACTTGAACGACGCCTTACAAAAACGCGTAGCTTCGATCAAAGATCAACCCGAGCACATGGTAAGTTGTGGTTGGGGGTTAAAATCATTGATCACAGAATTTTTTTTTTAGGAAGAAGAGCAGGCGTGTCGGAGGATACTTCAGTTAGTTTTCGGGTGGCGTTAGTGCCTATTAGTGGATGTAAATATTTATTAAATAAACTATTTTATATCACACCGTCTATATCGTTACTGAATGACTAAATTAACTAATTTCGAATTAGGCGATTACTAAAACTCAATTTTAACCAATCTTCATTTTAAAAAAATGCAGGCGCTGATAAGTAGCAACAAAGTTTTCTGAATCGATAAAAAATAGTGGAGATAACCCACAACACTACATACTTTTTTTGCTAATTTGATTTGATTTGTACGTCTGTTTCTATAGATTCACTCCTTACTCTGCTATTTACTAAATAAAAACGACACGGGTACCCACCAAACAATGAAGTTAACACTTAACACCTATTTTAATACGTACCTGAGATATATCTAACCGAAAATGTGAAAAAGTATTTCTCCACATACGCGACAACAAAGTTTATCGAAAATTTCCTAATATTTGGAATAAAAACAAACTCCCAATATCCATTAGGTTAACGTCAACAATGGCCATAACCTGGCGGGGTGGAGGTGGCGTAAACGCCAACCAAAGAAAAAATTTGGTCCAACCAAAGAATAAAATCAATCTCACAAAAAATAAATAATAGTTTTTTTTTGGTATTTATCTGTGCAACAATTGTTTTGTATCAAGACATGCGGTTTAAATTATATTTAATAGATAAAAAACCTATCTTTTACAAATATTATCCACTCATTCATAAAATAAGAATTGGGAAGCACAGGACAGAGCAATATTTTTGTAATCTACGAACTGTGGAATATGAAATAATTTATATCAAGTTTTTAAATCAAAATTATTAAAAATATACAACACTGACATCTATTAACGGACATGAAACATCCTTGATCGTTAATTTCACCGCGCCTACTATCCTTTGCGATAATTTTCGCCCGTTTTGATTTCTTTTTATTCTATTTTATTTAACTTCGTCCCCGAATCTCTTTGTCTGCCCGTCTCGTCTTCTTTTCGCTCGATTTTTGTTATTTGACGAATAGCGTAAATGTTTATTCCCCGACTGTACCAAACCGGCAAATTGCAAATGGCGGGGATCTATATATAAATATTATATTTAGATTTGTTGCAATATTTTTAGTTTACCGCAAAATTTTCTATTTCTCGGCGTTTTTAAGTGTTTGTTAAACGATTTACTCAAAATCTGGTAAGTTTTCAAACCCGTTTAAGTTACCAAACGGAGAAAAGTCCGTGTTGTTTATATTTCGCCCAGCATTTCGATGCATCCCTTACGAATCCGTGAGTAAATATTACGGGGAGCTGAAGCAATCGAGGACCTACGTCAGCCGTCTTACATGTTTCTAACGTACGTTCTTAGGCAGTGTTTTGTCGCAAACTTGTGTCTTGGATAGGTTCGGCGAGGCAATATAATTATTTAAGTGAACCTTTTTGCATTAAAGTTTTTATTGATCATTTTCGTGTGATTTTTGTTGAGTGAGTGCGGTCGGTAGGCGTTTGCCACCTCTCGAAGGTATTTATGACGTTTCGCAGTGATTTTCTGTAACAATTTTACGCTAACGGCGCCGGGAATGTTGTTTTTGTTGAAAAAATATCCATGCCATTATTTAGGGGTTAACCAATATGGCGAAGCTTGCTTTTTATATAATGTTTATTTTAACAATTGTTATTTTTAAGTGAAATCCAATACCCTCCGTCGTTAGTCGCGCGAAAAGTGTGCCCTCGAAAAATAATTTTCGTGGATATTTCGATTTTCGTCGTGATAAATTTGTTCAACAAACGACAATCTCGTCGGGCTAATTATAACGTACGTCGTTCGTCGCCCGCGAATATTACGGGCCCCCTGGAAACCGTTTTCCTCAAGATTTCCACGTTAAGGTTATGTTTTGAAGGATTTTTTTTCTTTTGCCGGTCTTGAGGTTGTTTTGACGAAATCTTATGCACGCGATAAGAGTTTATCTCGGTCCGCCAGCGGGAGAGAGAGAGACGGCGCCACCTGCTCTCCCGCGGAGATTTGTTTCTTTTTTTAGTTTTGTTGCGTCGGTTATTATTTTGTTGTAAATAAATGGTCGTCTTTTTTTTTAAATCGCGCCGAGTCAATTTTTTATCGATTTGGTCGGTTGAGATGTGCGTTGCAATTTTTGTTCTGCATCGCGTTAAGGACGTAAGACGTACACGGCCTTATTGATTTTTGTTTATTATAATTTGGCGGAAATTCTTGTAATACCCACGGATCGGTTATTTTTAATTTTGTGGTCCGTTGCGCCCGAAGCGTTGTCCGTTGTCGATGTGTGTGTTAAAAAATTGTTAGCAACATATTGCGTAAGTGGATTTTTTTGGCAGTTGGTTTATTTTATTTTTAAATTGTTTTTGATTTATTTATATAGCCCGCCGATATGTATGTGTGTGTGCGCGCGATTTGCGCAAAATATTTTTAGTCGTAGTATGCAGACGCGTGTCCGAATATTGTTTTATCGTTGATGCCGTGCTTGTATAAGTGAATTATTTCTGCGTGGGTAGCTTTTCGATTTCACCGCGATAGCCTTAAAATTGTTTTTTTTTTAAGTTTCGATTTGTTTCTTGCCGATAAATTGGTGAACGCGCAGGTTAGACCGGGTTCCGTGAAATGGTGGACGCGCCGGGCAGTGTCGTTATAATTTTTGTAGGCATGTGAACGGGATTTTTGAAAATTTCGTTTATAGATTTCGGCGAAAACGATCGTTTTGTTAAGTTCGACCGGATCTGTTGCCCTCGCTGGAGCCTACCGACCCGAATTCGATGCCCCGACCCTGAACTCGACAGGAATCTTGGGAATCGGTCAAAATGGTCACCCCGCCACCTCAACAGTTCTGTGTTAGGTAAGTCACGGGATATAGTGCTTTCACGAGAAAAAAGGTTTAATTCTCTCCACTCTCATGGCATGCGGATCGGGGGTTTTAGTCAATATATTTCTTTATCTAAAACAGTTGTTGTGTTTCAAATTGGCCTTTATTTAATTAAAATTAAAATGTGGACAAACAAAAAAAACGTAATTAAGTAATTAATAATAAGTACAATTGGGGCTCATTCAGTTATTAAGAGTCATTTCTTCTATACTTAATTCTAATAACAATAAACCAAATGTTATCAAAAAGTACATAAACATATCAGAATTCTATCAAATTACTTGATCATGCTAAAATTATAAAGGAATGTTAATTATTGATTATTCACTGATTTTTATAATATGTATTATAGTTAATCTATTTTATTCAAGAAATTTAGTTAACAACTTTGGCATATAGTTATAATTACGCCTCCTCCATATATATTCTACATATATTGTTTACATGGTTGATTAGTTAGTTACTTGATGAATCATAGGGAAATACTTCCTTAAATATTGCTTACATTTCGGTGGATAAACCGACTAATTTCTATGGCTTACCCATATTTTTCCTTGGAACATTTTCTTGGTAGGTTTACTGCTTATATTTTAACCATTCCATTCCATGTCCACTTGACCAGAGTTTTATAGTGAAATATGATCTGGTACTTCCGTGTATATTCATTTTAAATAGTAAACAATTTCTTTTTTTCCTGCCTCACTGGCAAACACCTGATTTGCTTGGACGTCCACGGTAGTGCTGCCAAGGAAAGTCGTAATTTAATTTAATTTAATTTATTTAGTTGTTACGAATCTTTCAAATAATCGCTTCATAATAAATGGTCCTTTTAAAAATATACCTTTTATCAATAAGCAATTAATTGAATTCAATCCGACAGCGGCTAAATTATGTACATATTTTCTTTAAATAAATAATTCGTTCGCAAAATAAATTCGGACCGCTAGTATCATTGGAAGTATGGGGCAAATATCTGAGGAAGTACTCTTTTTACCTTTCTCACACCTGGCCCTGAGCGACATACCGGCGTTGTCTTCAGCCATCATTTTGCGGATTTAGGATTAAATTCACTTAGATGGGCAGCGATTTGGTGCTGTTCGTTTTTTTTTTTTTTTTTGAGAACTTCCCACACTTATTATGTAAGAGAATTGGACGTTTACCTTCTGCCCACCAAGTTTTCAACCTCAAGAAAATCCACCGAGGATCTTTAGAGCACCCGTATTCTCCTTGGAACGCCTGCACTCTCTTTGGAGCGCCCATACTCTCCTTGGAGCACTGTTTTGGCCCGTGGTTTGGAAGCACCGTGGCAGTATATTCTGGGAGGATCAAACTTCGAAGTTCCTGTGTTATCGTGATATTGGAGCTTGAACCATTCCCTCACCACCGACCAATTATTTTCTTTTTTTACTCCCCTTAACTTACACAACCATTGTTCCAATTGAAATTTAATAAACATCGGGTTCTTCGGGTCATCTGAGAGACTGGAAGGTCTACTACTTTCTGGCGCCCTAAGGTTAAATAGTGTTATATTTGTTTATTGTTTGTGGAACCTTCCCATCGCTCCAGAACTCTGAGCACTACGGGTAATTAATTTCTTTTAAGTTCATTTTTATCTATCTATTTATTTTTTTTGCCTTTTCCCCCCTTTTCTTATCATAATTATTTTATTTAATTTTTGTTTCATTTTCTAAAACGCATTTCGCGTTGCTTTTATATATAGTTAATATCAGGAGGTGCGTGGCAATCAATAATAATCGAGTAACCATAATAAGTTTCAATTTTTCAAATAATTTTAATTTATTACACGATAAAAAGAAGCACACTTAAAGTAATTAAGAAGCGAGACAGTGTTGTTTTGAGGAATGCATACGCGGCACAATCGAAATTGTGATCCATTATAATTTTTCGAAATGGAATTTTAAATTAGGAAGCACTTCGATGACCTTTAAATAGCATAGTTTATTTTTTTAAAAGTATTTCATTTTAATGCCTCCACCATCAGGGCGATACCTTGCCCGCCGCCTATGCATGCCGACCCGATCCCGTACTTGGCCTTCCTCCTCCTCAACTCGTGCACCAAGTGAGCCATGATCCGGCTCCCCGAAGCGGCGAGGGGATGCCCCAAGGCGATGGCACCGCCGTCGACGTTTAATTTCTCCAAGTCCAACCCCAAATCTTTGGCGCACGCCAGTGTTTGTGCGCCGAAGGCTTCGTTAATTTCCACCAGGTCGATGTCGTCTAACGTCTTGCCGGCTGCCTTGAGCAAAGTCCTGATGGCGGGCGCCGGCCCGATCCCCATTATCGACGGCTCAACCCCCACTATCGAATACCCTACGATCCGCGCCAGCGGTTTGAGGTTATGCGCCACTGCGGCTTCGTCGGTGGCGATGACGACGGCGCCGGCGCCGTCGCATATCCCCGACGCCGAACCGGCCGTTACTAAACCGTCCTTTTTAAACACCGATGGCAGCTTCTTGAGTCCTTCGATGGTACTTTCGGGTCGCGGGTGTTCGTCCACCGTCAGCTCCATTTCCGCGTTTACCCGCACCGGTACCATTTCCTCCGCGAACCTGCCGCCATCTTGCGCCGCCTTCCAACGTTTTTGCGACGTCAGAGCGTACTCGTCCACCTCGTCGCGTGTGATGCCGTACCGCTCCCCTAGAACTTCGCCAGTCATCGCCATAGATAGGCCGCAATACGTGTCGGTCAAGGTCACCCACAAGGTGTCGTCCATGACCGGGCTCGTACCCAGAGGGATCCCGTGACGAATACCGCGCACCATGTAAGGAGTGGCCGACATGTTTTCCACGCCCCCGGTCAGTGACACTCGAGCCGCTCCGGTCAGTAAATCCTGCACCCCGCACACAATCGCCTGAAACCCTGAACCACACAGACGGTTGACCGTCATCGCCGTCTTCTCCGTAGGCACGCCGGTCCGCAGAAGGACGTGACGCCCGAGGAAGATACCGTCGGGGGCGTTGCTCGAATGCACGTTGCCTATGACGACGGTGTCCACGAGATCTGGGCTGATGGTGGCGGAGGCGAGGGCGGCTCGAGCTGCCATCGTCTGCAGGTCCGCCATCGGAACGTTTTTCAGTTTGCCACCGTTTTTACCGAACGCCGTACGTTTCGCGGCGACTATTACCACGCCTTTAACGAGGGACATCGTGTTTTAGCGCACTGTGCGGGTGAAAGGTGCGCGATTGCGATTTTTATGGGTGGCCGAGAGGCACGCGTGGGGAAAAAGCGCGGTCGTAATTAAAAAAAAACTCATGAATTTTTAACCTGCTACCATTTTTTTTTTTATTTTAAGCAATTGTAAGATGCTTTTGTCACTTTGAATTCTACCCTGCCGTTTCAAGTGAAACGTAAGTTTGGCAACGCTGCAGTGTGCAACTATCGCTTCTATTCTCCCGAGAGCTCCCTCAAAATTATACCAGTACAGAAGTTAGGTTAGGTTAAGGTTTAGTTTTTTACTAATAAAAACACACATATTCGTGGCCAATAAAATAAATTTGAGTGGAGCAAAAATCTCAGCAAATCTCTCGCTGTGCCCAACTACATAAGGCACTTGGGTGAGATTTTATTTTAAAACATTTTAGGGTTAACTTTTAACATTTCTCTCGTTATCGACGTGGTTATGAGTGGGTAAAATGACGTTTATCTCTTTTAGATCGTAGATAAATATTTGTTGATTGCGCCTCGTAACATTGTTGTGAACCAAAGCATCGTACTTTGCACCCGCTGTTTTGATGACTTTCGTTGAACAGGTCGAACTTTGAGCGCTCGACAGAGCCGGCTTCGGGAATTTTTACAATTGTTTTTTTATCCTGTTGACAGCAAACACACATTTTTCAAGAAAATCAAAACGTTTGTGTCGCTATAAGAGGTAAGTCAAAAAAAAGTAGATAGAGATCCTTTTTCTGGTTTGAAATTTAAGACGTGTGCCGCAATTGTAGAACGAACGAACAGAGGCGGAGCTGTAACTATGATTAAAATTAGCAGACCCTCACAAAAACTTGTAGATTTGTAGAAAACACTGCCTAATAATTTAACGGACTGAAACAATGTTGCCAGAGCTGGACATAGCCGTGGTTTTTTAAAGATATGCTGTAATACTTTTATGTATTAAAAAATTTAACTCAATATGTTAACAAAATAACTTTTCAATTAGCGATATGGTTTCTATGAAATATTATTATTTAATGTGCTAACGTCACACTGAAGTAGTGAAAGTGAGAAAGAAGGTGGTCTTGGAGATATTACTGTTACAAAGACAGCGAATATGCCGAAAAATGTGAGGTCTGGAAAGAACTTCATGTCATTTCATGTGTACAAACAAATCAAAGACGTGTGTGTGTTGGTGTTTAGTACAACCTATTGTAGATTTTTAAAGAATAATAAGAATAATATAATTATGAAAATTTTAATATTATTAAATTATAATCTGATGCTCCTCTCGGGAATTATTTTCTCCCATTTTACGTGACTACTATAGCTATCATTCATACTTGGGCAACAATTTTCATCCCACTCACCCATTGTCTAAATTGACAACAACAAATTTATGAATGGCTTTTACGGCCTCTGTGTTCGTCCGGTCCTGCGCGACCGTCCAGCACACTCGATCATCTGTTTACCACCAGTTTCGTCAGTTCGTTTCGAAATCCCGCGGAAGAAACACGGCAATGTCTCTCGTCAAAGGAGTATTCATAGTCGGCGCCAAGAGAACCGCGTTCGGTACCTACGGTGGCAAACTCAAAGACGTCTCCGTAACCGAATTGCAAACGATCGCGGCGAAAGCCGCCATCGCTGCCGGTAAAGTCGATCCCGCGACGATCGACTCGGTTGTCATCGGTAACGTGATGCCGATCAGCGCGACCGACGGCATATTCGTGCCTAGGCACGTGGCGCTCAACAGTGGCGTGCCACTCGAAAAACCCGCTCTGGGCGTTAACAGGTTGTGCGGTTCCGGATTCCAGTCTATCGTCAACGGAGTCCAAGACCTATTGACCGGTTTTAGTCGTATTTCCTTGACCGGCGGCGTCGAAAACATGTCCGCTTGCCCTCACGTCGCTAGAAATATAAGATTCGGCGTGCCTTTGGGTCAGAGCCCCGTCCTGGAAGATTCGCTGTGGCTCGGCCTGACGGACACGTATTGCAAACTGCCGATGGCGTTGACTGCGGAAAAGTTAGGCGAACAATACGGCATCACGCGCGACGAAGTGGACGCGTTCGCCCTGAGGTCGCAGAAGAAGTGGAAAGAGGCGCAGGACGCGGGCAGATTCGCGGAAGAACTCGTCCCCGTGACCCTAAAGTCGAAAAAGGGGCCTCAGAGTTTGAGCGCGGACGAACATCCGCGACCTCAGACAACGGCCGAAGGGTTGAAGTCGTTGCCGACGCTTTTTAAAAAGGACGGCCTGGTGACGGCCGGTTCGGCGTCGGGAATATGCGACGGCGCCGGCGCCGTCATCGTCGCTACCGAGGAAGCCGTAACAGCGCATAACCTCAAACCGTTGGCGCGGATCGTAGGATATTCGATAGTAGGGGTGGAGCCGTCCATAATGGGGATCGGACCCGCGCCCGCCATTAAGGCCTTGCTCAACGCTTCCGGCAAAACCCTCAACGACATCGATTTGGTGGAAATTAACGAGGCCTTCGGCGCCCAAACATTGGCGTGCGCCAAGGACCTGGGGTTGGACCTCGAAAAACTAAATGTCGATGGCGGTGCCATCGCCTTGGGTCACCCGCTCGCTGCTTCCGGGAGCCGAATCACTGCTCACTTGGTTCACGAGTTGAGAAGAAGGAAGGCGAAGTACGGGATCGGCTCGGCCTGCATAGGGGGCGGCCAGGGTATCGCCATTTTGGTGGAGGCGCTGTGAGGTTCCTGAAGGGAATTGTGCCTTTGCGAACTATTTTCGCCGGAACAGACCGACAAATTGAGTGGCTGTTTTGAAGACATTTGATTTTTTTATTTAAGACGTTTCGATTCTTGTTCAGTATGTGGAAGTGTAACAGAGAATTATTTTTTTACGGAATAGGTAGAAAATCTATGGTAATGTAACTAAAAAATTCTAAAAATAATAGGTATGAATTTTAGAAAATTTCCGAATCCATGTTGAAATTGTTATCCCCGGTTTTTAAGGGAATTTTAATATTCTTATATTGACGTTAATACTTCTAAAAGTTATTGCTTTTTTTTTTTGGAGAAGCTAATAATGCCAGAAAAAACTGATGGGGTTTTACTTATTTTATATTTTCAATATTACTTAAGGCTTTGGTTAGAACGGTTTTCTAAATTTAGGGTTTTGTTGTGCAGAAATAAGGTATGAAATATTATAGAAAACTTGGAAATGTCATCGATCTTCTGGTATATTTAACTGTACCGATTCTGGACGTAGTATTAAGTTAAATTATCTATTTTTATGTAATTTCTTATGTGGAAGGACTGATTATCTAAAGACTTGTTATACCTACTACATTTGCGAAATAATGCTTTTTTGTTTTATTTACCCGCAATCAACCAAGTAATAGATCCCGCCCATTGTCTGTTATTATCTCGCGTATTTTGTTATTAAGATAAGAGGCTAGTACCAAGTCCGCACCTAATGTGCGGTAAAATGCGAATAAGAAACAGCTGTTTTTTTTTGTATTTCATCAATCGCTGCCCTTGATCGCGAATGTTTCGTCAACGCGACAACAATTAAAACAATAACAAGTCACCTTGAATTTATTAATTGATATCTGCATCGTTGGCAATCGTTTCCAATATTCATTTAATTTTTTAAATTTAATTTAATGCCGGTACGCATTAAATGAAATTACATAAACTTCAATTCTTTTTCTGTTTTAAATATTTTTTTGCTAAGTTTGGATCCTGGCATGGGTTCTGGAGATGGATTTTCTCTAGAATTTCACTTGTGGCATTCGATGTTGTTGCTAAAAGCTCAGACAATACCTGCTGAGCTGCTTTTTTAGCATTTTTCAAAGTCTTTGTCATCTAGATAATCCTGCTTCTGTTGATGGCTTCTGGTTAAATAATAATAGGGTGGGAACAGCAGTTTTTTTTATAATCTTTTTTTACTTAAGATAAAAAAAACTAATAACTCATTTTGTAAGTCTCTTTCGTAATCATTTTCAGTAAAATTAATTGAGCAGACATAGTTTTTATCTGGATTAAGTTTGTCCTCTCTTCTACATCGAACTATCCACTCGTTCTGAATAGTTCGGGATACTAGATCTTTCCCTTTGGGAAAGCGATGAAAACTACATTTTCGAGAACGTGCTTTTTCATCAAAATAGTTGTTATTGCACCCATACATGGCACATCTCGTTCCAGGAATACCTAACTATTTGTTGATGTAACTTTTCCACTGAAAAAGGTAAAAGAAATGTTTTTCTTACCATTAAATGTATTTTTTACCTTTACCTATATTATTATGTGTAATGTTTTGTGCTTACCTCCTAACTAATACCACCGCTAATAAGCAGCACGAACACAAAAGCTTAAGTCTTTGTTTAAGGTTAAAAATACTGTTTTTCTCAGTTCTCGCCACTCAAGCACATACAATTTTAAAGTATTTGTTAATAGTATATTATGCAACAAGTGCGGTAAACAGCATTTGACTCACGAGTTTATTTGACACGAGCGGAGCGAGTATTTAATCAACGAGTGAGTTAAAAAGTTTACCGAACGTGTTGCATACTATACTTTTTCTGTGGCCGTTAGTTTTTGAGTACATTTTCGCAAAACAACCCGGAAATATCCGAAGCGGATCGCATCCGTGGGAAACGAAACTGACAGGTAAAGTGACGCTTCCCGCACGCTAGATCGATGTGTAATTAGGTATTTTACAGACGGGAGTAGAAAAGGCTTAAAAACACTGTTTTGTCTAAGTTTTTTTTTTTTAAGAAATACAATTAACACAAACATAAGCGCACTACTCACTAGTTTAAATTATTTTTATTGTTCAAAGAACACAAAATGCAACGGTTTAATACGCCTTCAAATGCATTGACAGAATACACAAAATCCGTTAGAGGACTTCGCTTACGTCACAAGAGATCACGTGCTATCGTTAATTTTGGCGAACGTATGTCTTATGGGATTCGGCAATCCTATTAGGTTTACGATTCTTGAACCTTCCCCTCTATCTCATACTCTTTGGTTACGGTGAGTACAGTTTTACGGTACTTGCCGCGCCATCTATGTTCCAAATAGTGAATTATCAATAAGTATTTCCAAAACGCCGACATCTAGAGAGCATTACAAAAAGCTCAAGGGCTTGCCCAGACACTGATATTTTGCATATTTTAGTTATTTTTAGTTAGTAGTCCACTGAAATAGTTTTTTATGGTAAAGTATTTCATACGAAATTTTTGTAGCAATTTTTTCGAAACACCAAGCAACCGATTATTTTTGTCATTTGCGGTAGAAATTAATTTTATTTTAAAGGTTAGGGAAAAGTGAGGCAATTGTAGATTTTAGCAGGAATTCTGCAGTTTATTTAAGCACGTGAACTATTTCAGGTGGAACAGTTATCAATCGAACTTGCAGAACGCGTTCCCTAAACTCCTCACGTCGGAGCACTTCGTTGACGTCACCCTAGCGTGCGAAAACGAGATGCTCAAGTGTCACAAGGTGGTCCTGTCCGCGTGCTCGACCTATTTCGAGAAACTGCTGCTGGACAATCCGTGCCAGCACCCGATCATATTCATGAAGGACATGAAGTTTCAAGAGATGCAGTCGCTGGTCGACTTCATGTACAAGGGCGAGGTAAACGTGACCCAGGACGACCTCCCGTCTCTACTTAAGTCGGCCGAAGCGCTCCAGATCAGAGGCCTGTGCGGCTCCGATCAGTTGCTGAACCCCGCGTACTTTGGCAACGTCGCTAAAGCGACGGCTCATCCGCAGTCCAAACCCCTGGAAACGTCTCCCGCCCAACAAGACAACAAACCTCAACCGAGTCAAGTGGTGATGCCGAAAAACGAGGGTTTGGTCAAGAAGGAAGTGAACACGGAGGTGGGGTCCGAGAGCGGGAACGCCCCTTCATCATCGGAATGCGACTCCAACGACGGCATGCTTCAGATCAAAGGTACGGCTCTGTAATAAATCGTTGTCAGGAAACGGTCGTCTAGATTGCGGTGTACCTCACGGCTCCAGATTGGGGCCATCGTTATCGTTATTTGTCATGTATGTTCTATTGGAAATCTTTGCCGACCAATAGATTTTAAACGCGGCCTACGGAAAATCCATACAATTTTCGATATTTTGCTTTATTATTCTAACCATACATACCAAATTTTCTGACAGAAATTGATTTTTACTTTTTTCAATATTTTGATAATATTCGCCATGCAAAGTAATAATCAGACCAAACTTTCATTTCATTACATTGTGTTAGTTCTATTTAGTGATCAGTGGATTAAAATGTCGTTGACTTTAAACGAAATAATCGAAATAATTTGATTGTTTGGTAATTTTGAGTAAAGTAGCAGAAAAAGTTGCTGCAGAGTTAACAGGAGACATCCACTACTTGCAGCCTCTATAAATGCCCTTTTCAATGATGCTCACAGTGTTATTAAAATCAATCAGAATGAGTATTACAAGACAATTTTATGGTCTTATTAGGCCAAATAATAGAGTCCTTTTTTATCTTCGATGAATCTTTAAATGCTGGTCGTTTAGTTCAATTTTTCATTGGGGAATGCTATAGAAAATCTTCCTCTTGATGTGAAGTTCAGAAATTATATATTTTTACATGACAATTGTTTCGACAACACCGTCTTTATAATTTTTTTTTTTTGATAAAGACACGGTGTTGCTGAAACAATTGTCATGTAAAAATATATAATTTCGTGAAAATCCGAACTGTTAGTTCTTATTTATTTTGATAAATAGATTTTCATCAAGTAAAAGCCACCTCGGTGCAACATTTTTTTATTTATTTTCTTAAATTTAATCAGTTACCTACTAAAAATTATTTTATTTCTAAAATAAAATAATTCTTCCTATGTATTAGTGTTACAAAAAAATGATATTTTTTTATCATTATCATTTATATATTTTTATATATTCTTGAATTTATTTATTTATTTAAGTTTATTCGTACTTATTGGACCCATTATTTTTTACGGGTAATAAAAGAGTCGTATTATATTTATCCAACACCACCCCGCCTTCCGAGGGGGATTGTGATTTATGTCAAATAAATGACGCAACAAGACAAGTACGGTATTGCCGGTTGTCTAACTAAGTAACACGCGTCTCGCAGAAGACGCCGACGAAGGCGAGGACGATTCGTTCTTCGAGGGCGACGGCGAGTCTTTCATGGACCAGGAGCTGATGGAGGAGGAGGGTCCGGTCATGACCGGCGTAGACAGCACCAGAACCCCGGAATTTGCTATCGCCAACGTTTCTTGCCAGTACGACGGCTCGCCAGGAAATTTGAGTAAGTCTGATATTGGAATGTAATGTTTTTAAGTACGTCGCCAAATTTTAGAAGGTGATTATTTGGAATAAGTCGAAAAGGGCTTTGTGACACGCCGGAAAATGCTTTATGTTAGTGATAACGTATGTCGAACTTTTAAAAAATGCGTGTTTGATAAATGGCGGTAATCAAAGCTAATAGTTTTCGTATTGTGCCACTCAAATTTCAAGGGTTTTTTTTTACTATAATTTAAATAACTTTTTACTGCGCATGCGTCTACGGCGCTTGTTTTCACCTGCGTTATAATTAACCGGTTTTCAATAGATTTCTCGTTAGGTTCGGCCAACAAGAGGATCAGGAGGTCGGACGAAGAATTGAGACGAGCCGCCGAATGCATAACACGAGGACAGACCTTCCAGACGGTCTCCGACCAATTCAACATACCCATATCCACGATAAGGTTCTACATGGCGCGCAAGGTAAGCACACATCATTGATCATTTGATAAATGCTTAGAAACTTAGTATCGTCTAGTATCTCCTCTTAACAAAAGAGTCTAAATATCAACTACATCCTAATGGAGGTGCTTTTGGAACCATTTATTCAGTACAGGATATCGTCACTTCTAGCAAAAATAGGGCGGCCATTTTGAGAATCGTTTTTATTTGCGAAATATTATAGCTTTTTTTGATCTTTGATCTTTAACACAAATATTCTTCTTTATTTCTTTCCATTCACGTATAGTGCGTGTCATGCAAAATGGCGGATATATGAGGCATCTTTTAGTCATACATAAGTAGGGTGCGCATCTAGCGGTCAAGGCAATTAAAGAAATAACAGAGATAGTTAAAAAATAATTAAATTAACCGCGGAAGTTGAAAAAAGCGAAGCTTAATTCAGAAACGCGACAGACTAATGGATGAATATATTAATTTCACTAGATTACAAGTATTGGCAAAATTACAGTTATTTTAATATTAGAATAAGACTAAATTTTTATATTCATTGACATAAAGTTTGCTGGATGCCTCAACCATGCTTTTCGTCCATCTTGATATATGTTAAATTGCTAGATAAATTTATATCTTGTTTGGCCACTAAAACTTTGTGTTACAGAACACGAAATCCAATAAAAATGTGTTTTTTTCCACCATTTTTTTCCTGTTAAAACAATCTACCCCCAACACTGTCATTATCGTTGTGCTTAATACCTACAATGGCGGATATCCCTAGACAAACACGTTATATAGTTGGGAGTTCACTGCGTCAAATCGCAGTCGTCAACAAGTAAAAAAAAAGTAAATGCTGCTTTCAATTGTCATAAATCTCAACGTAAGACCATGACCATACGGCAAGGAATGTCTAAATACAAAGTTTGAAAAAAGATTCGCTTCCGCTATCTGTAAAGTCCTATTTTATTAACTTAAAAAAAAATGTTAAAAGTATCAAACTTTTAATGTGTGTGAAGTGGAATCCGCTGTACATTATAGCATTTTTGGACTCAATGACCAAAATTACTTTAGGCAATAATAACCTTAAGGTTATTTAAATAGTTTGTATTTTGTCAAAACGTAGAAATGATTGACAAATCATTGAAGTAGTCAGTTTGGTCTGCATTTGCTGTAAAGGGGGGAGGGTCTGTGAATTTAAAATTGTTTTGACTGCATTGATCGCTTTCTTTGATGCTTCGTATTTTATTTGTTTTTATTTTAAACACTTCGAAAAACATCAAATTCAATCGATCGAATTGATCGAAAGTACATTCCGTGATAATTTAAAAAATGGCCACCGTGTAAAATGGAGATATAAAATTCAGTTGTTTAAATAATTCTTCTGTATTTAAGACATTAAAATTAGGTTAAATTTGAACAAAACTCAAATTATTTAAGAAACCTTAAGATTCCGGTATTAATCACCTTATCGAAATACACAGCTATTTTGTTAAGACAATTTAAAAATGCTATAATATAATTTGATATTTTTAACACTTTTGGGTCAACCTGTATAGTATGAAAGTAATTTTGAAAGTGCAAAGTTTTTGTAAACCTTGCATTTTGTATCATGGTCGGGTTTGCTTAAGATATACTGTCTGCTTCGCAGGGTATCCTCCCAAGACGTAAACGGGGCAGATCATGCGCCCCGACGATGGGCATGGGCGGTCTCCCGATGGCGGGCACGTATACATCACCCGGCAGTCCCATTGGGCCCCCTTACCACATCGTGCATTACAAGTTGCCAGCGCTCGGCGTCTCCAAACTCAAATAGGGGCCCCCGTGCGGGCCCCGCGATCGGACGTGAGGAACGCGTTCGGTTTTTGTTGCGTTTTTGACGTTTTTTTATTTTTTTTTAGTCCAAGCGAACTACTTATTAGCCGTCGTATTTATTTGCCATTTTTTTTATACACCATTACGTTTTACGTAATTATTTCGAAGATCTCCGCGCGATTCGGTGCCACCCACAGTATTTTGTTTTGTTGCGCCTTTTTTTTTTTTTTTTCGCTGCCGTCAGGGCGAATTCTTCCGCACGCCACTGCGACCAGGAGCGCAGCGAGCGAAGGGTTGTAATTTAGATAAAAAAAAACTGCTCTCGGGAGCAGTGCTCCCATCAAATTTAATTTGAAAAATTCGTCGATTTTTCCAGGTTGACAAAAAAACATTTTTTAGATTTAACAGACTATCGTTAAAATAAGTAAAATGCAAAAAAAAATGTGACCCGTAACTAGGTTATTGGGAAACTTACCCGAGAAGGTCAGGAAATTGAAGTTCTTGCAATTGCAAATTACTGTGGCCCCGTAATATTTTCTAATAATTTCTCCATGACCTAATTAATGAAGTTGGATAACGAAACAATTCAACTAGAATAATGCTCCACTTTTATATGCTTACAGCTACTAGAATATAGAAGCCCTCCTCATAGATGCCCACAATATAGCAACAATAACTTTTTTTTTTTGAGAACGTCCATTACCTTGCGGCCTTCAACAACCGACATGGCCGCTGATAGCCGGTCAATGAGTTTGGATTCAGCATTTTTATGGCAGCATTTTCTCAAAATACGCTTTGAAAATGGCGCAAAGTGCATGCGCGGAAAATCATAACCTTCTCTACGAAAATGTCAATACCGCCTGTGGCGCAAACAATTTTTGCGGTAGTAGAGTCACTATATTATGTAATAGCTATATGTTGATATCAAATACTCGTCAAAAATTCAAAGTTTCTTCATAAATTTGACCATAACCTAAAAACAAAAACTAGTATGTTAAAAATAGCATATTTTTGTATAAAAATATAAAAAATGATAAACAAGTCAAAATTAAACAAAACGTTTTACTATAACTTAAAACAAAAACTAAAAATTCTAAAAACCAAGCAAATTCATTTTTTCTTGCAAATTCTTTTGGCCTTCTAATACAATTTCTACATGAATTTGACTATTTTATATCAAATACTCCTGAAACAAATTCAAAAATTCTTCATAAATCTTACTAATTGTTAAAAAAAATCAAAAAGTAAGGTAATGTTCTTATATAAACACGCGCATCTAACCAATTTCTTACCATATACCAATAAGAAAACAAATCGTTAGTAGGATTAAGGCATTAGTGCAGTCCCAGTATTTAACCGTAAATTTTTTTTGAAAAAACTGCTTAACTGTTCAAGGTCCTTTTTAAACTCTCTTTCTTACCATTTCAGGAGCCATCCTGAATTTTTATTTTGGTCAATGTCTTTGAATATTTTTGATTCGGTCGTTAACAAAAAAAGTGGCCATCCAAAAAGTACCGGTTTAGGTGTAGCCTATTGAACCATTTTGCGAGAACTTTTTTTATATATTCTTAAAAATTTGCACACGAGAAAACCTGTTTTGTGACAGAATCAGAAGTAGTCTGTAAATGTAGGGAAAACCTGGGAAAGTCTAGAAATTTACAAATGTTGTGACAACTCACTGTTCTCGGAAAAGCGGTACATTTTTACGGGTAACGCGGTACCCGAAAAAACCCCTCGAGCGTAATCTCAGTACCAGAACGCGTACTAGTCTTTGGTTTTTTTTTTGTAATTTTAAGTTTTTCGCGGAAACGGAGGCTTCCTAAGCGCTTAGCCCGCTTGCTCGCTCCGGTTCATTTGAACTACCGCGCGCGGAAGACCGTGGCCCCTCAATCGTGTTCTTGCCAGTTTTTTACTTTCAACCCGTACTTAAACCGAAGCGAGAGAAAATATTTCTCTCTCCCCCCCCCCCCCTCCCTCTCACAGAACCCAACATACCCGCAGTGATAACATGATAACATTAAACAATAGCAGAGCGGATTATTTTTGTAGGAGGCCATAGTTATTTTTTCACAAACACTCAGACACACATATACCGCACCCACCTCAAAGCGAACAGGACAGAGTAAACAGATTTTTTTATTTATGGCGTCTTGGGGGGAGACGTTCTCCCCCCGCCCCCGCCCGCGTAAAATAAAAATTAAATTAAATAGAGAGACACCGCGTGTTGCGTAGGTGCCCGTAGAAGTGAAAAGATATTTTACCTGTAAAGATATTAAAAAAAAGCAGATACAATCGTATTGTCTAGAGATAAAAATGGGGTCCCCTTCCGGGGGTAGCCCGTCCCCTCGTATTTATAATATTCTCAGCATAAGAGTTTAGGCGTTTAAGAGACTTAGTGAAAGTTTTTGTCTGATTTTCTGTGTTATATTTATACTTATACAAAAGCCCGATCTTTTTTTTTTTTTTTTTTTTCGTTCGTGTACAACGTTAGGTTAGCGTGATTTTTTTCTACCTATATATACATTTTTTTAGTTTTAGCGAGGCGCGCGCGCCGCTGACGCCCCCTCGCCCGTCTGAATAAATAGTCTTCCGCTCGGGAATCCGTTGTTCTCAGGGCGTCGGCGCGCGGCGCGCCACTGACTTATTTTTTTTTCAACCCCTACCCCACATACCCTCCGATCCTACCCGTCCCGCGCCCGAGTGTCGTTTTTTTGTCGGTTCTTGCGTTTTTGAAAATCCCCGCCCCTACCTCCTCGCCCCGCCCTCCCTCTGTAAAGTATATTATGTGTAAAAGTGCCATCTACAATATATTTTTCTAGTTCGATAGAGAAACAGCTTATGTCTTGTGACTTAGACACTGATGTATACAGTATTCGGTCGTAATATACAAGTATTATATACAACATGTTGCGTGTTCATAAATTGCCTATCCCTACTTTTTCCGTCTCTCACAGGCTCGTTTTTAACCAATGAAATAATATCTTTTTCCTCTCGCCGTGTCATATTCAAAATTGCTGCTTTCATTAAGACCAGAAATAAAAAAGGAAGAAGAACGTAAAAGAGGAAGACGATGGGGCTGTTTTTGCAAATAAAATTATTAAACTGTATCGATTTGATATAATAGGGGCTGCGGAGACTGCATTTTACGTATATTTGTCTGTATTTTTATTAAACTAATTAAATTCACTGTAATCTTTCGTTTTAATAAAGACTTACAAAAAATAGGTCAATACAAATACAAAATATATGATATATTAGGGTCAACAATCCTTAGATTACGTTAAACTTGAAAATATAATAATAATATTTACCAGAACATTATTAAATAATATACAGTTATTCTACTTTATAATGCGGCAAATATTAATACAAACAAACCCACTAAAGAAATCTCTTCACCGTGGGCAGCGTTAATTAATATACTATATTTTTCAAGAACTTGAACTTGAATTAAAATTATTACTTAACTAACAAAGTTTGTTTTAAGTTATAGTAGATATTTAAAGAATAAATTAATTGTTTTATACTTTTATTTTATTAATTTTTTTTATATACTGACTAATAAATACATATTTAGAGAATCTGCGAAATCGTGCATAGGTTTTTAGGTTATCCAAACTTTTTTTTTTTAATAAATTTAAAGAATTTAATTTTTTAATATCTTCAGGTAGGCAGTTGAAGCAAGGTAGGTATATATGGCATTTCAATACCATGGTCTACTCAAGAACTGGCAATTTATATTTGTTGAGTTTGTTAATTGGATTGTATTTATGGTGGATTTTTCAAGGGTGTGTTTATTATTGTGTTGACGTATTAACAGATTGTGGTAGGATATTTGACGCGGATCGAGAACCTATATATATATATATATATATATATATATATATATATATATATATATATATACATATATTTCTAAAATATCCATTAGATAAAGGAATGCACTTCCTCAGGCTGTTATACCATATCTAATATGGGTTTCAACAAGTGCATGTCAGAGCAGTTTTAATTGTGCCTCGTTTAACATCGAAGACATAAACTTGAATCTGCCTAAAAGGGCCTTAATCTTTTGACTTGAACATCCCACTTTAGGTAACTAACTATCCAGATATAAACTTTATATGTTGTTTGGATTATATTTGGGCAATTTTGTGATTGATAGTAAATCTCAGTTTATAATAAGTAGGGATGTTTCTGGCATATGACATAAAGGCTAAGAGATACAAAACGCTGTACCAGGCGCGAACCAACAACACCAACAAAAGACTAACCAAAAACCTACTAAACGCAAGTGAAAAAACGGTCACCACATTCATGAGTATTACTGAACGAATATCATTTCGCTTGTTGAATTTATTATTTACCAAAACATAAACCAAAAGACACGTAACATGAAATGTACACTGATTCTTCTTATTAAGCAGGCACGACCTCTATATGAGTTTCAGTTAAGATTTAGAATGTTTACAGTTGCAATTCGATCGATTGTTACCAGTCACGAAAACGCTTATCAGACTCCTTTAGTGTATTTTGAACAGTACTGAAAAAAAAAATAACTGGGAACTGCGAAATGACGCGAAAATTATTTCCAAAAATGATATATATCGGCCCAACATTCACTCTTCTTAGCCACTGAGTCATAATTTGAATTTGTTTAAGTAAGTAACCAGAGGCGGAGTTACACTTTCATAGATGAATTAGGAATAAGAAATAAATAAATCTGACAGAAAAGTAACCAAAAATATGCTTAACCTAATCTCCCTAAACTAGTTGCCTATCTTTCATTATGTTACGTTACTTCGAGAGAGAGAATCAACACGAATAAAGAAACGTAAGTAAAACTGCGAAACCAACAAAATAGAAACACAACCTTTACCGCGCTGCCACTGGTTCCCTTCGGCCGAGTCACTGGCTGCCGCTATCAAAGCCGGACAACAATAATAACAGTATTAACAGACAATTCCAAGAACTGACTGACCGATTAGAATAAACGGCATGGGTCAGCTCGTTTTCATTGACGCTTGCTCACATAAAAAGGAATTATCATTATTAAATTAACGCAGTTACCCGACTTCCACCGTCCTCGTTGAGAGCCCGCTGTATTAGAATACGTGTATTGACAGTGTGTGTGCGCTAGTTGATTTTTTGTCTATTCTCGACGCACGTTCGCAATATGAAAATGTTGCTGGTACTTTCCCTGCTTTTGGCGATCAAAAGCGTGGAAATGCACTCCTATCATCTCGGAGCTTGTCCGAACATCGAACCGCAGCAAGATTTCAACATGAGAGCGGTAGGTAACGAAAGGCTAATAGCTAATATATTTTTTTAAGGAACAGGGTTCCGGTTTTTCATTTCGTTTTAATTTATCGACGATTTGAAGAATTCAAACGCGCCACCTATCGTCCGGAGGCCTAAATAGCCTTTCCTAATACCAACTAACAGTAAACAAAGACTAAGGATAATGAACAATATCCATATAAAAAATATTTCTCTCAGATATTCCGTAATTTCCAGATTCTTGGGATTTGGTACGTAATCGAGAAAACTAGCACCGCTAGTTCGTGTATCGTGTATAACATCACCGCAACGGACGAACCTGGGGAATATAAGGTTGAAGAAATCAGCCAGCACTTCCTGTTGGCTTTAACGCCTCTCAAACACGGTTACCACTACACAGGTACCCTCAAAGTGCCGGACGGCGCGGTACCCGCCAAAATGACCGTCAAATTTCCATTGAGCGTCGCGGGTTCCTCGTCGTTCACCGTATTCGCGACCGATTATAGCAACTATCTCGGCATATTCACGTGTCAGAAACTAACGTTCGCGCATCGTCAATCCGCCACCATACTTTCCCGATCTAGAACGTTGGACAAAATGTACCAGGACAAAGTAATTTGCGCTTTATTCAGTGGTGGCTGCTAAACATGCTTAACTCCGCGTGCGTGTGTTTCAGATCCGTAACAAGCTCGCCTCAGCCGGTATCGATCCGTTCGAACTATCGATAATCAGTCAAAAGGACTGCCCCAGGAATCTAACAGCAGGCTATAACATCGACATCAACGACGAAACGATCTCTGCCAAAGCGGCTGCTGGAGTCATCCGGAAAGCGGGTGAAAAAATAGGTAAAAATGGCCGATTGACGCGTGACAGTAATTCATTTTACAATGGTATCTGAGAAATAGGTTGAAACAAAAATATGAGCTTAGAAACGCTTGTCGTGGTCAAATTTGCAAGAGGGTTGTTCTGTGGTGTTGTCAGTACGACGTTGCCGCTTGCTGCTGTCGTACGATTTGCGTTTTTTTTTAGGCGACGGTGTGGAATATATCGCTGGCAAGACCAAAGACGTGTACCACAAGATATCGGATAAAGCAGAGGAAGAGTCTCATACCGTTAGGAACAAAATTCAAGAGGCGAAAGACAGGATCAACCCTGACGCGGAATGGTTACCGTGAGTCATCGTTTTAACGAGAATAGTAGAAGATAAGACTGCAATATTGACTACAATACTGTTGTATATTTAGGTTAAATAAATACATAAGCTTTTAAAAACCTATTTCAATGTCGTTTGTAGCACCCCAATTGCACAAATAGTTTCTTCTCCTCGTAAAATGTTTTTTGTCTTGAAGTATTAAATTAAAAAAATATATATAAACTTGTTAATCCGGACGACTCAGAAGCATAAAAGATGTCCCAATTATTCGGATAAAACTTACACCTTGCTCTACTCCGTGTGGCAAGAAAAGCTCACGCGCGACGTTGCCGCGTTCGGAAACGCTAAACGACTCGCCATCGTTATCACGGAAATTACGGTTTGACGTTTCGTGGTATCGCAAAGGGCGACACGTAAATATAACCTATTTCAACGAAGGTTCGATTTTCACGTCAACACGTCACTCGGCTGCGACCGTCTTCAAAAATCCCACGCGTTAGCGATCGTCGCTAAATAACGGCAACGTCGCTTACGGCACATAAATTAATGGGCAAGTGCGACCGAGCCCGCATACACCGCACGCCGACCGACAAAGAAAACGTCGTATCCGACCGCCGCGTCGCAGAAAGAGACGGGACCAACGCGTACGTGTCGATGCTCGACGGTCCGCCCGATTTCGTTTTAGTCGCGCTTGTATGGGCGTTGGAGCCACACGCGTTTCGCACGAATTTCCGCAAAAATCGCCGAAATTTACGTGGATCGGTGTCGAAAAATGTCGCAAAACGCGTCAGCGATGAAGAGGCAAAATGCCCGGCAACTGGTAAGTCGATTTTCGGTGTGGAAAAGCGTCCGATGAGGGGCAGCCATTGCGTCCGGATCCGGTATCACGTAAACTATTATTTCGGTGTTGTGGAACTCTCGGAGTCGCCATGCCTTCTTGTGTGTTTCTTTTTCGTAGCAGGCTCTGCGGGCGCTTAGTTTTTGACGTTTCTGGTGTATATGGTTGTTTTTCGGCGCGAAGCAATCGATAATTTGCCATACCTTGGGTAGTTTTCGTCGAGTTTTTTTTTGTAAGTGCGTGTGCGTCTGTGGTTTTTATTCTGGCCGCGACGTGTGCTCGGATCGCCTCGCGGTACTTCCATTTAACTATCGTCGGATCGCCGAGTTCTCGATCGCCGTGGTGCCACACAAGGGACGTCCCCTACTATATACATTTGGTTCGCGATGGGGGCATTTTTTTTAATTGGCGACCGCCATGATGCCCCTGGACGTTTTTTTTCAAGCCGAGCCTTTTTGATGTATTCGTTATTGCACGTCGAGTATATAGGAGTATATAGTATCTAGGTAGGGTTGCGACGTATTTCAATGAAAATTGTTTTTTGTTATGAAATTTTACGATGTGATAACACTGTTGTTAATACGTTACTTGCGCCGCTTTTTAGGTGGATTCCGGGAAAGTTATTGGCAACTTTTTGACTTCTGTAAAAACTCGATGTGATCATAAAAATTCTTTTACTGCACAGAAGAATTGAGTGATCGAGGAAAAGATATATATATACCCTAAGCCATACCTAATTAGAGAGAAACAATCATTGTGTTTGAACGGCCCTGTATGAAAAGCGAACGAATAGTAAAAATCGGAATACGCAAGACCCCCTTTCACAGGAAACACTGTTAATGAAACTTTATAATGTGTGGAGATGTACAAATGCAACTTTTTTTTTAAAACAAAAGTGGAAGAGTTTCTTGTATTTTGTTTTCCTTTTTTTTTTCTTTCATAATGTTATAGCGAGCTTTTTTAATCAAACATAATCGCAAAAAAGAAATAACTTGCAAGAAATATTTCATTTTGAATGTTTTCGTCAAAGAAAGAATTTTCTGGTTTTGTTTGTGCAAAAATGTCTGTCCCCACGTTTTCCGGAAGTAATGAGCACGTTTTCCTTTGTTTGGTTTGCAAAAAGTTTGTTTCCTTTATCAAATAATGCCGGTTTTTTTTTTATTAATAAATTCAGTAGAGTGAACTTCAACAGCAAAATATTTCCATTGGTACTCTGTAGTGTGCCATTTTTAATATCCAGTAGTTTGAACAAGTCTTAAGTCTTATAATATCTGCAAACAAAATAATTCGTGTTTCAAAAAATAGTTATTTAAATAGGAAATCGTGCTTGTTGAAGCAGTGTGGCGTTTTTTTAGGTGGATGTAGACCAGTTAAAAGATTTTTTATGAAATTTTCTTACTTCGGGACCACAATCTATCGGATTAAACCTTTTGGTCTTACTTTTTCGACGAATTTTTTTTATGGTATGCGATAGAGCTCCTATTGCTGCCCGCTCCGCGAAAACAAATTTGTTTGACGTCGCAGCGTCGTGGTGGTGGGGGGGTTTTGCGTGCGCATCGAGGCGCCGCTCTTCAGGCGAGCTTTCAGCTATCGGGGCCGGCGGTGCGCTTCAGTTTCAGTATGGCCAATATGGCGCACGACACGAAAAAGCTCGCCCCTATGCAAGATCGTTACAGTTACATCTCACGTATGGTATGTCGTTCATTTTTTTTTCGTCCCCCCGGGGGGTAGGGGGCAACTTTGGCTGCGTGGAAGGGGGGGCGGCTCCCAGCGTTGTGGTGGAGTCGTAAAGTCGGCCGGCTTATCGATTTAGTATGTGCGCGTTCGTTATTTTTTAATTTTTTCGATTTTTTTTTTGAAAAAAAAAAAACGCGTTGCGACGGCTGCCGGCATCGCCGCCCGCCGTCTACGCTCGTTTGCCCACCTATGCGCGATGATACGTGGAGAACTTGTATATCGATTTGCCTTTTCAAATATTCCCGATGCAGGCTGACATAAATTCGATTAATTTCGTTGCAATCGAGTCGACTTCTTTCGTTTTTTTGGTTAATTACGATTTCCTAAAAAAATAACATTGTTTGCCTGCGTTTTTTACGCGATCAATCGCACGAAATCTTCTTGGGGTAGTACAAAGTTCCGAAGACAAAGCGACTTGAAATTTCTGATGGGTTATTTCTTAATTTTTTCAAATTTTTAAAACGTGGCCACCCTTTGCGGGCCAATTTTAATGTTTAAGTGGAATGTTAATTGTATTGTGTGAATGGCATTAAAGCACAATAAAGATTATTATATTATTGTCAAATAAAAACAAAGGACCAGGACCAGTGTAAGGTTCGCGTTTAGAAACAGTTTGAGAAATAAAAGGCAGTGTAATTTTTCAAAGAAACTTCGACAAGCTACTGTAATACTTTTAATAAATAAGTCGAACCAGCTAATGTTTCTCCAATCATCCTGTTGGCTTTTTCAGACCTTGACTGAAACTGGCTCGAATTTTACTCTGTACCTGCTTTTATATTTTTTGAGGGGGACGGAGCTAAATGAGGGGCACCGTCTCGGATGACTGATTCCCATATTAGTGATAGGCAAAGTAAGCGTTTAATCCCAAAATACACTTCACCATAGTCTTCCAATAGCAATGAAGCCGAAAGCAATCCCATACTTGCCACTGTTGTCCTTCCTTATATTCAAAACATCATTGACCACACATCAACAGTTCTAAAGAAATATAACGTCAAAACCAGATTAACCACTTGTCCAAAAATCTCTCAAGATCTTCTATTCGTCGAGGACAAAATTTCATTTGAGATGCCAGGAGCATTCCATGCATATGCGACAAAGAATACACTGGAGAGATCGGACGAAAAATATTAACTAGGCTAAAACAGAGCCTTAAGACTAAGACAAATGAACTCATCAGCAGTTGCCAAACACAATCAGGATACCGGACATAAAATTTTATTCCATGAAACTAAAATTCTTGCATGTAATCTGTTCTACCAACGAAAAATCCGAGAGTCTATAGAAATATATAAGCAACCTAACAATCGCCCCTTATTTAGCTCCGCCCCCCTCAAACAATATAAAAGCAGGTACAGAGTAAAATGCCAGCCAGTTGCAGTCAAGCTCTGAAAAAGTTGGGCGAAACGTTAGCTAGTTCGACTCAACAAAAACCGACGCATGAGGAATCCAGAAGTTTTATAAAAAGTAAAAGCCAGTGTATTAGATTACTTAATTATTAATTAAGATGCGAAAAGTTAATTAAACCTTATTATGCAAAAAACAATTAAAAATCGTTTTAATAACAGCTTCGTATAAAAAAAGAAGAAAAAAAGGCAAAAATGATAAAGGTACATAAAGGAAATTACTTAATTAATATTTAGGGTTAATTCATAACAATTAAGACAATTAACTTTTCAAAGGTGTCATTGTTTTTTTATAGTCTATTATGCAACAAGTTTTATAAACGCCACTTTAATCACGGGTGGCTGCAGAAGCTGATCAAAAACAACACGAATATTATTTGCAGTCAACCGAACCCGTGACTAAAATATATTTAACAAAGCCGTCGTCTGAAAGTGACACTTTTACTAAAGTCAATATCGCCCCAAACATACGAAAAGGAATGTTTTCCATGGGTATCCTTGATGTTGCTAAATGTGCAAATTCCCTTTAAAATCCAATCACACGCATAATTTGAAACCCACACCCATACAGATTTAAAAAAACGGTGTGATTGTGATAAACCTCTTTTTATTGGTTACTTACCTATATTTACCAGCATGGTTATAATAATAATTAGATAATGGAAAATTGGAAAATTCACTAGTCCGTTAAAAAAAAAAACGTACCGGGAAACCCCGACATTCGAACGTTTCAATTTCCCGCGGAGAGCTCGCGACAAAAATGTTAATTTCGACGATATATCAACCGGGGGGGCCACTTGTTGATTACGCAACTTCCCAGGCGCGACGACGGACCGCCCCTCGCCCCCAGCCCCCTCCCGCGCCGAAATTTCGACTGGGTAGAATCGATGCAGAGACAAACGCGCGGAACATCTTTACGGGGGTCGTTAATTTAACCGGATTTTCGTTGAGCGTACCTGCGGACAAAATTCTGATCTATTTAATTGAATAGATATTTAACCGATTTAATTAATTATTAAAATAACCGCTCTTCGAATCCGAATGGCGATTTAATTAAATCGGTTAATGCATAATTAAACACTCCTCCACAAAAATCGGAGAAGTTATTTAATTAAAAGGATAATCTGACCTGAACGAAGTTTTTTTAGTATTAGCTTAGTATTGTTAACTTATTTTGGTTTGGCATTAGTTGATTTTTATTTTATGTGCCCATAAAAAATAGGGAGTAATGAAATGTAACAAGCTACCTCTAAAGTTCATTAAGAAATGTAGGAGAAAATGTCGCTAAAGTATTAACGACTGGAAATTTAATTAAACCACTTAAATATTCAATTAAATCGGTTATGGGTTTCTTTGAGTCGAAAAATAGTAATAACTGTGAACGGCTTAATTGAATGGATTTAGTGTCACGTGTCACTTGCGCTAAAATATGAAATAGTCTAAATAACGACCTGAAAAAATCGTTTCATTAAATCGGTTAAATATTAAATTAAGTTATTAGGCAGCTTATTTACATATGCACAAAAAATAGTAATATTTGTGATCGGCTTACGTGTTTCTGGAAACCTGGAAAAATCGGTTAAATATTTGATTTAGTCGGTTAACACCTAAATAAAAAGTAATGAATCGATCCGGACGGGGGTTAACTACTACCACCATTGGCGTGCGGTTATTTATTTAATTTAAGTCGCGCGCTTTTCAGCGCGAACGGAAGCAGAAGAAACTGTACTCGGAGGATTGGGCTCTAGGCGACGACGACGACATCGAGGACCCGCGGAGGACATTCAATCTACAGGAGAAACTGGAAGATCCCGCGTTTAACGCGGCCGGGGTGGTCCGCGAGATGCGGGGAGACGAGCTGACGGTTTCGTATTTCCAGAGGCACGGCTTCAACACGCCGCTACTTTTTAAGGACAAGTCCGGATTGGGTGAGTGCTCGTGGATCCGGAACGTTTGTTTATTATTTAAAAAATGGCGGCATCGGGAAAAAATCAAGGTTTATGTTTTTTCCATATTTGTTAAAGTTGTTGGAAGGGAGGATTGACCAAGTGTTGACCAAAGTTGTTATATCCAACAAAAAAAGTATATGAAAAATCTTACACAAAAAGAAAAAGTCCTCTAGGCCAATAATTTGCACTCGAGTCGCCTGGGTTATTTTGGTATCGTAACGCTCGTAACATTTCGATGGGGTTTTTTGGTTTTCGTTTTTTTTTTTGGTTTAGGCTTTTTGTTAACGGATTGGGATATTATAAGACTAGCACCTACTAACCGGAAGTTGAAAGCGAGTGTCCATTTTAATTAATGTGCCTTAAAAATGACAGTAGTGCTCAGCTTGTCATACAAATATCATTTAAATGTAATACGCTATAATAAAATACATGATAACAGCGATAAAGTGGAGCGGATATTCGCAGTGTCAATATGAATCATATCTTGTAATAATTATAAAGGCGAGTTAAATAAAAATAAATGCAAACCTACCTGGAAACCAAGCCTTAAACTGATATTTTACTTACACTAATTTCACTGTACGATTCTCTGAAAGACGCTGCAAACCCAGTTGGAGTTCAGCTGACTCTTGTAGGTTTGTGTACAAGTACTTAATACGTCAAGATAATAAGAAAAAACGCGAAGAATATGACAACTACTACTGTGTAAAATTTAAGTGCATTCACGGAACATCACCTATTAAGAAGATGTCAACAGTTTTTCCATACAGATGTGGAATTTTTCTGTATACTTTCTCACCAACACTAACGCCTAACCTGTGACACGTGACAACTAAAGCTGTTCATAAACACTTCCACTACTATCAAAGTTGCCATATTTTTCCCGCAAAACTCTCGCGGAATCATTCGTGACGATAGAATTTATTTCTTAGTCTCCGATAGCGTCCTGTGCGGCGGTTAGGCGGCGATTGCCGCCCGTTATGTCGTCCGCGTCGGGAGCGATGCGCTTTTGTTTTCGGCGCGGGCGTGACGTGTAAGTGCGGCGTTGCCAGCTCTCGTCCTACATGCGTGTATTAGTTTCAGTTTTTTTTTTTGTCTCCCTGCATAAAAGTCAATGTGCTTTTATCGATTTTCTTACTGCAAAAAAAACTATTTCAATACGTTTTGGATGATTTTCCTTTTTGTCATTTTAGTGCAAAGAGACTTATTTCAACACGTTTTTTATGATTCTTTTTTTTTAATTTTAATGGGGAAGTTCTTGTCGAAACACTCACGGTTCTGACAACAGAAAAAATCTGCATCCTGTATTAAAATGAATATTTTTTTTGACATGCTGGTTCTATTTTTCTGTATTAATTAAAATATTAAGCTTTAATTTAAAAGGTAACACAGGTCTACAAACTGAAAATTTTTGTTATGCTGATTTTAAAAATTCTATGCATTTGTTTGTATCACTTAAGTTTTTTTTTTGAAATATTAAAAAAAGGAAAAACGATATTTCTAATTTTTTTTATTCAGTAAAAAAAATGGAATCCTAGTGAAAAAAAAAGAACTTTTGAGTGAAATCTTCGTATTTTTGCCAGAAAGCTGCGTTGTCCAGGCATTCGGCTATGCGTTTTTACATCCAGTAATAGTCCGCCATCATCGCTATGCTCCATCTGCCTTGGTTCCATTTCTTCAATGTCCTGATGAATCCCCTCTCCCTGTTCCTCGCGAACTGCTCCAAGATTTTCAGGAAAATAGTTCAAGTATGACAACAGGAAATGTTCTTTCACACTTATATTACAACCTAGACGATGAAAATGTTGTAACATATTTTGAACAATATTTTCGTAGTTTTCGTCCTTAGTGTTCAAAAGAAACTTATGAATTACTTTTTTAAATGAAATACAGTCGTTTTTCTCGAAATTGGTCATTGTGTTTTAAAAATCCTTTTACTAGGTGTAAGGCTTGTTCTAGAGGTCCATTCTATTTGAGTCCAATGTATAATCCCATGTTGTCCTACCACAAAGGATCAACCGATGTTCTCTACCATACGAACACCAAATGCTTCAACGCAAACGGAACAAACAGTATGAGGAGCGCAGGGCCAATTTTTACACTAAAATAAGCGTAGTATACATTTTTCACAAGTTACCTTTGCCTTTGCTTTACTACCACAGACATGAAAGTTATTTGCATTGTTTACAGAACACTAGAAATACGTAAAAATATACAAATAAGCAAACAGCTTATAAACATCAAAATCACTATAGACCTGTGTAATCTTTCCAATTGCATCTTCTATTTTTTTTTTCCGTTGACTGAAATTTATAAAATAGATTTACAATTAAATCAGGTTGTGAATCTTTCGAATCCTACCCAGGAGAAAGTCGCGTCCTTTTCTCTATTAATTTCATACCGAATATATGCGGCAATCTTATGGTGGTGTTATTTTAAAATAAATTAAAGTTTTTAAATTCAATCGGGTTTTATTAATCGCCGTTTAAAACCCTTAAAACCTTGCTGGAAAGCAACTTTGTCGTTTTTGTTTCAAATAATAATAAATACAAATTTATATTAAATCAAGTAAATTGATTTGTTTCGACCCCATTGAAAAGCAACTTCTTAAAAATTAAAATTTTAAAATTCGTTATAAACCTCCTTTTAATTAATTTAATTAAAATAATTAAAATTTTAGATTCGTTTTAATTAATGATGTAATAAATATATTAATTTTTTTTTTCAAATTTAAATGGTTAATATATTTTTATTTCCGTTAGACTCTTTTTTCTACATATTCTATTAGCCTGCCAATTTGTTGCGGGAGAGCGATTCTCCCCTTGCTCCTTTACCGTCTTTTGGATCCGTTGCTGTTGCAGGGTTGCGGGTGCCGCCTCCGAATTTCTCCATAAACGACGTGCGATTGAGCGTCGGGTCGCGTCGCGTGCTCGACGTGATGGACGTCAGCACGCAAAAGAACAGCGAGATGACGATGAAAGACTGGCAGAAGTATTACGAGGACCCGAACAAGGAGAAACTCCTCAACGTCATATCGTTGGAGTTTTCGCACACGAAATTGGAGAACTATATCCAGAGGCCGACGCTGGTTAGGTGAGTACGCTCGTTTAATAAAATTTTGTGCAGTGATCGGTGGTAATACAGGGAACACTGTAGAACTGGGAACTACTAATCCGATTTGAATAAACGATGTTATAAAACACATTTTTATGTATATTTAAGTTTTAGGTATATAATGGCTGTTTTTTTTTTTCGATGTATAGAACTTTAAGTTGGCATTACTGTTCAAGATGGCGACCGATTTAACAGCTGTCAAGTGATTTAGTCTCATTTTGGTTTGGCAATTCATCATGAATAGACTCACGCCTGAACAACGTTTTCCAATTAATGCAATTTTATTTCGAAAATATTGGTTCTGTGCGGAATACGTATCGCGCACTACGTCCATTTTATCGTCGACAAAATCGTCCATCGGAGCGGTTAATTCGATTAACCATGGAACGTTTTCGCACCAGGTTTACTCTTATTGATAACTCGCATCCTCAGAGACGCCGTACGGGGCGTACAGAAGAAGCTATTGCTGCTGTAGAGCGTAGCATTGAGGAAGACCCGAATGAGTCCATCCGCCGAATGGGCCCAAAACGAGATTGTCGCATTTGAAGCGAAGCTAATCCTCAAGTGTATGTCGAAACACCGTTACATCCAGAAAAATTAACTGTTTGGTGCGCTTTACGGGCTGGTGGAATCATTGGTCCGTACTTCTTCAAAAACGATGATGGCCAGAACGTTACAGTCAATGGTGATCGGTATAGAGCTATGATTACTAACTCTTTCATTCCGGAATTGAATAACCATGATGTCCAGGAGATGTGGTTTCAACAAGACGGCGCAATTTCACGTTTTGGACCTGCGAATTGGCCTCCAAGATCTTGTGATTTAACACCGCTAGACTACTTTCTGTGGGGCTATGTAAAGTGGATAAGGCACAAACGCTTGACCATTTTGAAGACAACATTCGGCGTGTTACTGCCGATATACGGCCACAAATGTTGGAAAAAATCATCGAAAATTGGACGTCCAGCCGTGGCGGTCATATGCCAGAAATCATATTTAAAATTTAATGCCACAAGATTATCTTTCGGGTAAATAAAATTCATGTCAATCGAATAATCCATCGTTGTTTTATTGCATCTTAAAGTTCTATACATCGGAAAATAAAAACACCCCTTACATAATGTTTAATGAATACATAGCTCTATCTTGTTTTTAATTTAATGTCAAACGAAATAAGATGCAAGGTCGGTACACAATTATTTAAACGAGACCTTTTACTGACCGTCATGGCAGTCCAGACCTTAACCCAGAGATAGAGATAACCCCCCACCTGTTTATGATTTTGTTTTATTTATTTATTTTTTGTAATAAATTGTAATTGTTAGGTTTTACATTCCGTATTTCATTTAATAAGTTCTGAAAAAAAAAAATAGAAAAAGATGTCTATTAGTGTTGACGGAAATTCCCACGTAATGTGAAAAGTAATTGTAAAACAGGGTTTTCTTTAAACTCTTTGTACAACAGCGTGAGTGAGCGATAGAATAGAGTTCCTTATGTCACTGCTTTCAAAAGTTTTGAGAAAATGGTTAATAAAAAAAATTGTAAATTCTGTTGGGATGCACATGCATACATAAGCATATATTAGGTGGTCAGTATAAAATGACTGCCAAATTTTTACCTAACTGTTTAAATAAATTCATAAGCTAATAAAAAATAAAGAAAGTAAAGGCGAAAAACGTTTTGCGAATTATATACCAGAAAGTGTCGGAATAAGTTACTTATCGCTTACAAAATTGAGAAACGATTGGTTTCAACATGAGGGACATATTTCCTGAAAAATGGATTCAGCAGTTTCTTGGCCCCCTCGTCCGGCGGACCTCACTAAACTCGATTTTTTTATATGGGGATATTGCAAAATTTATGTTTACCAGCGAGTTTTCGGAATAAGGGTCAACTGACGCCTTTCAAAACATTACAATTACAATTAAGAAATGTTTTAGATTTGATAGTTACAAGGTGTTGTCTGTGTTTAGAAAATAATGCTCACTTGTTTGAACATTCTTTATAAATTGTTTTTTGTAGTAAAGACCCTTTTTTGTGATTTAAAAAATGTATGTCTACATCGGTGTATTCGTAATAAAATATGTAATGTAATGCGTGGTGTAGTTTATTCATGGAAAATATGAGAAAATAAAGTGTTCTTAAATATTTTTCAACTATATCTTTTAGAGCTCAAATAGTGGCAACGAGAAAGCGATGTATATACAGGGTGCGGCAAAATGATAGGTACTATTTGGGATGTTAATAAAAACTAAGCTACATAAAGCAAACATTTTTTAAAAATTATTTTTGAAATGTACATGCCATTTAGGAACGTTATTTTTTTAAAATGGTGTCTTTTAAATGACGGCCATTATTGTCGATGTAGGTTCTCGCGGAAGCGCATCATTACCCGATGGATCATTTCTTGGGGAATTGCCTTTGATTCTTCCAAACTCTCGCTTTCAGGTAGCCTCAAAGAAAAAGTCGCAAGGCGACAAATCAGGCGATTGTGGCGGCCAGCCAAGATCACCCCGTAAAGACACCACTTTGTTTAGGAACATTTCCGTCCTGCTGGAACCAAAGATGTTTTCTTTGATCGTTGTTCAACTGGTTCACTTTTGGACGCAGGAAATTGTCACGCATATCAAAATATCGATCTCCGTTGACTGTTACCGTGATTCCATCTTCTTCGAAAAAGTAAGGACCCCACACGCCGAACTCAGAGATTGCACACCAGACGGTGACTTTTGGACTGTGGAGAGGTCGCTCATGAAGTTCCTGTGGCCTATTTGCTGACCAATAACGGAAATTTTGCCTATTTACGGTACCCGAGAGGTGAAAGTGAGCTTCATCGCTAGACATGAATACAGCGCCTCTGGGAATGTTTTGAAGAATATCCCGGCATAAATTTGTACGCGTTTCAAAATCTCTTGCGCTTAATTCCTGCACTACCGTCATTTTGTACGGATGCGTTTGGAGTGAGTTGTGTAAAATTCTTCGGGAATTCCCAAAGCAGCTGCATGCTTACGAGCTGAACGCCTTGGAGACTGTTGTACGTAAACTCTTGCTGCATTCACATTTTCCGGTGTTCTTACTGTCCTTGGTCGGCCAGTAGATTTTCGGTTAAGCGCAGAACCTGTTTCCCTGAAGTGTAAAACCCACCGACGAATTGTTCTTCTATCCGGAACCGCGCCATGCCGACCAACATCGAACTGATTACGAAAGGCGCGCCGCTTCGCTATTACAGATTCCCCATTTCTAATAAACTCCTCGACAACGAAAGCACCCCGCTCCAAGCCATGTCGATAACTGAAAATTGCATACTAACGCGAGTGCGTACACAGTGTTGCCGGTTTTACAAACCGAACAACCAATATTTGAAAACCTGCCTACCTTTTTGCCGCACCCTGTATTATTTTAAAAATCAGCAGGAAAAAAAAATCTAATTTAACCATCTTCGTATCTATTATAAATATGTCATTAATTTATTTTTCGATAATTTCGGGCAAAACCAATAGAATTACAAAAAAAAAAGAATAATTTTAAATTTTTTATATATGGGTGTAAATAGTTGCAGTTGGTTCTTTTCCCGTGAGCTCAGCAAAAATTTATTTCTCCTACCGTCTTTAGGCAAATCGACTGGGTCGATTGCGTGTGGCCGCGGCACCTGAAAGAAAGCCAAACGGAAGCGACCAACGTTCTCGAGGAGATGAAGTACCCGAAAGTGCAAAAGTATTGTCTGATGTCCGTAAAAGGTTGCTACACCGATTTCCACGTCGATTTCGGCGGCACCTCCGTGTGGTACCACATCCTCAAAGGGTGCAAAGTGTTCTGGCTCATCCCCCCCACCGAGCACAACATCGACCTCTACGAACGTTGGTGTTTGTCGGGAAAACAGTCGGACATTTTCTTCGGCGACACGGTAGAAAAGTGCGCGCGCATCGTCCTTCACGAAGCTCAAACGTTTTTCATACCGACCGGGTGGATCCACGCGGTCTACACCCCCGTCGACTCGTTGGTGTTCGGCGGCAACTTTCTGCACTCGTTCGGTATCGAGAAACAGTTGAAAATCGCCCAGGTCGAGGACAACACGAAAGTGCCGCAGAAATTTCGGTACCCGTTCTTCACGGAGATGCTGTGGTACGTGCTGGAACGCTACGTCCACTGCCTATTGGGCAATTCGCATCTGACCACAGGTCAAGACGCTCCAATACCACCGGACAGGGCGCACATACACTTGACTCAGGCGGAACTCCACGGTCTAAAGGTAATTTGGGGTTGGCGGGGTGGGGTTAACCGCGATTGTTTTGGGCCGCCTCTATATGTTAATTTGAAAAATATTGCTTATAAAATTAAATTTATACTATTAAAAAAAACACAGTTCACCAATAAATTAATTTCGTAGTTCTATGTAACAAATATAAGCAATTAAAGATTGTAAAATTTAAATCCTCTTTAAAACGCGTTGTTATTGGCTGTGGCCGGTTGTGACGTCAATTCGCTCGTTAGACAACGCCCCAGCCGGACGGTGGCGTTGAGAACTCATTAGAGAATGACAACGCGTTCGTCTTGGTGGTTTTGATTTTAATTTTAGTCGTGGTCCTGTCGTTTGCCTTTGTTATCTTGTGTTTAGTGCCAAAAAGTTTTGAAAATAACCGAAACCGACTTTTTAATCTGACAAATTTTTCTTTTGCTGAAGTTCGCGGTGTCAAAGCTAAAAGATAGGTTCATAGAAAATTTAGCTACTAGTTTAAAACAAATGGAATTAAATAAGATGTAAATTATTCAACAAAAAATTTTTTTTAACTAGTGGAAACCTAAATACTGATTTTAAAATATATCGGTATCGTAAAGTGTTCTGCATTTAAATAGATCAGGAAGCCATTCCAAGGAGACTGCAATAGTTCGAAGAGTTAAATGTGTTTTCACGGTTAAGGCTAAGTGACACCTGAACATAATGTTAACAAAAAAGACGGGCTTTTGTGTTGCTTCCATTATTATTATGTAAAGCATTCTAGGCACAAATACAAACTGGCGTAGATTAAATACAAACACGATCCAAAACGTAAATAATATAATTCCCGGCCTGTAACCTGACCTATAACATATCGCCGTATCGATCGAGAAGCAGCGGTATGACGTCACGATCATTCCCGCGCCGTTTAAAAGGAATAGTCGGGTGTCACAACTAGAATTATTTATTGCAACTTACGTATTGGGTTTTGAGTTTTGATGTTTACTATGCGTTATTTTTATACATAAACAGATGTATGAAGGAAATAAAAAAAAATGTTCCAAGTCAAATAAGGTTACATTAATTTTCAGGGCACTTCTGGTTATACCGAAAACGTATGTTGGAATGGCTTGCTTATTTTGAACACATGTATATACAGGGCGTCGCATTTTTTACACTTGTTTACCCCTTGTTACTTTTTTGCAAAACTAAATATGTCATTATCGTAGCTCTTTTAGTTTTTAAGATGTAGGTCATTTTTAAAAATAACTTTGGGACCCTTGTGTCTCCGTCATCCTAAAACTTATCAAAAAGGTAAAATAACATTCATAACAAGATTTTTTCCCGCAGAATGCAGTGCTGTGGACATTCTTCATTACTTATTTACTATTTTGGAATTCTATTGTGTATTTCGAATATACAGTGTCCCGAAATTAAACGACAATATTTTAACCGCTTATTCTCTCTCTTAAAATAGAAATAAAAGTTCGTATTAACTACGGACTACAACCTCTTACAAATTTGGAAAAAAATTCACAAGATTTCAATATAATGCAAAAGTTTAGCAGCATATTTTTTATATCGTATTTTATAAACGAAGTCGCCAAGAAAAATCTTCAGATAGTAGGCGAGAATTTAATTATTTTTTAAAAATTTTGATAATACTTACACGAACCATGAAATGGAATAACAATAGCAATGCTGAGTAATGAGTTTTCTGCAAAAACCTAAGCTAGTCAAGAAACCGGTAAAAATTTAAGAAAAAATCTTTCTTAATATAAACAAAAAAAGTAAAATAAGAAATGGCACACCAAAGGAAAGACAAGAATTTGAACCTAATGTCAAGACGAAATGGTGGTATAAATTTTTTTTGCAATGTCGCTTGATTTTCGAAAGGTCGTGGGTGTTGAAAAAATAAAACTTGATAGGTTTTTTTATTGTAATTTCGTTCACTAGTGGAGATCCATAGATCCGAGTACCATAATTTCGCCAAAAATAAATAATAGTCTAACTAAAAGTAAGCAATCATTTTTATTGCTTTAAGTGGGGTTTTAAAATTAGATAACAATTCTCTTCCTTTCTTTTGTCACAAAAGATAGGAAACACCCTGTATAAATCGCATTTGCTCTTCTAATTCCTCGGATAAAATCGGACAAATATTACGTAACACCTTAAAATATAATATATACGATTGCCAAACGAGGACTGATAAATTTGTAGATATATATGTATAAAAAAATCGTTTTTACTCCAGGAAATAGTGAAGTATTTACACATGCTGCCGCCGAATAGAAAAAATTTGCCGGACCTCATCAAGGACCCGATAGCTTTAATACAGGACGTCCGAACATTGATCGGACTGCACAGGCAGGACAACCGGGAATTGGCGATCACCGGAAAACCAATACTTTCGCGTATGTCCGCTGCCATGAAAAATACCTTTTTAAATAGAAATTTGTTTTCTCAGTGCCCGAGGATCTGGAACACAAGAGGCTGGGCCACATCCGCGGCCCGTACAACAAAACGACCAACCCCAACAGGCCCCTGAAACCTCCGTCGTCGTTCAGGGGCCCGAAGAATTCGCCTGGATCGGCGCCGGGCGACAAGGGCGGCCCTCGGAGAAGAAGGACAAGGTCAGAGCGTTTTTTAATTTTATTTTTCGTTTTTTTTTTCTGTCGTTTTTTGCTCGTCATTGTTATATTTTTTAATTAATATTAATTAAATAAATCTTAATTTTAAATTCACATTTAATTTAGGCAAGTCAAGGCGTGGAGGGGGTCGTATTTCTAATTTTGAACAGGTCTTCGGGTTTTTTTTTAAGTGAAAATTGTTCTCAAAAAGTAGAATTTTCGTAATGAAAATTAAAAATAATTTTAACTCAGTTTTTAAGGCGATCTTTCTTGATTGAAATTTTTATAATATACATTTTGGTTAAAACGGATCCATGGATCAGAAAAAAAATGAACGCCTTGTACAGTTTCCCTTTCATAATAATTTTTAAGCGAAAAAGTGTAAAGAAAGCAGTAAAAGTGTTTAAAGTTTCGTTAAAATAAAATTACCGGCTTTCGTGGAATAAGGCTATTTCTCCATTAACATAAAAGTTTAGAGAGCTGGTTATTTTGAAAATTTTGCATTTTTAGACACCCTTTTTAGTTCAGTATACAATCAGTTATATAATAAGGTTTTTCCATCGGATCCAGTGACGGAGTCAGTTATCTGTGTGTTCTTTTTCTTAATAAACTTTAGTTGCCAGTCATGACATTTAATAATAATAATTATTATAATTTCTGCCTCCCCCTTCCGCCATGGCTCAGGTCAACCCAAAATATGACAATTATGAGAAATTGGTATTTTATTATTTTATATTATCAGTGCGCATTTATTATTGCCAACACATAAGTTTCTTTTGACTTGGCAGATAACTTATTATATTAAATTATGTAGCTTGTGACATGTTAAAATAGTCTGTATTTTCCATGGTCTTCTCGTAAAAAAATAAAATAAAATATTCAGATCTACCGCGTTGTGTTATATTATGAATATAAATTATTAAAATGCATAGAGTGTTCCATCTAAAAAATGCAAATTTAGTTAGTTTACATGTAAAAAAATCGTGAATTTCAAAAAATTACTTACTACTCCACTGGATTCCTGCGTAGCAAAACGGTATCCAGCCAGTTTTGGTTTGTTGTGTCACCTTTATCTGCCCACATTTTGCCCATATCAATAATCGACATTCCCGGGGTCAAACAATTTGGTGGCGGATTTGGGGTTACGGATAAAGCGTTCGTTACTTGCTCGTTCGATCCTGAGCGGACGCATTTTTTTCCTCAGTTTTCGTTAGTTAACAAAAATTCACGAAATCTGACAATGATTTCTTTAATACTTACTTCCATAATATAAGGTAAAACGTAAGAGATCAAATTGTATATATGCAACAAGTGAGTTTATTTGACATGGCCGATGGAATTGACAAACGTCAAATTCAGGGCGTGGGAAATATCTCCGAAATCTTCCGATTGCTCCCAAACCCGTGCGGTTAAAATCCCGGAAATGTCCGAAGTGACTCGGATCCGTGGGAAATAAAACAGACGTGGTAAAGTGACGCTTCCAGCACGCTTGAGGGGTGTATAATTAGGTATTTTACAGACGCGAGTAGAAAAAGGTAATTTGAAGTCTCTTATATATTAAATTATCTTATGAAATTCAGGGCTTGATTGAAACTGAAAGATATAAACACCGCCTCGGATGACTGATTCCCATATTAAGATTGTTAGGTTGTTTATAGAGGTGTCAGAAGTTTACAGCATTTAATGAAAAATCCGAGAGTCTATAGAAATCTATAATTGTTTGATTTAAATCTTCTGGAGTTATAAATCAAACGTTTCGCCAATCACCCCGTTGGCTTCTTCAGAACTTAACTGAAACTGGCTCACATTCTACTCTGTACATGCTTACATTTTGTTTGGCGGAGCTAAAGGAGGGGCATGAACATTGTCACGGATGTTCTGTACGTTTACTGAGAATTCATAAGTTTGAGGCTCCGACGACTATTTTCCCCATAACTTTCGCACAAATTGTCTTTTTGAGCATTACTAAACACCTGAAGTTATAATAAATAGTTCATAATTTTGTTTCAAAAGAATGGACGGTGCCCAAAAGTAAAATGAAAACACCAATCGAAAATCTCGTTCCGACCCTCCGATCTTTTCCGGACGATCAGAACTGATCGTTCCGTTCCAAACCAAACCAACTGCTTGCAATTAAAATTACTTTAATCTAAAACCACCGGTGGTCGCTAGTATTTATTTTTTGGTTCGAATTTCGGTTCCAGGTGTAAGAAATGTTCGGCGTGCATGCGCAGCGACTGCGGCGAATGTTCGTTCTGCCTCGACATGGTCAAGTTCGGCGGTCCCGGGCGGGCGAAGCAGACGTGCAACATGCGGCAGTGCCTGCAGCCGATGTTGCCCGTCACGGCCGCGTGCGCGCGCTGCGGTCTCGACGGCTGGATGCAAACGCCGGTGGCCCTCCTTCAGAAAGGTTCGATGCGCTGCGAGGGTGCCAGCTCCCTTATGGAGTGTTCGGTGAGTCCGGTTCGGTACTCATCTGTCACGCGTGCCTATTTTTTTATGTAGTGTTTAAATATAAGCGGTTCTACTGGTTACCTATATACCGTTTTTTGTGAAAACCATGTTGATTTGGATGTATGCCATTTTTTTACCAGAAAAAACAACTGTGAATAAATTGCAGCCTGAAAAACCTTGGCAAAGTGACAAGATAGGTTAGGGATTTGACCCGTTCCATTATAATGAGTTCGATCTGCAGCAGGTGCCACTCTTTGCTCGCACTTCCTAAAAGGATATTTGCATCCTGCATAAGTAAAAGAGCTTTACCTTTTGCCAATACCCATATATTAAACTTTGAAGTTATGAAAAAACTGTGTGAGTCATATTTTATTGCCATGTTGCCTCGTATTATTTAACACTCGTTGATCGTCGACGCCTTCAAAAAAATACAAAACAACTGTTGTAGGTTCGTGTATGGATTAAGGAAATATGACCGCGTGTCCCCTAAAATTAAATTGTTTCGGCGGTCGAGAATAGACGATTCATTCGAGTAAAACTATTCGCTGTTTTAATATACTTCTAGCCCTCCCTATTGATGTAAATATTAGGGAGAATACGCTAAATGTGCCCCAACACAGATCTGCTGTTTACGAGCGGAGGTTTACCTATAATGCGGCAAAGACACTTCTTTGCTTTATCATCTTTAAAACTATTGGGGAAGAACATTAAACCTCCATATACAGACCGGCTCCATATATAGACCGCCCCCATATACAGACCGCCTTCGTATACAGATGGCCTCTTATATATAGACCGCCTCCAACATTATTAGATAAATAATTACAGAGTTTTTCCTATTATTATTTACTTTCATTTTCTTTTGTTTTTACTTTATTTTTATGTACTACGGGTTATCTTGTTACGAATTTTATTGTCAAAATTAATTGTGTTGTTGTCAATGTTGAGTAGCTGACTTAGTCGGCTAGACTTCTCTCGTTGAGAATTTAGTGTTGTATATCATGTGTCTCAATTCTCAATAGACTATTATTATTATTAATTAGGGGCGTCTGTAGAATCACCAGACTTTAAAAAGGGTCTATCTGGGCCACTTTCCAGGAACAGAGAAAGATGTTCGTTAATGTTGGTTTTTGTGGGTAAACAGATGTTGAGCTATTAAGTATCGGTTGCAAATCGCTCTTCTTTGCTGCACGTGCGACCTCACTTTTCTTCGAAATTGACTGGTATTTAACCATAATGCAGTTCAATTTGTAGGGTCTCTCCAATTTTTTGTAACAATATCTCCAACGTTTTCACCTTTTACCTCTGGAACCCAAGTTAACATATCTATCCTGTTGCTTCAGCTACTCCAGTTCTGATTTCAGAGAGTTACATTCAGCCTTAACTGATAGAAGTTCCTCTTTTAAGTTATTAATCTCCGGAGACATTTTTATAATGGTTTCCATTTGGGCAGTAAAGTCATCAATCCCCCCCCCCCCAAAAAAAAGAAAAAAACCAAGGAATCTTTGAAGTAGCCTTCCTCAACTTTTAATACGCTCGTAGTTGACATGAGTGAGTTAACCTTCACAACTATTTCTTGAAAGTACAAAAATATGGTCTGTATTTTAATTGCAAAAACAAATCCAACTTGCTGTGCCGCCAACATTTTTTCGTGGCCATGTTTTTAATTTTTTGGGGAAAAATTTTTTTTTCACTAATTTGTCATAAAAACTGTTCTTGTTTAATGTAAAAAATGTTAGTTTTTAGCAAGTTCAGATTTAGCACTAAAATAATTTTTCGGGAAACATGTTAATTAATTTAAATTTAAACGTTTTATCCCTAGATGTTTCCGAAATACGCTGCAAGTCTAGTAAAGACATAATAATGACAAGTGCCAATAGAAATTTGTATAAAAAATTGTAGGTATTGTAAAACATAACGAAGAAAATTAAAGACTAATATAAAACAAATTAGTTTTGGAGAATCAATAATGAATATAGTTTCTTTTTTTTTTTTTTTTCGTTTCTAGTATTGGGATGTTTTTTATATACCCACAAAACATGTGCAGGGTAAAAACGTTTTTGTAGAAAGTTTAGCCATATTGTTTATTGCATCGCAATTTAAAAAACGAAATTACTTAGCTCTGCGTTGCCAATTATGTTCGTATTTCAATCATTGATGTTGCGTTATAAAAATTAATCAATTTTCTAGAAAAATCACGGCAATGTGACAACTTGGTAAATTGGTAATAAAGACACGGTGTTGTTCGTGAAAATCTGAACTTTTAGTTCTTATTTATGTTGATAAATTGATTTTCATCAAATAAAAGCCAAGTTCAATTTTCGAAAATATCGTAGCTTCCTGCGGCGCATCAATTTTTACCGTAGTAGGGCTACTATACTATCTGCTCGTTTATAAGTGGAACCTCTCAGGTGTGCTACGAGATAGCCCACCCGGCGTGCGTGCAGCGCCTTTGTCCGGATTTTACCGGTTACATAAACGAGGACATGCCCAACTCGTGGGAGTGCCCGCTCTGCTGCAAGCTCGGCAAGAACACGGACTACAGGCCGCGACATTTCCGCGCGCGTCAAAAATCGTCCGACATTTTGCGGCGTACGAGCATCAGTTCGGACGCTTCGAGCGCGTTCGACAATAAGCTGCAGCCGGACCGTAGCGACTCGGAGGGCGAGAACGACCGCAAAGACTTCAAGGAACTGCTGCCGATCAAGAAACGACGCTCGAGCGAGAACTCGGAGATCGAGACGAAAGTGACGCCGCCGCCGAGTTGCAACGACATCCGGAAGACGGCGCTGCGGACGCAGCTCGCGCAGCAGATTGCCGGCAACAGCGCTAAAGCGCTGAAGAAACCGATGATGGTGGTGAGGCCAGCGCCGTTGATCGTCCCCGGCCCCGTGGTGCCGACCAACAACCTCGCCCTCGACAAGCGGGTGGTTTTAAAGGTGGGTATTGATATCAATAAACGCGTACATTCGTTTAGACGTGGTTTTTACTCGTATATATTCCGGTAAAGTTCGCCCAATGATATACCGTTTTTACGACATAATCCGTTATTTAACTCCCTCCACCTCTTTGCAACCGTCAATAAATAGATCTTGCGCTACCACAACGACGTCCAGAACCGTACTTCGGTACTCCTTGCGTACAAATGCTGAAAGATTTGCGTATAGTTTGATCGGTAGGATTCCTCGATTATTATTAGTCCATGCAGTGCAAAATTCAAATGAAGGAGTAAATTGAACTGAGGTGGCTTTTACTTTATTATTACATTTGTAAAGACACGGTGTTGTCGAAACAATTGTCACGTCCTAATATATAATTTCGTGAAAATCTGAACTTTTAGTTCTTATTTATTTTATTATTATTCCACTCGTCCCCCACATTAATAATTGATTCTGGCACTAGTGGACTTCTGTGAACATTTTCATATATCAACCGTCTCACTATTCCGGCATGGTGCGTGTCAAATAGACTTTTTGGGAGCCCACGATCTTTCCGCGTTTTTCTTTCTTGGACATCATTCACAACTATGCCGTGTACGTACGTCAGTGATCTCCGACGTTCATTTTATGGCTCCACCTCCCCAGATGTCGATTTCAGAAACAGGCACGCGTTTAAAATTATAATTTTGGCGGCAACCGGCAAATATGTCTTTGATCTATTTGAATTTGACGGATGTTCATCATCAACTTTTTCGACGCTGGAAATTGCAAGTGACTAACAAAATTGAATAATGTTAGTATTTGATAAGAAATACATTGTAATAAAATATATATGGTATGGTCTGTTCATAGATATAAGAAAGTGACCTATTGATTTTGAATGGGATTATCCAAGGGTGGTCATTAACATACAAGATTATTACCTAAAGTTTCGGAATTTAAATTCAGGTAAAATTGTGGTCCGTAATAGAAAATAATTTTATACCTACCTGTGTTTTTAATATTCTTTGGTTTGGCATACTACTTAGTTGAAGTTTATTAGTAATCATTCTTATTTCGTATGTAATACAGGGTGTGTTGAATCGTGTGCGAATTATGCAAAATATGTGCGAGTCTGGTGTATCTCAGGAGATGCTCCCGCCCAAATTTAGACAACACTATTCTATTGAGACTAAGCAAGTTATAATAATATTCTTCCTCGTGTTAACTCCAATGTCTTCAAACTTATAGAAAAAAGTTTTTAACATCCCTCCACAAAGTTGGGCAAATTCTGTTAAACATATAGAAAAAGCAGAACAATCGTATATCCATATTGCAAATAATAAGGGACAATTAATAATTAGAACAGGCGATGATAGCAATAGTGATATTGATATATTATGTGACTAATTTTAACTAATTTAAGTAGGTAATAAAAATAATTTGTAATTTTATTTTAGATTTAAACTTAAATATATACATAAATAAATAAATATTTTCTAGTATCTTTCCTAATAAAACCCCAAATAATTAAATTCTAAGCAAAGTACGGACCTGTTCGGCCCTATTTCATTCTTACAGCTTGCCCGGGTCTTTCCTTAATTCGTATCAGTTAGTCACTTTCTTATATCTATGAACAGACTTTACCTCGATAAAAATGGCAAACTGCGTCACAGTAGGTTGATAAATACTAATTACAACCCCCACAAATCAACCAATAGCAAACTAAGAAAATGTTCATTAAAAAACAATTATCTACATAAGATTTTGTATTGCTTTTCTAGGAAAACATTTTAGAGACATTATCTTAAATCCTTAAATTGAAAATCAGTTTAAGCTTTCTAATGTGTTTTTAATATAGGACATCAATTTATGTAATGGCCGAATTCAACTTGAAATCGAGGTTACTCAAGTAGGGAATGTTTTAGGAAGATTTGTAAAAATACGGCCCTGGTTTGTGGTACACGTGCTGAAAAGAATGGTTTACGACAGGCGGGTTTTAAAACTCATTCCGAAGTCGAAAACCATAAAAGGTTGTAAAAACGGTATATTTGTCGGCGAACTTTATAATTGGTTCTGGTAGCATGGAGAAATGCCGCTTTTACCCATATATTTGTTTATAGTGGAAATGTGGTTTCCGCTCGTGTATTTTTTCAAAGTGGTTTTCACACAAATATATTCGAGTCTTATTGGTTTTAATAATTTATATTTGCGACTTTTAATCTGTTTAAACGGCATGTGGTATTACTTGCGTATAATTTGTTTTTTGTTTTGTTTTTGTCAATCGTGTTTTGGTTCACTTCTGCTCTCTTTTTTTTGAAATAGGCATTTTTAATAGTCCTTCCCCTTTTAGGAAGCTCGTTTAAAAAGAAACGTTTTCTATCAATTATCTGATTTTTTTAATGTCTTTTGAGGTTTACTTGGATCATCTTCTTCTTTGGTATCTTAATGCCTCAGTATATCATCACATCTCAGCGAAAAGTCGAAATATCAGTCACACAGAATAAATGTTAGTAATGCAGTAATTATTCGTTTTTTATAACTAAGTTAGAACAAGGCAGTAAAATGCCAAGCGTTTACTTCCTTCATTTCAAACCAACCATGACCGAAATCGAATTTCATTCTTCACAATTCTGCAATAGCCGCCATTATATTTTCAAGATCAAGTGGCTAGCTCAGATTTAAAAAACATTTTCGTGGGATTCATTTTCAGGCGCTTTCAAGATTATCAGGATTTTTAATTACTTTCGCTAGTCTGCTTTCCTGGTTATTACGAATCTATCTACTATCTAGAGATTTTTGTACCAGTTTCTAGTTCACTTCCTGTCCTTTCACTTTTATGATTCTCCTTTTTTGCGCGCTGCGCATGTACACCCTACCTGAACGACGACACTGCGCAGGTGTTCCGGTTCCTCAGTCCGGCGGACCTGCTCAACTGCGCGCTCGTCTGCAAAACATGGGCCACGTACTCCATCGACCCGTCACTCTGGAAGGTGATGGCGTTCGACCGCAAACGCATCTCGAGCGACATGCTGAAAGGTACCGTTCGCCGTCAGCCGGAAGTGCTCAGCCTGAACTGGTGCCGCGTCAATCACTTCCAACTTCCCTGGCTGATCCAACGTTTAAACAACCTGAAACACCTTTACCTGCAGAGTATCGACGTGAAGACCGCCATTTCGTTACGCACGAACCATTCGGCCGTCCTCCATACCCTCGACCTCAGCTTCATATCCGACTTCAATGATCTGGCTCTGCGCGAGATCATCGGCGCGAATAACGACGCGCGCGCAGGTCACGCAGCCGACAAAATACGTTTCCGTAATCTGAGGACGTTGAAGATGGCGGGCACGGACGTAACTGACATTGCGATGCGTTACGTCACGCAGTACCTGCCGGGAGTGCAGCACTTGGGACTGAGTATGTGCCCGCGCATATCCGACGCAGGCGTCGCCCAATTGACCACGAAACCGGCCAACACAGTCGCGATGCTGGTCAGTCTCGATCTCAGCCACACGAAGCTCGTGACCGAGACGAGTCTGGAGCACCTGGCCAAGTGCGAGCGATTGGTGAGGCTCGATTGTCGCCACGCCCTAAGCATATCGACGCAGGCGCTGATCAAGTTTGCCGCGAAGAGCAAACACGACCTTCAGGTTAGGGATATCAAGTTGGTAGACGTGAGGCAGAAGTAGGAGATCGGGAGGAGGTCGAGGTTTGAAGACCGGCGGGGATGAAGCGTCGGGAAAGGTTTTTTTTTCGGGGACGGTGAGAAATTGCGGATTGTTCGCGAGAGGGCCAAACAAAGGGATAAAAATATTGGAAAAAAAAAATACAAGGAAATACAATACAATGTTTTTTTTTCTTCGTTGATGTTATAAAAAATGAGATAGCAGTCCGGATCTCGTTTCGAATGTTTTTGTTTAATGTCGGAATCGATCTACTTTAACTGGATTGAGATTATTATATTATATATTATTATTTCTTATCCAGTGGCGTACTTAAATAAAATGAATGTTTTAATTTTAGAGCGGTGTTACCCCGTGTCTGAGTATCTCAAAAAATGCATTTTTTCTTGCGGTTGCAACCGTATATAACGGTTAATAATTTGTTTTTCCTAAATAACTTAACACCATTTTTTATTTTATGGGATCGTTCCGCCATTAGAAAGGAGAACCGGACAGTATCTTAAGTTTTTTTGGTTTCTCCTACAATTTAACGCAATAATAATATAAACGTAAAAAAAACACACTGGACAAAACCCGCATCAGTTTTAGGTTGGGAAAAAATCTAAATGCATAAAACGGGGGAAAGAAAATCTGTGTAAAAAACAATAAGATTTTTTAAAGGAAAAACAATTGAAAGTTGCTTTTCTACCAAAATCGCGTTCTAGTTGCAAAAAAAATGAAAAAAGTCAATTAAGTTTTTTTGAAATAACAGGACACGTCAAAAACGGATTTTGTCTTCGATATTAAATCTTATTTGACTTCTTACATATATTTTTTTTAAATGATCGAACGAAATAATTGAAGATTTTTTGCGTCCCTATTATTATCTATCTATTATCTAGATGGTGGTGATTTCAGGGGTACCGAGTACCGACAAATAAATAAATCTATTTGCATTAGAGCCCCCAAACAACTGGCAACAACTCGAAAATAACCCGCAATTTCTTGTTTACCCTCCGACCAATTATCGGGCAACCTTGTATCGAATGGCAGCTTTCTTCGGTCCGTTATATCGTTAAAAAAATGCGGCGTTTTTATTACTTACTCAAGGGAAATTCCTTTCTCATAGGACGCCAGAACCTTAAACCCCAGTGAAGTTTCTAAATTACGTGCTATCCTTGCAACGGGACCGTGAAAAAATCAGACCTTCGGCTATACGTGAGGAAAACAAGCAAACGGCTTTTAAAGAGTGCGTATTTTGGCCCAATCTTTTTATCACCGCCGTCGGCCATTGTGGTGACTGCCAATGTTTGGAATCCAAGAATACCGACATAAGTTTTCGTGGGTTTTTTTAATTATAGACGATTTAACGGACTTCTAATTATTAATCAATAGTGTGCAACTACTGTCAATTACTACTCGGCAAGCATCAAAACTGGAAATGAAAAAAGGAGTGAAAATGAAAATGTACCGTATAAACTGATTGTCAAATCGGTTTGTTTGGTCCCGAAGAGGTAAAGCGTATTCCGCGGTAAAAGGCGTTTGCTGGGTTTCCGATCGTGTGAATTCGCCTTCGCTCGCGAAGGTATCTATGCGCAGATGGTACGATTTTTTCGCTGGCGCCGCAGCGTGTATTTGACACTCTACGGTCGAAAATTGCCGGCCTAGTGTAGTGTGATTCCAAATGTTGCGAATCGCCGTTTTGTTTAAATCATTTCCTTCTCGGTCGATCGACTGTGGGTGTTTCCTTTTTTCTTTTTCGGCCTAGACGGCGGCACAGAACGTATATTATTTTGCGTTGTTTTCACCAAAATGCCTTTAGACGCTGTGCATTTTGAGAAATCAAAATTTTACGAGTTCCCCGGTTAGAAGAACCCTTTCAATTATCTCTATACTTTTATACATATTAATTTTTGTTTCTATTATTTACGCAGAAGGTGTATTACCGTTTCTTTTCGTTTCATATTAAACTTAAACCAAAGTGTATATTTTTAATTAGGTGTATATAAATTGTGATTATTAGGCGACTTGCAGAGGGTGAAAAAGTTTTCGTTTCCGTGCGTGTTCTCTTCGTGTGTATTAAACGTGACACCGCCCCCTCCCAAAAAAAAAAAATTTGTTCGGTTCAACGGAAACGTCCATTAATTATTATTTCCTTGTTTTCGAATTCGTCCGAAAAAATGTCGAATTTCCTTTATCGGTGTGCAATGATTTGAGCGGTCTTTTTGGTTTTGTCCGTGTAAAAAGGAGTATTATTAGTTGTAGATACTTTTTTTTTTGTTTTATAAGGTTTATATAGCGATTATATATAATAAAAATTTTGTACGAAACGCGTTTTTGAGATCTCTCCCACTCCTAAAAATGTTTGTTCGCGTCGTCTGCGGCAGTGGGCCTTGAAATTATATTTTGTTTTGGTAGCGCTGTTTTTCGTATAAAATGGCGGTTTGAGGTGAATTGGTGCGAAATTCGAGTGTTTTGTTTGACGAATGAGCGACGCGAGTGTCGGTAAGGCGGTGTAGGTTGAAGGAGTGCGAAGGAGTTGTTTCTTGCGCGGGTAAGTACGTTCATGTATTATTTTACGAAATTGCGATTATATTTCGATATTTGGGGTATATTTAATATCGGGCGTCAATGATGTTACGTGCAATCAACTTTTGCTTAACCAAACAATTAGGAATAGTGGACGATGGTTGGGATTAGCCAACTTCGTAGTTTCAATTCGCAATTCTTAAAACGTATTTCCTTCCTTAATTGTTAACAATTGACATTTGATGGTCACGTCAACCCGTTTATTGTTGTGTTTACTTTTTGTTGAAGTTTATATTTGAAATATTTTAAGAATTAAGGAATTGTGATGACGTTCATGATAAGTCATGAAGTTACGAAAACGCTTATAAATTGATTATGCGGTTGTTTTTTTAGTGTACTCGATTTAAATTAGCAAGGCGAACTTTACAATAGACAAAAACGACCGGTAATGGGATTTTTGATCGAACGATATTTGATTGAAAATATACTCGGAAATATAAAATATCTAAGTATTTTTAACGTTTCAAAAAATTGTATTGGTTCGATGTATTTTTTATTTGAAGACTTAAAACGCATATGAAATACTGTTAGGTTAGCGATACTAGTTTGCAACCCTATAGTAAATTCGTAACCTTGTGTAAATAATATTAGCGAGCTACAAAGCTTCAATTCCTTCTCCCTTGTCTGGGCCTCGAACGTTAAGGTGAAATGGTGGTGTGACCTTTTTTGACCTCACTGATGATTGTGAAAAGAAATTTAATAAAATGACTATTAAATCATCAAAGAATACCGATCAACTAACCCTAGTCCACAACAAATACATATTTACCTAAAAGCGTATATTTGTTGAGATTTATGAAGACTCATAAATTGGTCGTATCTTTTAGACGTTTTGCTATTTTTATGCCTTTCTTGATTTAATGGTTCTTTTGAATAATATACCATATGGGTCTATGATGCACTTTTTAGGACCGTTTGCAGGGAGTTCTTTCAACGAAGCAACTGCGTTTTTCCGTTGATCTGCATTTATTTTAACGTATTATATTTTTCACTCATTTTAATAAGCTGCACTAAGATTTTTTTATTTATTTATATTTTATTTCTATTAGTAACACACACAAATACATATATAAGTCTTTATGTATTCCGATATTGAAATTTGATATGTATTTTATTATTATACAGGGGGCATCGTGAAAAAAACTTAGCAAATATCAAATAAAAAATTTATTAGAAAAAATATACATATATATCGAAAAATAGATTATAAAATACATAAATTCACCTCTAACATTCATCGTTACTCCTATAATATCTTTTATATAAAAGAGAAACTAAAAAAAAGAACAAAACACGAGTATATATTAGAGGCGCAGTCTTTCACAAAGGTAAACAAAAAAACAATATTGCAAAGAACGTAGTCACGCCTAATTTTCATAAATAAATAGCTCCAAATAAACTATATCATTATAAATAATATCGATAAACAAATGGACCTAACCTCTTTCGCCTTCAGCTACACTGTCGTTCGCGTTTACACGCGGAAGTGGGTGATCGGTAATCTCCTTCGTGCCTGTGAACAGAGTCTAAACTGTAACCCCCGACCTTTCTCAACCGCTTCACCCTCCACGTGCCGTTGTCGCCATTTAATAACCTGCGAAGGCTCGAATGAGGGCTCGTCGACAAGGGCGACGCGTTCTCGCTATGAGTCGTAGTTACTTCCCTGCGCGCATGCGGGGGACGCAGCTTGACTTGACGCAACATCTCCATCGATACCGCCGGTTGAGACAACCGCCGCGACAGCGGAGTCACGTTACGATCCTGCAAATCGTTTATTATTCGTCCCTCGGACTCGGTTTTTAATCGACCGATTCTCACTCACTGAAGGTTTTCGCAGTCTAACCTTCAAAATGTCATCTAGGGATATGACGGGTCTGGTTCCTTCGCCGCCGCTGTTTTCTTTTCCTTGTGGTTTCCTGGTTGGTTTAAGTAAGGGCGTCGGGTGTGCCACCAATAGCGATGGCGGCGGCGGCGGAGGAGGCGGGGGCGGGGGCGGCGCGCGAACTGGGTTCGCAGGGGTGAGCGGCGGGCGACATTTTAGGTCACGGACTTCATCCTTGAGGGAACCGAGCTCCCTTCTAACCTAAAATTTTGATCAGCAGTTGTCGAAATTGACGTCGAAAGCCTAAATTTTGCGAGAATTCGATAAAAAAAACTCCCTTGTCTAAAGATGTTGGGTTTTTAAGAATTAGAAACTTCTAATAAACAAAATACTAAACGTCCTCTAGCATGCAGTATGACTCTCAACTGTCAAAATAGAAGCCTTCAAGCCAACTTACAACAATTCGAATATAATTTCAGGAGGGCAGATTTCCACAAACTTTACAACAACATACTTCATCCAGATTTTTCCAATTTACTAAGTAATAAAAATGTTAATGAGGTTTGTGACAAGTTTTACCAAACATTGTATGTTATTTTGGAATTGCCAGAGATTTTCACCTACAGGGAATAGAGTTAACACCAGCCCTGAAGAGATTGTTAATGCTTTTCCTATGTTTTTTGGTTAGTTTTGGTTAGTTGGACGACGGGAGACGGGTAGATGTGCTATACACGGACTTTTCAAAAGCCTTTGACAAGGTGCCGTACTCCCCTCTAAAAAGAGGACGCTTGGATTTGGTGATGATCTTGTGGCATTCATATAGTTATATCTGCATAACGGAATACAGTATGTGGAGCTGCGGTCATGGCGAGTAGCGGCGTTCCCCAGCGTAGCATTTTATTGATATTCTTGCTTTTCATTAATGATATAGTAGCTAACATTGATAGTCAAATTTTGCTGTTTGCTGATGATAGATAGTGTGGTCGATTGTGTGTGTCCGCAGAATGATTTGGAGATTATTGGTTCCTGGTGTGCTTCTAATAACCTATTCCTGAATACAGTTAAATGTTTCGCAATGACATTTTCAAACAAAACTATAACTTTTAATTACCATCTGGATAACGTATTATTAAGAAAATGTTAAAGATCTGTAACCTTTGACACAAAACTCCTTCAGAAATTACGTCGATAAAGCCTGTAGAGGTGCACTCAAAATGCTGGGATTTATAGTCATAAATTCGAGAGATTTTGCAAGGGAACATATTTTAAAACTGTTATACCATAGTGATGTTATATTATACTATAGTTATGACCAATATTTGGCACTTAAATTGAAACCGTACAGGGAAAGTTGCTGAAATTTCTTCACTTTCATGTAAATGGTTTCTATCTACCTTTCAATTCAGTTTTTATACAAATTTTGCAATTCATTAGTGGATTGCCCTGAGTTGCTGAGTCAGCTGAACTTTCACGTCCTTCAAGGACTGTAAGGACATCACCTGTATTTCACCTAGTAACTCCTAGAACCAATTTTTTTATGAATGGTCCTTTCTATCAGTTGATGAAATTATTGAATGACTTCCGCAATGATATTGGCGTTCTTTGTCTTAGACGTTCACTGTTTACCACATTAATTACAGTAAATTTGAAATACTATGATGGATTGTATGGTTCACTATTACCTTGCTGGAGTGAATATAGTTGAATACTTATTACAGTTATAGTTTACAGTTCGTAAAATGAAATAGATGTTATAGATTATTATTATTATTATTATTATATTATACGAACTTTAAAAATTATTTAATAAAAGGCGATTTCCAATGCTTAAATTTCCCTGAAGGCGGAGAAAAAGGTGATAGGAACATGTATTTTTATTTTTTCGCACAGAAAAAATGTGGGATTTACCTGAGTCAACTCTTCCTTTAGCCTCGCGACGATGTCGTCGTCGCGCAGCTGCTTGGCGATGCAATCGTTTACTTCGCCCTTAACATTAACGAAATCGGAAGCGAGGGCCTCAATTCTCCTCGCGAGGCTCTCGTGTTTCGCGTCCCCACTTTCGCCTCCCGATTGCGGCGAATTGTACGCATTGCACAGCGCTGTCAAGCCCTGAAAACACCCCTATTAACTATATCCAAGTTATTTTACTCGGAAACCACCGACGTTTTTTATGTGGATACCGAGTTGAGCGCACGCTTCCACCATTTTGATCGACCACCTCACCGACGTCCTGCTGTAGCATTTGATCTTCGACACCAGCCTCTTTAATATTGGGTGAACACCCAATCTTAAGGATACAGAACGGAGGTTGTCGGAATCCATGGAAAATCTCCTGCTCTCGTTGAGTCTGGAGTACGAGATACTAACGGGCGACATTTTCGGATAAACCGTAAATTTTCTGGTCCTCGGCGATCGATTAAACAGTCGCTTTTTATCCATCACTTTTTCCGAGCCCGGAGTGTTAACGTTCACGTTCACCCTGTCGCACTTGGTTTCGCTCGTTTCGAAGACATTGCGATCCTTGTTTTCCACCTTTTCCACGCTTGAATTATTGTCTTCGCGCAAAATCGACTCTTTGAGTGTGCTGAGGCGTTTATTTTCTTGCACTTTGTGTCCTATAGGAGTCGACGAGGACTTCATTTCGAACAGCTGCGGTGAAAAAAAGGACGTCTCGTCCGCGCTGCTTTCTCTCGGCCACCTGTAGTCCTTATTCTTCAAATACGGATTGACGTTCACTTCGTTTATCGTAAATTTCGTCAATTTGACGCCGGTTTTGCGGTTGTTCAGTTCGCACGGCATCACGACGTCTTCCCGATTCGTCTGCGTACTTTTGTGGATCAAAGTAGGTGTCGCGTTAACTTTTAAAGTCTCGTTCCTCGACGAGTTTATATCATCGTCGTCGAAGAGCCTGTTTAGGTTCGTCACGTTCCAGTTCACGGAGTCTTTCTTACGGGCGAAACTGCGCCTCTTGTTTACCGGGGTCGTTTTTAAAGGGGAAGCTACATCGCCGAATCGATCGGCTTCATTCAAACGCGAAACCGGTGTGGTCAATTCGTCCACGTTGGAGTTAATTGGATCCTCGACGTCTCGGCTAGCTTGCCGTTGCGTTTGTTGCTTCTTGCGATGCCGCCTTCGTTTGTGTTTGCCCATGTTTCGTTAAAGTTGCAACACTATATACTAAAAGCGAGTCGCGCACGGTAAACCCCGCAGCCCAATTCTAAAAATCGACTGGAAAAAAAAACGAGAAAAACTGTCATTTCGTTTAAATGTCTTCAAATCTAGTGACTTTTGTTTTGCGGTGAGAACGTTAACCGTTAGCGCTTCTTCTTGACGGAAATGAGGCCCGGTGGATCGGTCATGACGTTAGATGTCTTTTTAAAGACATAATTTGTATTCCGGTTACGCGCTTTGATGTTTTTCGTGGTATGCTTATTATTGCACCGAAAACTCAACATTGACGAGTTACTTCTGCCCGCACCACCCATTCCGCTAACTTTATATTCGGAGCGTTGGATGTTGAAAACTAACCTCTGTTATGATCAATGGCGGATGCGTTTAATTTTGTTGATATTTTGAAAAAAAAAATGAATTTATTAGAACGAATAATAACGTCGACGTTAATATTAAACGGCGAGGAAGCGAAACGCGCGAAAGTGATTTACGTACGTCGACAATCGGCGTTTGGAAACTACATAGCCGGTTTTCACAATTGCGAAATCTGTTTTTTGCAATTTTACGACGACGACGATGACGAGTGTTTAAGGCAACTCAAACAAGTGTTTCCCCGTGCAGAGCCGGACGAAAATTTTGAACCGGCCCAGCGCGAGTTGAGAGCGATTTTGAAAGGAACCGAACTCGACGTGTTGGTATGGCGCGAGTTGTTAAAAATTGATAAAGGGACCACCGTCAGTTACGAGAGTATTGCGCGTGCTATAGGACGACCGAAGGCCGTCAGAGCGGTAGCAAACGCCGTCGGTCGGAACAATATCTCTTATTTGGTACCTTGTCATCGAGTTATTAGGAAAAACGGCGAGCTGGGCGGATTCGGCGGAGGAGTTCGCAGGAAGCTTAAAATGTTGCATTATGAGGGAGTGAAAATATGATTTGTTGACTGGATAAGTGTCTTTTTCGTTATAGGAAGGATTTCATTTAGTGTCTGGTAAACTTTAGATTGAAGAGTGTAACATGTTTTGGTTGGGGCAAAGAAAATTAAAGACTAATACATCGATACATTTATTGTAGGTTCTTAACTAGTTCATATAATATACTCTTTTAATTCTTTTTACAAACATTATTTTGTGGTCCTTTTGCTACTATCACAGATTAAAAAATCATTAATTTGAAACGCGCGAGGTGCGACGGATCCCCTGGGACCGTAAAAACTCAAACTCCCAGCGGGGAGCCATCGGTTCGCCCCCAAGGGGGGAATCGTCGGACCCCTTTCGAAAAATAAAAAAAAAAGGAAATATATTTTAGATTTTTTCATGTAACAATTCCTTCGTTTGTTTTTTTTTTGTTAACGATCGAATGGGGCGCTCCAAACGACCTAACCCTACTTCCTTAACGGTTATTAGAAGTTCTTTTTTTCAACAACAGAAACACTTTTTAATTACACAATTTCATCTCGTTTTGGCAACTATTATTACATATACAGTATGGTACACTATATACAGGGTGTTTTTAGCGTTCGGGACTTTTTTTTGCTCTGCGGGTTTTAGGCACTCGCTCTTTTGTTTGCTCTTCAGGAAATGATCGTTTAGGCCTGTCCTCTCGTTCGTAAATCATGTTCTTTTTTTTTTTTGAGGAAAAATTCGATCGATTTCCGTGTTTTTGGACATTTAGTAGTTTTTTTTTTTAAACACTTAGATAAGAAAATATTACGACCCAATCACTTGTTCTATTCTATGTACATATTTTTTTATACGCTTCGCATTCGACAGTATTTAGAATAAAAACATTTAGAATCAATGTGTCACACAATTTTTTTCTTGCATTTTTTTGTTTGTTACATAAATATACACACACGTACGGATTACACAGAAAGATTGGAAAAAGACAGTAATACCGAATTTTTGCGTATATTTCTTTTTGGAAAAGCTGACCCGAAATAAAATGAAAGCCAGCGAGGCGCTACTTGGGGCCTTAACCGAAAACAGAAACAAAAATGTTTTTGAAAGACTTATAATAGATCAGCAAACGTACTACCTTCGAAATTTTCTACCCAATAAGAGTAACGAATGTCTTTCGATTGCGCCACCTATGGTTAGTAACTTGTAACTGTTATCCTAATGAAATCTTTTATTTTCTGGATTTCACCCGCAATGGTTACCGCGAGGAGCGAATTTTCGGCGTACGATAAACTAATTGACACGAATTTCGGAATAGTTACGATTTTTATGTGTTTAATTAATAACAACGAATAAATTACTGATTTTAGACCGCCATAGGAAGGATTTTTGTGTGTGGCATAAATTGATTGGCATAAAACTTTTTTCGCAATTACAATTAGCCAAAACTCGCGTTTTTCTCTTTGTCATTTTTTGTTTTGAAGACTTAAATTACTGGAAATATTTTTCATGAAATCTAGAATCTTCCTTTTCTAAAATACCTTTTCTTTTTCATCCGCCTTGGAACATTGCACCGCACCATCTGCTTGAAAACGCTTATTTTCCATTACTTTTGTATAAAAAAAATGGCCAGTTTAAAAAACATCAAACAATTCCCCATGTGTTCTTTTAGAAATATTCCTAATACAAAAAATTCGCCTCTCGGTTCATTCGAACTACTACTCCCCCACCCTCTCACCCTCGGTCTAATAACAGTGGTTTACTATGTTTGCGCGTCACGGCTCCGCCCTCCCGCGCAGGCGCGTATTTTTAATTCTATGTGGTGGTGGTGTCGGGATAATGGAACTTGGTACCGTAAGTGAGGCCGGCCGACCTAACCGCCGGCCGTGGCGGCAACTGAGGCGTTATCTGGCCCGAGTTCGACTCGCTGCTGCTCCCGTAACGCGGTGATATTGTCGGCGGCTTCGCCGGGGAACCGACCAGATGGACACTGACAACAAAATCAAAACTTATGACCCGAAAGGTACCAGCCAAATAAAAAAATCTTTTCTAAAATGAGCAAGTAAAATTTATTTGCACGGGAAAGTGAATACTTTTCAAAATATGAGTGCTTTTTCACTCATATTTATGGTTAGAAGAGAAGATTATTCGTAGTAGGCTCTACAAAATGAACAGATCTAAATAAACAAACAAAACAAATCAGAGAATAACAGATACTTGTAGAGATTTTTTTTTGATGAGGACAGCAAAGAGGATTTGGGAAATTACACCAACCAGATGATATTTAAAAGGGATATTTTGAAGAATATGAGAAGAGAAGAGTTTCTCGAGTGGAAAGAGGGAATGAATACAATTTTCGGGATGTTAGGCCGGGTCCGTTGCTTTTTATACCAAAGCTATCTTCAGTAGGGTGTAAATTATCAGCGAAGTGTGTCTTAAAGTCCTGGCTTTTAACGGATCTTCCCCTAAACAATTATTGCGACGTTTTACAGTGCGTTTCGAAAAACCTTCTTACGAGTATGCCATGTCGTATCGAAATCACTTGTCAATGGTCGCAAAACGAAAAATGTATATCAATGTTTAATAAGTATTTAAATAGTGCAAAATAATTAGACATTAAATCTCTTTCAGGGAATTAAAAAGTATAGATCCCAAAACAGAAGTTACGCAGATAAATCTTGATTCGAGTATATCTGAAAAATGTGTATGAATATTTAATAAGTAGGGACTCATTAAACAAGAAGCTTTAAAAGAAATATTAATATTAATATGTAAATAATAATCGAAGGAAAGACAAAAAACTTTGTGACAATAAGAACAATATTTAATTATAAGATTATTAATTATTAGCTGGACTACCTTTCATGGAGTTATTTGCAATGTGACTAAATACTGAAAAAAAAAAAAAAGAATTGGGATCGCACAGATTGCACACATATCTGGCAAGGCAGCTAACTGAACTAACCAAAACTAACCCAATATAATTGAAGAGTGAAAATGCCAGAGGGGGATGTGTCAAAATTACTTTTTTGAGATAATCACGGAAAACTGATTAAATTTACAACAATAGTTATAATTGCGTATTCCTTTTCTCAGGACAAGCCGCGAGGCACGTACGAAATGTAAACACAAGATACACTATCCAAAGGATGGGTTGATACAAGTAAAAACTGTCAGGCGCGAGCACCGTCAAATAAGGGAAAATGAATATGGCCGAGGCGGTACAAGCTAAAAGCTGTAATATCCAAACCAATAGACCATGGCCCAAAGGCATGGAAAAAATCGTATTGTTTACGCAACATTAAAACCTAGACAATCGAGAAGATTTCTGGTAGCAAAACTGTATTTGAAGGGCAGTAAGGGAAATTTGAACTCGAACCACGAAGAAATTTCGAGATTTGAAGGCTGAGAACGGACTTTTTCGGTTAAACTCACCCCGTCCCGCCGTTCTGAGACTCTCGGCGTTCGTCGCCGCTCGTCCTCACCGAATGGTGCGGATGGAGGGCAGCGTGGCGCCTCATGTGCAGCTGCGACGTGTGGGTGGGGTTCAACCTAGGGGCGGGCGCGATGTAGTGGTGGTGCGACGCTCCCGGGTGCGGCAGAGTGTTTGAGTGGAAGCCGAGATGGTGATGGACGCTGGATCCGGGCGAGGGAGCGGGCTCGCGACGCGGGGGTAGTGGCGGAGGGCTCGTGTTGTCCCGCGGCGGTAGCATAGGAGCATCCGGCGCCTGTTTAACCTATAAAACGTATATATTATATCCCCTAATGTATATGTCAGAGATCGTAAGAAATAATAGATAATATAATAAAAATGATAAAATAGAAATAGAAACCCGGAGTGGAGAGTTGTGATGCCGACATAGGGTTAGACTCGGACATATTAAAAGAATGCCCATAACCCAGTGCTTAAATAAAACTACTTAAGCTTTAACAGGATTTAAGGTTACCAAAGGCCTTAAACAAGGTTGTTGCATGACTTCAACGCGATTTAAAATTTATTTGGAAAACGTACTGAAGTTTTGGAAGCAAAAGTGCAGGAATATGGGAATACCAGTTTACAGTTTACACTCTATCTTTCGCGGACGATCAATACACGTGCCTTGGACGACAGGTCTACGGCGAATACAAACATCTGGGAATGAAGAAACTCGACAAAGGCGGGACTCTGGACGAAGCAATAGCAGGAAGAAGAGCAATTTCCATGCTAAACTATGGGACAAAAATATAAATGTAAATCACAAAAAAAAAATTTACAATTCAATCGTTAAAAGCATCATGTAACTCTGAAGTATGGCCTCTGAAAGAAAAAACACAGAAAACGCTAAGAGAGACGAAGATGGAAGAAGGGCGGCTGAAAAATCTAGAAGAGACAGGATATGAAAGAATACAGTAAGACAGATATGAGAAAATACTTGGAACAGTATTCGAAATGTTTTGGGTCCACAATCTTATTATGAATGATAGAATATATATAGATAGATAGAATTATAACAAACAAAAGAGTATCGACCACTTAAAGCTACGGTTGCCCACATATATACCTGTTGGGGACTGCTGATCTCGGGACTGTCCCTCCGTTTTCGCGGGGGCAGCGGCGGTGGAGGCGGCGGCGGCGTCGGAGGGAGTCGCGGGCTTATTGGCTCCGGGGGGAAGTGCGGACCGGGAGAGGCCGGGCTGTGGGGTCCGGGACTACCCGGTGCCCCCGTCGAGCTTTGACTAGAGTGTGTGTACCGCTGGGGACTGAAATGCCGAGGGTGGTGTATTTCGAAAGAGTGTTCGAGTGTATACTTACGGGTGTTGAGAAGCGGCAACATTGTCCGATCGAGAGGGTCGGTATGACGCTGTCGAAATGACGGAACTGACGCTGGGGCTCCGCGTGTGGTTGAACCAGTTTATGATGGAGTTCGAGGGTGCCGCTGGCGAATTGGGGCTGAGCGTGGGACTGTTCTGACCGGTGCCAAGCTGGACCTGAGCGTGTCGGTTAAGAGAGAGATTAACGGGGTATTCGAACGAAAATACACGCAAAAACTAAACAAAGATAGTTGAGGACATTTAATATTCAAAATAAAATAAAAAAATCCGGTTTCGTTGTATGCAAAACCAGTGGTGACATCCGGATTTTCATATTGCACTTTTTAACATCTACATATTTCGCAGTTATGATAAACGATGAAATGACGCAAGCAAGCAAAAAAGCAAAAGCGAGATAGATAGAAAAAAAAATTGAGCACAATTGTATCAACATGCAACGTTAACAGAAAAAATATTAAAATTTGAGAAAATTACATTCGCAAAGTACGGACACAGCAAGATTGCTTTCGCAATCTCGTCGCTGCGCGGCTTTGTTTTTCAAAAAAGCCGCTTCGCGGCTTTTCGTCCTAAGGGGACGCATTGTTTTTCTATCGTGTTTCTGCGGACCACTATCGGACTATCGCAAAATCGATGTAATTTTATTCTAAATACACCGCGTATAAAGTGTCCTGCACGTATCGCCGAACTTCAAAGTTACGAAAACGTTTCTTAAGTATAAAAATTTGTACCCAATGATATTTTTTCAAATATTTCGCGCAACCTGTATGATAGACGCAACCTGAAACTCTCTTTTTGTGTTTTATAGTTTTTCAATTATTACTAATAATTTATCTACGAAAAGGCTAATTTTCAGGACCTTTCTTTCTTCTTGTCCAATACAGACAAACCCTGTACATTATCCAAAAAATGCTAAAGATAAAGGTGGATATCCCATGTTCCCTGGCTCATAAATTTATAGAATAGCGTAAATAGTTTTCGAGAAAATACTTGATTTCCGAAGCCCTGCAGTACGTCGTTAAGGTAAACGACGTCTTCCCGTATAGATTGAGCGTGACATATAGCGACTTTCCCACGGACTTTTTCAGTTAGTCAATAATTTACTACCGAAAGGAACAATTTTTAGTATCTTTAAGGCACCTATTAAATCTTATAATATAGCATAAAATATCCCGAACACCCCGCAAAATACGTGAAAACGTTAAATAGAGAAACTGACAACTGATTGATCGACTTCTAGTTATGACAAATTTTCATTAAAATAACCAATTTTTTAGTTTTCTGCAAATTGCCGTCGTACCCTGTACACTTTCAAAAAATTCTTCTTGTTCAGGTTTTTTTTAAGTTAGTAACCATTTTTGAAAAAAAAAAATTCTTGAACCCTCTAAAAATAGCCCCCCCCCCCGTTTCAAATTTGCCAAATTTGAAGTCGATATTCGGACATCTATCGTACTTCACAGCGATGTACGAAAAACAGAGGAAAATCGCGAAAAAAACATGGACGTCATTGTTCGATCGCAGCCCTTGCCTATAGGATCACGTGGACTTTTAAAAGGAGTTAAATTTCAACACCTAAGTATGAACCGCTCGGAAGTTATTCACTATTCACATTTTTATAGAGCGTCAACAGAGAACAGAGAACGGACAGACATTGAAAAAAAAAGTTTTTTTTCGATCCTGATCAATAGACCTACCGGGATATGAGTTTCGTTTCTAAGCGAGTACACTTTCGAAAAATTCGATTTCATCGATTTTTGCGAAAATAACTGGTCGATAAAGTTAACTATGTAGAGGAAATAATAAAAGAAAAGGACCAACTAGTTAGCTGAAAATCTGTCTTTCATTGCGACGAAAGCAATCAAATGATAAAAAGATAACTTAGATAAAGATAAAACTAAAAGTAAAAAGAGATGGCGAAAAACAAGAAACATTGTCGACAGCGAAGGAAATTGTATAAAAAGCGACACAGGCACGAAAGTTAAGCAAAAGCGCCGATTAACGAAGAACAAAATAAAAGTCAATTGGAGTAAAAAATGTCGATACCGCAGAAAAGTGAATACACAAAAATGCCAAAGAAAAAGCCCAGATTAGAGGAAGAAGCGACGAAAAATCGGCACACAGAAAAAAAAAACGAAACTTACTGGAGCGAACACGCTGAAATCGTTATCGCTCTTTGACGACGAGTCTTCGCTTTTGCTGTCGTCGCTTTTGATCGTCGAGCTCATCGTGTTCACGGCGTTCGCGACGACGCTGGTCGCGCTCCGTTTCGGCTACAATAAGCGCGCGTCACGTGACCAAGCCCCCACACGTACGCGCTGCGTATGTAAACTCACCTTTATTCCCGGACTTTTCAACGTCAGGTTCGGCCATCGTCTGGGGAATTTCGGCAATTGGCGGCAACCACGCGGTTCGATCTCCATCGACTTCTGGTATAGGTAGTTGGAGATGTCCGTGTCTGTTAGGTCGCCGAACGGGCTAAGGTGCTCGAGGAAATTCTGAATCAACGAAAAAAAAAATTGGCAACGTCGCGAAACAATTACGTAGATGGAATGACAAACAGGTGTGCCAAATTTTCCATTGCAATACACTATATCAGTTTTACGTAAGACACCTTTTTTTTATATGATTACTTTAGTTTTGTGTGATTTTTAATTAACGGAGGCTGTTAATGCGAGTTCCTGGTCAATTATGAATATTTGTTACGCTCGCATGTCCTTTTGATAGTTTAATTAATTTAATCTAGCCATTATTTTATTGTTATTTGTTCTAATATTAAAAAGAAAAACAATTACTTAATTTATGTTAATTTCGCGGTACGTTTTGAGGCCTATATGCCTATTCGTTTTTTTTTTATTCAAAAAGCTGGGCCCAGCACTGTCTGCGTTCAAAGAAACTTATTTAGAAACGTGATAATAGACGTCGCCTGGTGGAAGACGACTGGAATATTCGACACCCATCGCGAGAAGGCAATCTATTAAAGCGAACACCATAGAAGCAGTCAGTCAGAAGAATAAAGATGTACTGAGGCTCTAGCGTCCCAGAAGTGTCAGGCATGCGCAATTTTTTTAGGACTGATCTAGTACAATTTGCTTATTAGAAGTTTGAACTGTTCAGAGCAAGTACTGTTTTAGAATTATTTTTCGGCGGATATTTTTAATTCTCGTATCATCCTCTTTGCTTGGTCGCTTCTGTAGGCCGTTTGTGATAAATATAATAGATTTAAGTATTAGCCTTCGGTCATCATCAGAAAGTGAAGATTTTAGACCGTACTTTAACGGAATCTTTGCAATTAGTATATAAACAAAATTATGAATTTTGAATTAAAAAAAAAAAAAAAAAAAGCTTCTCCAAAAATGTATTGCTATTGATTCGACTTACCCTGATCTGGGGCTCGACCTTGAAACAGTAGGGCTGGTTCTGGTACTGTTGTATTTCGCCAGTGATCTCGGCGACTTTTCGTCGCTTGAAAAAGTTGATCAGCTGCGTGTTGGGCAAGAAATCGGGGTTGCCCTCTTCAATGTGCAAAATATTGGTCATGTACATGCCGAGGAACGGAACGCACGGCGGGTTTATCGAACGCAGTTTCTCCTGGTACTTTTTCAGGTGATCGTCGGCGCGGTCGAAGATTTTCCGATATTGTTGCGAGATCGCCTGGAACGTGAACTTGAGCCGGTGAACTGCCGCGGACTGAGCGGCCGAACTGATCGCCAGCACCCCGTTGAAGTTGTTCATTTCATTCAGTGCGATCATTATTTCGCAGATACGGTTCACTATGGCGACGCGTTCTTCGAAATTCTCCGCCTCCACAATGTTCTTCTCGAGCCACCTCGTGAACTACAGAAACGGAAAAAAAGTCAGATAAGGAGCGTGCGCCCGTCGACAGGGTCGAGTATGAAGAAGGAAACGAATGTTAAAATTTCACAGGCTGGGAAAAGAATAAAAGAAAGAAGGGAAGATATATTATTTGAGGCTGTGGATATCGTGGATATCTTTGTACTAAAATATGTAGCTAAAAAGTTTTCCTTTCCTTTTTGGTTTTCACCAGAGTTAAGGAGGTTATTGCTAAAAAGATTGAGCACAGGCGATATTGAGGACATTGATCTTAATTGCCATTACACCGAGTTTGTTCCTTACGTAGGGAATGTAAAGAGCCGAGTAATGCCTGTTATTCTCAATATGTGTCTGATGTCGAACAGATAGGAGAATGTGGGGAAATTCTGGAAGTTTGTTGGTGATAAGCACGCTGTGTGAGCTACGGAAATATCCAAGAGTGTGATATGTGATCAAGTGTTTAGTAAAGGGAATATACAGTATGATTTGACTGAACTAATAAATGTGATCGATCTAACCTTTGACAGTGTGTAAAATGTCTTGTTGTCGTTGAATGTTAAAAAGGGGGGCTGGGCCTAATATGATACCACACCAAATGAGGGAAGGAGCTGTATTGTTGTATGAGCCATTATTGTTTTTAATTAATAAGTCCAGAGAGATGTAAACAGGCATTTATAGCCTGTATATTCAAAAATTGTACAGGCCCATTTGCATACAATCGGCAATACCTAATGTATTGGAAAGGATGGTTTTGCCAGTGCCGGCCTTAGTCTTCCGTGTTGAGCAGCAGCACGGGTTTGTAAATGGTAAGAGGTGCATTCCATATATACTGACTTCAGCAAGGCCTTTGATTTGCTGAATCAAGGAGTATTACTGAACAAACTTCAAAAGTTTGTTATTAGAGGTCCGTTTCTAACGTGACTATCAAGTTATCTCCAGGGCCACGTTCAACAGGTCAAGATCAGCTGCTTTATGATTTTACCGCTGCATATGGTCAGTTGATGATTATGAAGTGCTACAAAGGGCTAGTGGAGTGGTGTAGGATGATCAATTTAAAATTAAATACTTTAAAATGTGCCTGCAAAAATTGCTCACATAGAATAGATTAGTGTGTGTTGAAAAGAGTGCAAGTAATATAGGATTTAGGTATCATTATGGATGAATCATTAAGTTTTGAGTAGCACTTTGAGGATATCATTAGCCGTTAACCGTATGTGAGTAATGGCTGGTTTCATTTAAATTAGACATACAAAAAATGAACACTTTTCTTATTATCAGTTGATGGAAGACCGGGTGATCAGTTCAAGTTGTACAGTCATTAAAGACCCACCCAGGGCTGTGGCGCTAAATGATTATGGCTTGCGGGATTTCTAGTTTTGTGGCAACCGTGTCTGAAAATTGGGAGTTAATAACTGGCAGTAACATAGAAGATCAAAAGGCAATAAATTTTATTTAAATAAAATTTATTTTCATCTCCTAATGAAGAGCCGGAAAAGTGGGTGGAACCCTGTGTGTGAGTGTTATGGTTTAGTGGACGAAATTTAATCAAGATAATTAATTTAATTAAAATTGGGATCAACTTTTTTCCCGAAACTCACGTTCGTCGTGTGCTTGATCATTTTCAACAGATTCGGGCTGGTTTTCTCTTTTTCCTTTTTCATCCACACGGAGCCTACCAACTCGGACGGTTTGATCATCCTATAGAGGTCGAACTCGATGACGGTCAATTGACGCGCGACCTCCAAAGGATGTAGCGTCAACACTCCGTATTCTTCTTCGTTGCAGTGGATATGCCATTCGACGGGTGGAGGTCGTTCACCGAACGCGAAGTTCTTGTGCCTCTGGTTGTCGGTCTCGAGCTGTGGCGACAATTTTCGCTGCACGATCTTGATCACGCTGTTCACCCACTTGCGCATGCTCTTGCCGTTGATCGAGTCAAGGAACGACTGAAGTTTCTTGAGCAGGGCGGGGTCACGTTCGAAATCGTAGAAATGCTGGTCCACCCAGTGCCGCAACACGTTCAACACCCTGAAGGGGATAAGACAGCGGTGACGCGCCATAAAACTCTTTGGACGACCGATTAAACATTTTTGAACTGCCGGTATATTTGAAATAGCCACTTATTCAGAGTTGAGTTGTACGTGAATGTAATTCTCAATCATTCACGGTAAATACTACAAAAACCATTCGAGTGAGAAATGAACGTTCTATTTTGATGTTTGTCTCGAGTATGGTATATTTGAACTACTGCTTCTTGCGGTTCATCCATGGCAACTTGAACGTTTCAGGTTCGTCGTTTGTGTGTGAAAATAATTTCAGGTTTTAAATCGAGCTACGCACTATAAAAACGGGAAGAAAACATTAACTTTTGACATCATCTTTTACTCTCAAACCAGAGATAGGAAGTTTTCAAATCAAGATTTGGTTAGCTTTTTCGCCAGTGCCAGCGTTTCTCAAACAGAAATTGGTCTTCCCATCTACTAACAAAATACTATACCTCGTTTAAAGTCAATATAAACGAGAAAAACAACCTACGAGAACAGGATCCCACGCTAGTAGGGTGTTAATGCAACAAGTTTCAAGAACGTCTTCAGAATGACTAACCTCTGATCCCTTACTGACTTATATCCCTTTTTTTACGAGGCACAGTGGGGGGATTACTGCCCGGAAAATTTACTACACATGCAGTTCGAAAAGTAGTGTCAGTGATCGTTAATGGTCTGGAAGATGGCGACCATTTGTCACTGTCTCTTTACGATATTTCGAAAGCGTTTGATTGCATTAGTCATTAAATTTTGATGAGGAAATTATCAACTATTGTATGGTATGATTCATCTACTTTAAATCTAAAACATGGAGCCCCTCAAGGATCTGTCCTAGGGCCACTTTTATTCATTATTTCCCCTTATGCATCAGTCTCATCGAATGTTCACTATTCTCTGACGATACTACGACTTAGGGGGTTCAGCTGAAGGCTCAGTCTTGGTTTTCGTGTAACAATTTATTTTTAAAAAATCATAAAACACAAAAACTTTTAATTTTAATCAATGCATCTCTTACTAAGGGTGATAGCGTCACTCTCCTTGATGTCATCTTGGAGGATAATCTTAATTAGAGTGCTCATATTGATGTTTTATGTACCAAAATTAGCATCTACACGTTTCGTGGTTAGAAGGTCGAAAAACACACTTGCATTGTTCCACTCTGCAGTTTCACTATAGGGAAATTCTAAACACACATTTAAGGGTGTTTAGACTCCAAAAAAAAGTAATTAGAATTCTGTTAAACCTCAACTATCGAGAATCATGTCGACCTTATTTTTATAGTCTTCGAATAATGCCAGTACCTTTAATCTTCATATATTGTAGCCTTAATAAAATACTTTTATACAAGAAATTCTCATCTTCTGCGAGTACCTTGTTATCGTTTAAATAAAACGAAAAATCTCTTACAACAAATATTCAGCGAAAAAGCTTTCGAAAGGGGAATCAAGCCGGTGTTTATTAATAATTGCTTCTACAGCAATGATAAATATTTTAATTTTTACTTGAAGGTAGTCCTTCACACATACAACATACCTGAACTGCACTGGCTGCACATACTCCTTCCGGTACTTCTTCCAGTCCTCCCGCTGACTACTTTTCTGTATTTTGTCAGTGTCCCCTGGGTCTTGTTCATACACCAGCGAGGCGTCCGGAATATGAAATCTCTCTATGAGCAATTCCAATAATTCGGTAGGCGAACAAAAACTACGGTAGGTGGTTAGAAACGTTCGCACGAATTTCGGGTCGGCGTAGATGTGGTAGGTCAAGCGTTCGACCAGCTTGTACAGCGTCGCTCCCTACACGACGCGTATAAAAATCAACTTACAATCATAATACTTACGAAGAATATTACAATTAATCCGTCTGCTTAATAGATGCATTTTTTTAAAACATAAAACTGACCTTTATAAGTGGTACGCCGCCGTTTTCCCTCTGTTCCAAGACGATGTTGTCTGAGGAGTCGGGTTCGGCGAATTTGTACAACTCGGGTGGGGGTAGTTTGAGGGGGTGTTGCTGCTCGATGCGAGATAGTATGCTATCGAGCACGCGCTCCAACATGGACCTGAAACACGTGCGAAAACGACCGCTCCCGTATAGTACATTTGAACTACCGAGCGTTTTTTCGCACTCACCTGTTATTTAACATGACTAGATCGGCCATCCACGAGTTCTTCTCCTCGACGCTTTTGGCACACAGCACGACGCTCGGCATCTGTCTCGGCAGTATCTCGAATGCGTGCTTCATCTCTTCAGTGTCTTCGTGATCTTTGATTTCCACCTTTCTCATGAAGAACCGCTCTTTCAGACGGCACTCCGGGTGGGTCTGGTGGTGTATTGAGCTTTGCCTACGAGACGACGTGATGGGCTTGCACAGTATCATCAGACCGTCGAAAAGAAACACTCGTCTCTCGGTTAACCGTTTCTGGCTGACTTTCGTCAGGACGTCTTCTGCAAGATACAAACCACGTCTCGTCTTCGGTAGTAGAGCACAGAATATTGAGCATTTCAAAAGTTCCGCTCAAAATCTGCTTTTTTGATGGTTCGCGCCACTTACCTCTGATAAATTCGTTGCAACACTGACCCAGGTCCTTGGAGTCCCAGTTCTCGACGATCCTCTCCAGCTCTTGAATTTTTACGATGGCAGTCGACCGTCTAGTCTTTACCTGGTTTAGCGTTGCGCAGCTCCGCGGTATCGACTGACTCGGCACGCAGCGATCTTCAAAACGCGATATTAAAATCCCACACGGCAACAACGCCGCAAACACTTACTCAACTCGATCTGTAAAGGCTTTAGCAGCCCCTCCACCTGCGTCAACGTCTCTTTGTCTTCGAGGGCGGGGCTCAGCCCGATCAGTAGCCGGATGTATTCCATGTAGGAGAAAAAATGCCAAATCGGACCGACGAGGAGGGCGGGCAAGTAATACTTTAATGCCAGCGGCATACCTTGGCCGGCAGTGTGGAGTGCGCCCTGCATCTCGGGCCTCGCTAGAAGATTGTTCAGCGTTTCCCTACATGTGGGTGCCGTCACTTCACGCGCGTACTTGACGTAGACGTCGAACTCTGCGGCCTCGGCCAGCTCTGCGCGAAACACGCCGAACATAGATATATAATCTTGACCGACTGAGACAATGTTGGCAGTGCTGGCCATACATTAGATACAGCATAATATTTTTACGTACTCACAAGCATAGGTAAAAAAAGAAATTTAACTTATACATTAACAAAATGTCTTGGTAATATTTGGTTAAACATTATTCCCAAAATAACAAATATTTCTTTTTATTCATTAATTAACAATAGCAATATGGTTTGTAAGAGATATATTTTTTAATGTGACAGTATGTACCGGAATGCAGGAGTTATTAAAACTCAATTTCAGTTGTGTTTTGTTAATACTCGCTTATTTTTTGTGAGAAAAGTTACTTTTTAGAAATGAAAAGGTGTTTCATGGGTGGAGGCACTTATTTTATTGTTTTGCATATTTGGGCTTAGTATTATCTATTGCAGGTTTGCAAAAAAGTATCAAGGGCATCGGCTGTGGTTTGCATTATTTCTAAAAATGCGTCAAACTTGTTTAATTTAACTACGGTTACATTATAATCTCACACGCCAGTGATTTGTTGCTCTTTTAGGAAATTATTTTTTTCTACTCCCGTCTGTAAAATACCTAATTACCTACCGATCTAGAATCCGAGGGATTTTACCGCAGGGATTTGGGCTGCAATCGGATGTTTTCGGAGATATTTCCCACGCTTTCAATTTTGACGTTTGTCAATTCTGACAGTGAATGTATTTGTGTTTTGCGAAAATGTACTCAAAAAGTATAGTATGCAACACGTTTGGTAAACTTTTTAACTCACTAGTTTATTAAAAATTCATTTTTAGGCAACACTCCACTTGCTGCGCCACCTACCTTCAAAACAACTCCCGATGTACGGCATTTGTTCCTGTGCCATCTCCATAACGTCCTCGAGACTGCCTGACAATGTGTACGTCAGCTCGTAGATGTCCATTATGTTCGAAAATATCAGTTCAATTTCTCGCGGATCGGAAGTCAGTTTCTTTATCTCTTCCCGAAACACTTTGATGATCATGTGCAGTTCCTTCAAGTAGGCCTTTTCCGAGGCAATCAGTTCGCGCACAGTCTCCTCGTAGGTCAAGCTAGTGCGAGGCGGAGCAGCGGACACCAGCATTTCCGTCATACGATCGCTTAACGTGCCGCCCCCTCCTTCGTCTTGGTAGAACATATCCATTAACGCCTAAAAACCGAGCGATTAAATCGTCCCGCAGACCACGGAGAAAACGCTGCGTTTCGTCAGGTGTGTTCTTAAATTCGCTTTATCGATAACGAATTCCGCCCGAAGGCGAATAAGCGAACGCGCCTTTCTATCATCCGTGATTCCAGAGCCGCCGTGATTTTAACGTCGCGGCTTACTGCGTTAATTTTGCGGCAACAGGCGTCGGCCGTTCTGTCGTTAAAATGTTATACTTAAAGCCACTAAAATACGTTGGACATGCCGTGCATCATATTCGGAAAGTTTTGTGCGTTTTTTACTTGGTGTTTGTGTGACACGAGTGGGTGGTGGAGGCGAAACAAATCATAAAGAATGCAGTCTAGAGCAAGCAACCAAAGAGGTAAGCTGGGAACGATAATGGTGGCGTCTAAATTCGAGTACCTATTCGCGAGGGTTTCATTCTCGTATTTGATAGTTCGGGCAAAAAAAAATGCGTCAGTCGCAGCCAGACTAAGGTGAAAATATGAAGCGTCGAGCGTGAAAAAAATTACCGTCGACTACGTGAAAATTCGGAAACTAGTCTAAAGGGTGTCCCTAAAAATTTTCCCGTGTTCCGAGTTTGCTATCCGATATTAAAAAAAAAATAAATACAACGGCTACCTACCATGGATGTGGGCTTTGCGACGCAGCGTGAAAAAGCAAAAAGCAATTTATAACAAAAAGCTGCCTAGTTGTAATAACAAATCAACAGAATTCCATCCAAATTCTGACCCTTTCCAGTTTTCCAAGCTTGGAAATGGAAAATTAGCGGTTATCGCGGGACTGTTCTCATGTATAATTTCATTTTATGGGCCAATTTATGCTGAATTGACAGTGAGTGGCGATTCTGTGAATGTCGCGCCTCCAGCAGAAGATATAAAGTGTAGAAAAAGTTATACACAGCCATTCACGTGATCGTGGCGCCACCGCGTATATAGATAAGGATTTTACTGCTTTACTGGAAAAAGTCAGTGTCTCGGTTTGAAAAACAAAAGACAAAATCCAAGAGACCCGCAAAATTTCAGTTGAATTTATTCATCTGCTAACTGATTTATAGAATCGACAATATATATTTATCTATTAACCACACTTTCCGTTACATTTTCAAACAACTAAAACCGCCATTCCTACCTTGTCAACTTTCATAGAAATCTGCACATCCTGGTAAGTAATCTCGACGTGTTTTATATTTTTCGCGTAATTGCCGACCAATTTCAATATGTCCGCCGATATATACTCCAGCACCGCGACAAGAAACAATGATACCGTGGAGTCGACTTTGTACGATAACAATTCCTAAAACAAATGCGGTATGAAAACCTCAAATCTGGCCCGAAAGCCAGGGGGTCGCATTTTTATTTTGTACCTTTTGTAACAAATAATGGATTTTATCGACGGGCAGCAGTAGAACTGATTTCTTCTTGCCGCGTTCTAGCGCCTCCTGCGCTTCTTTGAGGGCCCACCGGTCGATGGGGGTGGGAAATGTGTTTTGAACCCTAGATTCGACATCCTGCAGATTAAATTTAGTAAACGTGAAAATCTGCGAGCCAAAAAGGGTTATTTTTTTATACCTGAACTGTGTGGGGGCTGGGTTTTGCGCAGAGCATAGCCAGCAGACGGAGACACAAGTGCTCCACATATTCTAAGGCTTCGTCTCGTGCCCCCAGAGAGGGGTGCACTTGCTCCAACACCTGTGTGATTAAGCATATATAATTTGGTTCAAATCCATTGTGGTATGATGTGGTTCTATACAGGATTTTATTCAATTATACTTCTAAGTACTATTTAATTTCTTGGGAATATAGAAGTATAAAACTCAACCCTTTTCCTTTGGGAATGAACATCAGAGTTGGTTAATTTTATTTCAAAATTGATCAGTTTAGATTGGTTGATTATTTTATTTTGTGTACGATTCACAAGATTTATTTAAGGAGATTATTGGTATCACAATTAAAATGCAAATTTAAGGTTATTTTGTCTGTTATTACCAGTCGAAATTACCAACAAAGTTACTTATTTTGTTATTGGGGTTATGCGGCATTAAATACATACATAGATTTTTTGCTTGAACAATTTTTACTGTCTTTGTTGTTTAGTTGAAAATTTGACCTTAACAACTTGAAAAATAACTCAAAACCGAAGAATTTCTTCTTTATATGCTTCTTATCAATTACGAGTTCAAAGCACCATTTTTTCAGTGCTGCGGGTGACATGAGTATTCCCAACCTTCCAGTTTTGTTTGTTGTTTGTTTTGTATTCGTACTAATGTTGAATATTACATTTATTTAATTTGTGTTTTATTGATGTTCGATTTTACTGACATTAATGATTAAATAAAACAAAAACCAAATTATTATCTTCAAACATTGTAGAACAAAAGAGTTAATCATATTTTTATCACTGGTAGAAATGAGTACCACAAAGGAGCGATCACCATTTGGCAATCCTCGTTAAGTTACATTCAAACATTTGTTCTGTGTAGATGCAAATAACTAATACGAAAGCCAGACCGCAGGCCAAATGAGTTTCGCAAATGTTAGGTTAGTTTGTCTATTAAATTTCGAAAACATATTTCGCGGAGGGTGACATTGTCCTTCTTCATTTTCGTCAACACCGGGTTTTATTTAATTCATTTTTTAGTTCTTTCGTATGCGGATTTATATCCCTCTTACTTTTTTGAGAGCGGACGTAAGCAGACCCTTCCATTTGGCCGAGTTTTCTTCGGACTCGAAATCGTAAGCGGTGTCGCAGGACCCGATGCCCGTATTCATATTTGACACCCGTCAACGGCCGTTCCGGAAGCCATCATAAAAACTACCACCGTGGTCGGTCTCCGTCATCATTGTCCGGGACACGCACTCGCGATCGAGAAGGCCGCGCTGGGAAGAAACATGGACGCGCGCCTGGACCACGGGAACACACGCAAAATAAAAACGGAGTCGACGCCGATGGAGGTTGCACGGCGTTACATTCTGAGACGCCCGGGCGGACGAAAAGTCGTCGCAAAAACAGGTTTTTTTTACTTGGGGCGCACCACGTATTTTTCTCACGACGACAACACACACATACACAGAGGACCGCCGCTTGTCAGTGCGCCATGTTTGTACGCGACGTTGCCGCTGCTGGTTCCTTTACGAAGCGTTTTTATACGCACACTTAATTTCGCGCAAGCGCGCTATTCGAAAATGCATAAAAAGCTTTTTAGTATTTCGCATTAAGTAATAATTTATAAAATAAAATACTTTTATAAATTGTGCTGGTGAAGGAATTTAAGTACCTATTCAGGGTACACTTTTAGTGAACAGACGAATGAAAGAAATTGAAATAGGGGAGAGAAAGTGATTTCAAAGAAAACTGACAGTGTGATGGTGAGCATTTTAAAGAATGGAAGGAGCAAGGAGAAATAGAATGGGTGCATAATAAACAATGAAAAACTCCAGGATATATTGTTAGAGAGGAGTGGAAAGGTAACATGAATATTCAAGTGATGGGAAGATTGGGAGAAGGCATATATGGCCTCGCCTATAATATATATATATATATATATATATATATATATATATATATATATATATATATTTTATAAATGCATAGAATTTCGCAATCAAGGTGTCCAAAGCGTCCAGGGTGTTGAATATAATGTATAAAGGAACTATAACCCTTCCTTTCACAGAACAACAATTTAAGAAAAAGGGCTTTTCCTTTAATGAAATGTGTTTTTATAATGGTGTCCCAAATGAACATAACAGAAAAATTTCAATAGGTGGCGTCAAAACGTAGTTTGTACAAAAAACCGATTGCTTTGAATGAAAATGAAATGTAATTAATGTAATATCAACAATCAATAATTATGTGTATTTATTTATAAATATACATACATACAAATAAATTGGCAGAAAGCGTCACTTTGTCAAGTGAGTTGCTTGTCCCACGGATTCAAGCCAGTTCGGACATTTCCGGGATATTACCCACCGGTTTAGGAGCGATCGGATGTTGTCGGAGATTTTACCGCACGGCTTGAATTTTGACGTTTTTTCTTTTTCTCCAAAAGATAGAGATAAACTTGACCATGTCAGGACGGTCATTAAATTGCATTAGTAAAATTGTTGTTTTTTTAAGCTGATCTAAAATGTACCGTCCAAATAAAGATATAATTATTATTATTTCCAATAATTCACAACTTGCGTCGATACATTCCGTATAAAACGGGGCTAAGCGTAATTAAAATGACCGCAATATAACGTAGTAATGGAGATCGACACAAAACTGTAGTTTCTTGCTGGTTTTAGGTGTAAAAATGAAAATAGAGGAAATAAGTATCGGTAAGAACAAAAGGAGAGGAAGGAGATTGTTCAGGCAAAGAAAGCAAACCATATCAAAGATAGTATGTTGAGAGTAACTGCAAGATATAGAGGACGTAGTGGAAATAATAAGAAATAAGAATTATCTAATACTCGGCTGTACGTAGGCGACGTAGTTAGTCCACAGTATATCTTTCGCCGAGAACGACGGTGTTGTTCGTCAGGACGATTAAGTGTTTGAAATAATTACTATCTGATTTTTTTTTTAAATTTAAAATCGACCGATTTATCGGAGCTGTGCGGAATCTGTAGAAAACGGGGAGCGAGTGGCAACGTCGCTCGCCGCGTTTCGTTTCACGGAATTCTCGGAATACGAGCTCGCGCGCCCTCTGGCGGCTTTCCATCTGGCCCTCTCACTCACTCTTTCGATGGCGGTCGTGCGCGATTGCCCTCCGTGACGTATGGCGGGATCGTCGATCGATCGGTTTTGTTCCTGGCGCTCAGCGGCGTTGCCGGTTTGTTTATTTTTTCCGGTTTTGGGCTATTTTTTTGTTCACGCTATTAACCGACAGGTGGCGCGTACGTAGAACTCGGCCGTCGGCGAATAGATGGCGCGGCGTTTGGTCGAATTTAAATTTAAATGTAACCATACGATTTCGACAAAAAGCAGCTGTATGTTCTAGACACTGCTTGTCTTATTTTTTGAACCATTGGAGATTGGAAAACCGTGGTTCCGGTTGATTCATTGTGGATTTGAGGTTGAGGCCGACTTTGACGTTTAACAGCCAACTGTGATCACTCTAGAGTGGATTAGAGGTAAATGCAAAACCTCATGGAATAATTAGTCGAGTTCTCGTATTTCACTATCTCGTTGGAGTAAACATGTGGTTTAAACATTTCGCAACTGCACATTCGCAAATAGAGAGGACCCATTAATTGGTTATAATAACAAAAATAACGCACAACGTTGCCCAATTGTTTTGCGGTGGCACATATGGTTTGTTTTTGCGCTTTTATTATCTACATTTGACAGTGTATCGTCGGAAAGGTTGGTGCGTTCGTAGTTGAGGTCAGTTTTGTTTTTGTTATGACTTTTTTTTTCTAAAAACGTATTGCCTAATCGCGAGATACACGTTGGACGATTTTTTATACGTATTTCTGCGTGTAAACAGCGCAACTGAAACGCAACCACATAATTCCAAGATTATATTTACATAACAAAAATAGGAATAAATAATAAGCGGCTCGGTATACAAAACGCAACTTTGACTTGACGGGTGTGTACAAAAATTACAACAAAAATCGTTCGATTCGAGATTTTATCGATATACGGGGTGTTTCTTACATGACCAACATTTGGGAGATGATCATTTCTGTAAGTACATGAGTAATTATTAATTCCAGTGGCGGCCATGAAGACGGTCTATCCAATATTTTTGCGGCACTAATTTAATTTCTATATGATTTTTTTAGCGTTAAGCAATTGAAATGAAAAGCTTTTAACCCGAAAATGGTCATTTTCGCTACATTTTGAGTTTTGACACTCCTTATGTTTGGTCAGGTGTTTGGGAAACACCCTGAATATTGTAATAAGCAAATAAATAAACCCATTTATTTTTTTTTGGCACAACCTCGATCTGCTTGTTTAAAATACGACCATGTAAAGGACATTTCTTTGACGGGGGTGATTTTTAATGCTACGTGTGTAGATTGCGCGTGTCGAAAAAAATAAAGGGGTTCGTATACGTGCAGATTCGTCCGCAGACTTCCAGCCCGGTCGGGACCGCGGACGAATTCGCACGTCCTACCGCCTAGCTGGTAAATAATAAATAGTAAAAAATATACATTCATGTATGTATAGACTAGACATTATGACTCAACCCAATCCTAATAATACTGATAGTTTAAACGACGAATGTGACTAAGGGTCACCATCCTTTCCAAACTGACTCGACACAAAAGAAAACATCGGTGGTTATAAGTACATTTTAGTTTAGTTTTTTTTTCAAATGTAAAACAAACGCCACTTGGGCCGTAAACACACAAAAAATGGTATACGTGCAAAATTATGGTACAGCAAGACGATTTTTTCCATTGGCGGCTCGTTTGGTTTGGGAATTTTCCGGTGGGAAAATTGTCGGTCCGGCCCCGGTTTTTTTGATTTTTTTTTTACTTCAGTCCAATGCTGTAGGCGTAGATCGGGGTATCCTGGTAGTCCATTAACGGTTCCCCGGTGTCCTCTTCCGATTGGTTGAAAAGGACGTCGAGCAGTCGGGATTGCGAGCGACGTTTGCGCCCACTGAAACAAAATAATTATTAGTAATCAAAAGGACCTTCGGAGTTCACAATTAAAATTTTTTGCTTTAATTTTTTTTTGCCACCCAGCTATTAAAATTGTTTGACGAGCATATGTAATATAACATAATATAAATCATCACTGATCATCATTTGTATTTTAATTAGTATTGTTTTTTCTTGTTTGATTGTTTGTTCTGATCAAAGGGTCTAAAAAATAAGTGTTCATAAAAATATGTTCTGTCAACTTCCATGTTTTTATATGTTTTTGCTTGAAAACGAGGTACTGTACAAAAAACAACTCCAGAGTAAAAAGGTGACTTATTCAAAGTAAATAATTAAAATTGCGAACAAATCAGTAGCGAACGTTTGGCAGTTTATATCTAGTTAAAGAACAAAATTAATCTTTTAATGACAAAGGACTAATTTGTCACACGTACGCCACTGATTTGTTTGTTCAAGAGGCTACATTAATATAATTGACAAATATTTTGATCCGTTTTTTAAAAAAAGGATTCGACACCTCGTATATGGCAAATTAAGAATTTTCGCGTTTTTCCGATAACAAATTTTCGGCCGAGCCTTGGTGTAAGTTTTTGAAACACCCTATATTTGCAATCTCGAAAGCAATTCGCTTCACTTTTACTGAACATTTTTAGAAAAATTTTTATATAACAAAAATATAAGAATAATAACAATCATTCTATGATAAAATTTTATACCGAAATTTTCTAGTTTTGGTTAGTTTCTAGTTTTGTGCTTGAACTGGAAGGTCTATGTTAAAGCAATTCGACCATAGAATATTTATATAAATAATATTGCAATATTCTTTTTGTTATATAGAGTTTTATATTTAGGTGTTTTTCCATAAAATCTTCTAGATCATAAATTCGGTAATTCCAAAATGTTTCCTATTGCTACTAAACATCTACTGTCAAGAAATTCAAGAAATTAGTAATTCAAGCTCTAGGGAAATCGGTTTTTGATTTCGAGAAAAGCGAACCACTACAAGGTTTTTTTAATTAACTACAAATTGATATATTATTCTGCTATTTCGACTTCCCTAAATTATTTTTGGTAATAAATTAACAATCGACTGAATTATTATCACTTGCAGAATAGTACCGATACATTTCGATCCGATACGTATATTACGCGTCAATTGTTTCCCCTCCCCCCCACACACGCCTTGGTACCGACGGAGGCGTTTTCAAAATGGCGTGTGCTCTATTCCGCGCCAGAAACCTCCATTGATCCTGCGACGCAATTGAAAACGTTCCATAGTAAATAAATCGTACTATGTTACGATTACGATGTTACAACGGGTTAGTGAACTTGCTTAAATGGCGGCGGCCGGGCAACATTTTAACGCTAACCCGATAAGAAGCGCCGCCGCCGCCTGTGACCTCTTGCTACTACGAGAGATGCGCGATAAAAGTGGCGAATTAAGCGCGGCGTATCTTTCGATTGCGCGGGCCCATGCTGCGATATGTGTCTCTAATGATCGTATAAAGTTCGACCAATCGCGAGTCGGCGTCACGCCGTGACACGCCCACTCTTTTAACCCAACCCGTAAGAGAGAGGCGCGGGCGTGGGCTCGGCCCGTTCCCATTGGCCCTTTGTTTTAATATCCTCGGGACACGCCCACGCGCCGCGTTATCGTCGTCGTCTGTCGCCGCAAAGAAAACAGCATCGCTTTTAGGTGAGGGGGTCAACGTCGAGCGACCTCTTTTTAATTGGCATCGATTTCGGAATGCTCGTAAGATTGTTCGTCGAAGTGGACGGAATTAGAAAATCACGCGGGTGCGGATCGGGAGCGTACGTGGTCCCATGGGCGTCGTACGTTAATTTATTTAATTGACATTTATTGTTTGGTTGTTTAAGCTTTAAAAATGCAAGGTCGAAGATTAAAAGTTTTGGTCGAATTGTTAAACGTTATACAGGGCGTCTCAAATTAATTAACTCGCAAAATGTCTTCTGGTATACTGGATCAACGAAGCATATTTATTTGAAGAACGTGAATTTTGCTACGTTACTCTATTTGAAATCGAAAGTGTTGACGATCTTTTTAATTGGTGTGAAAATTGTATGCGTTTTTTGCGCAAAATATACGGGGCACTCCTTAAAAAAAAATGACTGACAATGAAAATTTTGTTAATTTAATAATACTGCACACCCACATGCGTATGTTTTGAGAAAAGCACGCTTACATTTTGTCGAGGTCCTTGCCCGCCGCCACTGGCAGCGTGAATGCGAACCCCTTGATCTTGCTGCCGAGCGCCAACTTGGTTTCCAAATCGGCGAGGTGAGGGTCCGATACTCGCTTAACTCTGCAAAAAATAAATAGGAATTGTGTAACCGATGCAATGTACACTCTTTTACTGATGTTCACTCGCAACATTTTCATTCGCAACGTGGTGTTGCGGGTCAAAATTCTTGATTTGCCGGGGTTTTACATCAACCACGCTGTGGATTACATTTAACGAGGGGAAACTACGTTTTCTACTGGTCTCTTACTAGCGTACACCGTGTGTCGAATAAAACGATTCACTATACGATCTGGGAGCTCATAGGAGATACGAAAAAAGTTTCGTACAAAAGTTTCCCGGATTCTCTTGAATATTTAAAATATTAAAATTTTGTTGGTACAGGGTGTCCCAAAAGTGTCCTCCAACCCGACATTAATTTTGTTATTTTAAATGGGGTACCCTGTGTATTTCGACATTTTTGGAATCCTTGTTTAAAATAAAGGTCACTTTCTTAAGAAATTCCTACTCGAATTTTGCATAGTTTAGATAGAAATTGAGGTTATGTGTGTTTTTTTTTCATATTTTGATTGGCCCATATAAAATTGTGTTATGACGCTACTGATACAAGTATTGCAACGCAAATTTAACCACAGACTAAACTACTCAATCAGTTTGACAGATGCGCCTCGGCTTATACAGGGTGATACCGTTTTGGCAAATTCAATTAACAGAATTCTCAAGATTTTCGAATGGAACATCCCATGTTTTTATTCAGTTATCAATTTTAGGACAATAAATAAGGTAAGTTTGTAATTCCCAATTTAAATATAAGATATTTAAATTGGGAATTGTAGGAATGTCTTAAGAAAGTGACCTTTATTTTAACCAATTTACAATAACTAAGTTGATGTCGGGGCGGACACTTTTGGTACACCCTGTATCAACAAACTTTTGTACGAAACTTTTTTTTCGCATCTCTTATGGGTTTCCCGATCATATAGTTGATCGTTTTATTTTACTACACTATTTTACGGTTTATTCCCGGCGTTATTCCCGATCGATTTAATTTTTTTTCGAAAATTAGTGTCGACTGTCGGATCTCCGCGAGCCAACCCCCTTTTATAAGCGAGCAATTAACGCTCCGGAGTTCCCGGGCCATCTCAATAGGGTCTCTAGAGCCGGATCCGAGTGCATTTTTCATTATCCGCCGGTGCAATCGCTGTCAAACGGACAATGGGGGGGGGGCTTCGAAATTTGTCCCGTCGCGAAGCGGCAGCTTGTTCGGACGCGCAACAGGTCTCGCACGCCTCTTTGACGTGTTTTAATAGAGCGTCGGGACGTTGTAATTGCCTCTCGGGCGTGGACCACAAACGTACCATTCAATCAGTGCGACCGGGATCTTTTTTCAATTTTTTTTATAGTCTGTCCGACAACGGTCCCGTTGATGACATGTTTTGGCTTCAATTAGTTCGGAAAATCGTATTTTGAAAAAGACGTCAGGATCCGGTAAAACGTTTTTTTACTTCTGGGGCTTTTTCAATTAGAGAAGGATTTGGTTTCATCCGCAATGAAATCAAATAAAAATAACATTTAAATTATTTTTTTTACAGTAGTAGCAGGTTGATTTTTCAAAATGGCCTTTGTCGTATGCGGCGTGAATGAAATTTGTCGAGTGTCTAGTGTGAACAATTCGGCCAAAACGGAATAATAATAACTAAGCAGGTTTGCCCGATGGCGATGCGGTAGTTAATCGGCGTTGGGGCCGATGCGGGCGCTATTTTACCGTCCGGAAAACCGGATTCCGAACCGTTGACAGTTCGATTCGGTGTTTTTTTTTTTGTTAGCAAAATAAACCGGAAGCGGTTATTAAAAATGTAATTCAAGCAATCAAGAATTAAATAAAATACAATTAACCATTCGAACGATAGAAGCCCTTCTTTGTTACCCCGCGTCCCGCCCTGGCGCAAAAAAAAATTATTAGCCAAAAATCGATACGCCTACGAAGACTTACTTATACGTCCGGAAATGATACCGACCTTGGCAAAGGCAAAATTTTCGTCAGATTTTTTATTATCTTAACATTAAAGTGACTTATTTTGCTTCTAAATTTGAAATGTATTTTTTAATGTACCCTCTTCCTAAATGTTTTTTTATTATTTTCTTTACGTTTATTGTTAAATTCGCAGCAATTATGGGCCAGTTTTTGAAAAATATATTTTTTAAAATATTTTATGGTTTAAAAAAGTATATTTTTGCCTTTAAATTTTAAATATTTTATGCTGGTATTTTATTTCCTTATTTTTTATTTATTTTATTTTATTTTATTTTAATATATAATGTTAGTTTAATAAATGGATGTTTAAATTTAAACATCCATTTATAAATTTAAATCTTTAACTTTAACTTGACGATTCATATATAAGCAACACTTTGCCAAATAAAACGATCCAAAAGTTTCTTGCACCCTCCTAAAGGTTTATAATATTATAATTTTGTCCCCCTGACATTAACTTTGTTATTTTAAATAGAACACCCTACATATTTAGACATTTTTTGAATCCTTGGTTAAAATAAAGATCACTTTCTTCCTATTCGAATTTTGCAATGTTTAGCCAAAATTGATGTTATTTGTTTTTTTTTTTTTTCACATTTTGATTGCCCCACGTAAAATTGTATTGTGACGCCACTGATATAGGAATTGCAGGGAAAATTTAACCATACACTAAGGAGATGATGCACTAGTCAATCAGTTTGACAGATGCGTTTTGGCGAATACAGTTAACAAAATTTCAATATTTTCAAATGGAACACATTATATTTTTATTTCAGATATCAATTCAAGGGCAAAAAATAAAGTAAGTTTGTAATTTATCTTATATTTAAATTTTATTTACTTTTTGAAATATTCGAGGTTTAAAAAATTAGACAAGAGATTCTTGCATTAAGTAATAGTGACGCGTGTATTGCAGAGGATGGAGAATAAATTGAAATTATATTACGGTATCACCATATTTAAGTTTTTTTTTTAGTTGTTTGTTTCTGGTTTCTTTTTTGTTTTATAGATTTATTTATTCAAAGTTGCTACCACGCTTAGTTAGCCTATAAATTTTGATTATTTATTTTTGTTATTGCGTATTTTAAGTCAACTTAGATGATTACCTATTAAATGTTTCTTTATATATGAATTCTGAAGTTTTATTAAATCTGTTAAAGTTTGTAATATAGAGTCGATTTTTTCTAAATTTCCACGTATTAATGGACATCCTGTATTGTTACCAATAGGTTTTATTCGTATATCTTTAAAATACGTCTTTGCTATTTGAAAAATACCTAATATTGCCAACAAGTGACCTAATGTGGGCAGCTTTAAATTCAACAAGAAGTTATATGGGTGTTATCTTAAACCTCGAGTATTCCAAAAAGTTAGTAAAATTTAAATATAAGAAAAATTGATAGAATTTATATCTGAATAAAAATATAGTGTAATCCATTTGAAATCTTGAGATTTGGGACACCCTGTATAAGCTGTCAAACTGATTGAGTAGTGCATCATCTCCTTAGTCTGTGGTTAAATTTTGGTTGCAATTCCTGGATCAGTAGCGTAGCAACACAATTTTATATGGAACAATCAAAAAAATCAATCTATGCAAAATTCGAGTAGGAATTTCTTAAGTAAGTGACCTTTACTTCAACCAAGGATTCCAAAAATGTCGATATATGTTGTTGATGTTGACAGTCGATGTCGGGGGGACACTTTTGGGCCACCCTGTATCAACAAAATTATAATATTGTAAATCTTCGGGACAGTCTAAGAATCTTTTGTAAGAAAATTGAATTTCCAGATCGTATAGTGGATCGTTTTATTAAAAAACGTGAAAAAAATCGAAAATCGAAACTTGTGCCAATAAAATACTTTAAAAAACATTTTCACCGGCAATTGTTTAAAAAAAGCTTTCGTAAATCGATTTGTTTACTATATTCGATGTTTCCGTACGATGCGGACTTTAGTGGTGTTACCGTATTTTCAAATTAATATTTTTCCTTTCAGTTTTTAAAATATGTGCGTGTGTGTGTGTGTGTTTTTTTTTTTTAATTTAGTCTGTCCCTTGTACATTTTCATTGTCCGATTAGTGGACGCGGATTCTATCTGCCGGGAAAATTACCGGCAGGTAATTCGCACGGAGGGGAGCGTGAGTTGGCGTGCCGGAGGAGATCGGGGAGGACGTTTCCGTTCCGACCGGGTGAGGCGGGCATTTGGCGAACAGTTTTCACGCACGTTTTCCCGACGCGTTCCGGTTTCGTACCGCAACGGCGAATCGTTCGCGAATTTAAATTTGCGTTTTCCATTTAACTTTGGCGATCATCTTCGGTTTTGTTTTTGTTGTTTTTTCGGCGCGCGTGGCTTAACCTCGTCGGGACGCCGCTGATACGTCCGACGCATCGTTAGCGCGTGGTCGTTTTATTGTTTAAAATTAGTTTTTGTTAATTTTCCATATATTGCCGGTAGTGACGTATTGGCCGGACAACGTTATAGTTAAAAGCAAGGCAACGATAAAATGCCTAGAAATTTGGCGCCAAAATAAACGCTTAAAGACATATAAAAACCACGAAATCTTGGAAATTTTTTACTCCCTCCTCTAAAACACACAATTATGCACTAATCAGGCGATATCGCTTTAGAAAGTCGACTTCATTAAGCACTAAACGGGTTCGGGTGTTTCTGGTATTTTAGTCACGGGTTTGGAAGCGATCGGATGCGAATTATAGTTAAACCTCTCAATAAAAATTATCGTTATCCTTTTTCTAGAAAATGTCTTTTTAACAACTCTTCAACCATCAGATCACTTCATCCTCCCTCCCCTGATTTTGGGCGGAACTTTTACTAGGGTATCTAATAGTATACTATGCAACAAGTTTGATAAACGCCATTTTAGTCCCGATTTTGATTTGGCACGAGCGGAGCGGCTCGCTAATAGTATTTTATGCAACAAGTGCGGTAAACGGCATTTGACTCACAAGTTTAAAAACCAGTGAGTGAAAAAGTTTACCGCACTTGTTGTATACTATACATCATTCAATGACATGACCGTCAGAATTGACAAACTTCAAAATTCAAGCCCTGCGGTAAAATCTTCGAAAATATCCGATTGCTCCCTTACCCGTGCGGTAATATTCCGGAAATTTTCAAAGGGGCTCAGATTCGTGGGTCAAGTAAGTCACGTAGCAAAGTGACGCTTTCCGCATTCTAGATCGGTATGTAATTAAGAATTTTACAGAAGGGAGTAGAAAAATATATTTTCAATTATTATACTTTTGAGCTTAGAAACGGTTCGAAATAATTAATTGTTTTCGAGCAACTTTGAATGGCTGTGGCCCGGAGGAGGAGAATTTAAGTACTTTCGTTTGAAGCGAAAAGAAAGTGTTTACGTTGATCTCGAAAACGTTTTTCTTAAAATAAACAAAAATGACGCAATTTCAAGGGTCTTTGCCAAAGAAAGATGTCCCTCTAGGGTTCATTTGTTGTCCTCTTCGATGTATTTATGCATCCCATTGACATGTTTCAAAGCTTTTGATGTCGTTAAATTAAATTCCGTGTCCATGAAAAAAACTGATGAACATTTAGGGATCCTACTCGATTGATTTTAAATGATCTAACAGCTAAAGCCTATATATACGTGTGCCTATTATATACAAGGTTTATCGTAGATTTGCAGATTCAAAACTAGAAAATGTTCAGAGAAAATTTTGCACATATTGCGTCACATTGATTAAAATTGCAAAAAATTGCATTCAATTGCTTTGTCTCGTTTCCGCTGGGACGCGCTGTATAATAATAAATCCGGAATAAATTGTGTTTTTGCGTATACGCAGTTTATTTTGTTTTAACTAATTTTGCAAATTTATCGAAATTGATAACGTAACTCGCATTAAATAAAAAATAAAAATAAATAAAAATACGCAAAAGGGAGCAGCGCAACATTTTTCGAAATATTTTTAATAAACATACCGGCTGATGAAATACGGCTTAGCGATTACCATCTGCTGAACTCCGAGGATGGTGACGAGTACCGCGAACAGTCTCGAAACGTTCATCTTCATGTCGATTTTCTTAAATCGATTCACCCCGATTCACAGGCTCGTTATTTATTTTTTTCAATCACTCGCGGCGCTGATACGCGCACAGGATCACTTTTCCTTATAGTTCTTCGCGGAAACGTGCCGTCGATAGTACGGAACGGAGAAATCGATAGTAACGATATCAGAGATTTTGGTAGTCGTAGTCGTCGTCGGTTTCAATATACGGCGTGTTCGTTCGTTGCTAGTGTCGTTTTTCGAATGGCGGTAATTCGCGTTGCCGGCGCAATTATATTTCGCGTCGGCGTCTACGCGTCGTCCGACGTCGCGTTTCCGCAGTGGGGGCGCGTCTCGGGGCGACTCTCTCCTCTCCGGGAGTTTTCGTTGCCGATTTTTGTTTTGTTTTTGGAAATTTTTAAAAATTCAACGTACCTTTTTTTTTGCTAGAGGGGATTTTTTTTTTAATTTTTTGAAAGTTTCCAAGTACTTTTTCAATTGATTTGGCTAAATTCAATGTCTTTCGTTTCAGTAACGTCAAATCAAAATTAAAATGAAATCCGCATTATAATATCAAATTTCAGCTTTTCAATGGAAAAAAATTGTCTTAGCTTATGCCTTTCTTTTCAGTAACTTAAAATTAAAAATCGATGCTTTCTCGTGGCTTGTTTTTGAAACTTTTTAAAACTTTAATTTACCTTTTCTTGCTACAGGGGATTTTTTTTATTTACCTTTTTTTTCTGTAACGTTAAATGAAAATTTTCCGTTTCAGTAGCAAATAGAAATCCTAATTATAATATCAAATTTTAAAATTTGAATTTAATGTCGTAGCTAATGCCTTTGCCTAATGCCTTTTTTTTTCAATTGAAAAACAATTGGCTCGATTAATGCCTTCTCAGTAACTGAAATTAAAAATGTATGCGTTTTCGTGACTTGTTTTTGAAAATTTTTAAAAATGTCGCGGACCTTTTTTTTGAAAGTCCGCAAGTACCTTTTCAAATGGTAACGTTAAATAAAAATCTAGCATTTTTCATAAATGTATTATTTCTTTTTGCTATTGAGTTTAAAATATATTATATTTATTGGCATTTTTTACTTAATACTGTGCAACCTTAGTTATGTTTATCTGAAATTACGTGCAAATTATTATCAGGTCGGGGGATACCTGTCTCGGTGTTTGCCGAATAGATTGACTACTTCAACCTCTAATTTTTTATATTTATATATTTTAAGTATTTTTATATCTAGGTGTGAGGGGGGGGGTTCGACAAAATGTAGATACGTCATTTTTTTTTCGTTGTTTTGATAAGAAAGAATAAAAAATGTTGCCCAAAATGGCAGTTACCACTCAGCCCACGTAACTCGGCTGCCGTTTCACAATCAAACTCGTCGAAAAAAAAATTACGGACTTCGTTGAAGTAGTTTCAATCAAAAAACTAAAAATATGGCGACGAACTGTAGTTTTTCAATTAATGTTACTGAGAGAAAAAATGGTATTAATCCGATTGGAGAACTCTCGACTGAAAAAAAGAACTTAAGTTAATTGTCAAAATTTTTTAATTTGCCACGAAAATTGGTTTTTAATTAATGAGAAGAAAGGCATTAATTGAGACAATTGTTTTCAGTCGAAATGCTAAAATTTGAGATTTTTATTGGGATTGTCACTTAACGTTACTGAAAAGCCAAATCAAAGTTTCTGAAAATAAAAAATTTCTCCCATAGCAAAAAAAAGGTTCACTTAATTCTTTAAGCCCCCACTGCAGAAACGCGAAAGCGGACTACGCTTAGATGCCAATTCCGCCAATGCGAAACTAGCGACTAGCGACCCTGTAAACTACGGTGAATCAATCGATTTTCGCCAATCGAGAGAAATCGATAGTAACGATATAAGAGATTTTGGTCGTCGTCGCGTTTCTGCATTTTTTTTTGTAATATTTAACGGAGCTTTTTTTGTGTTCCTGGAAATTATTGTTTTCATTTTGTGAAAGTTTGCAAGCTCCTTTTCAATTGTATTGGCTGGATAATGCTTTTCGTAGCAAATTAAAATATACCAATAATAATCACAAGTTTTATAATTTCTTTCCATCTAAAGTTTTAAACTTTTTGGATTAAAAAAATTGCTGAACTAATGCCCTGTTTTTCTCAGCAACGTTTATTGGCAGTCTATAAGCATTTTTGTCGCAAATTAAAATATCGCATTAATTATTTTGGCCCAGTGCCTTTTTTTCTTAGTAAATTGAATAATAATTAGCTAAATTAATGCCTTTTTTTTTGGTAACGTTCAATGAAAATGTAGCTTTTTAGTGGCAAGTTAAAATATCCCAATTATAATAATTTTTTTTTGGTCCAGAATTTTTGCTTTTTAAATAAAGAAAAATGGTATCAACTTTTCTTCTCAGTAACTTAAATTGAACATCTATATGTTTTCGTCTTAAATTAAAAATATTCTATTAATTAACTCAAGTTCAATATTTGTTTCAATTTTTCTCTTTATTAAAAATTTTAGCTGGATGGTATCTGCTATTTGGGCAACTTTTATCATTATTATAAGATCGATCGTCTACTTGAAAATTGCTTCACGCCATATATCCTTTATGGATAATGAAAAATAAATTCTCTACCGATTCATCTAATTCATTTTTCGCTCGACCCATACCGTTCCGTACGTTCAATTGGTATGAAATATCTTTTTTTTTTATATATTGACTGAACCACTCCTTTGCTTTTCCAATTTCTCAACCCTTCCGCTCATGTAATTAACTCGACATTCTCGCTTCGGCCTGTAAAAAAAAGCGACAGACAAAATTAAGCGACTCGCAAATGTAGTCGCCCACTATGAGGGGAAGCGCTTCCTTATATAATTTAAAATTTACGTTCTTTGGGTACGGCCCAGCATCGACATTTTCATTAGGCTTATATAGCGAGACGGCGACTGACGATTTTTGACACAAACCCTTCTTTTTCTCGAAGGGAACAGAAAAATTAAAGTTTTAGAAAAAACGTTATAATTCAATTAAAAAAAAAAAAGAAAAACTATAGATTAATTGATTTATTATTTTAATGTTCATTAAAGCCTGAATTTGTTGGGGCAATTCATTATGCTCTCACGAGGTATTTAAGCTGGCATTTCGTCGCATGAGAATATTGACATTCTCAAGGCTATTTATTTTTAAATGTGTACTTAATGTTACAACTGATCCAAATAAATGTGAGCCACTTTAAAATTTTAACCTACGTCAATAATTAATACCGAATTTTGATAAGAAAATTCCCAGTCGTAAATTTCTATTGGCCAACAAGCGTTTGAATGAAAGAGTTACGACGTGCAAGTCAATTCAAATTTATTTCTTTTTATTATTCATTTTAATAATTGTTAATATGAATTTTAATTAAAAATTTGACCGTGGTAATATTATTATTAATTTAAAGATTTTTCACTAAATGCTCGCCGTTTTTTATTTTCATAATTCAACACGCACAACAATCACATAAAGGAGAAAACAAAATAATGCTTTTACGGTCCTGCGCCGAAGGGTTTTGGAAAAGAACTGCAATCGGGTATCTTCATTTCTGCCAACACGATATTAAATCGGGCATCGTGATAAATCGGTCCATGTGCGTTATATATTTACGTCGGTAATCTGGGTAATCGAGTCACGAACATATTTAACAAATAAACTTTGGCATGTTTGATGTATGATTTATCTGGTCGTTTATTCTGAACTCCTTTATCTCCGGCGAACGTATCTACGCCACTGGTCGCGCCGTGTCGTGCAAAACGGCGAATTTTTTTTCGAGTCTACGGGGGCTTTGCTGCGAAAAATGAAATCTGCGGAAAATGGCAGTTTGATTGGCTTTTGATACAACGAGGAGAGAGGGGATCGAACGGTTTTCCGATTTAGCTGGTTTTCTAATGATAGGTAGCAATAAAAAATATGTCAAGAGAAATTTGGGCGTAATCTATATTCCCTTCGGCAGGGATGGGTATCGAATAAAATTACATATAGGTGGTGACCAAACCTAAAACATTGTAATCTTTGGTGAACTTTAGATAAGGTCTAGAGGGTGTTAAATGTTTCCTAAATAAAAACTTTATATATAAAAGACTCGTCTCTCTCCCATCTGACCAAAAATAGGGAGTAAAATGGAAATAATTTGGTAAGTTGCTTAATGGAGCAAACAGTTTTCGATCCCGGTGTCTCAAAAAAAAAGAGCCCACTTTACTTCTTTACTATTCTAAGATTTTGAGACAGAAATGACTCCGAAATGTTTCCGAAATAAATTGGATTCGGTTTTCAAATTCAAATATTTTTGCTACCTTTTGTTTTAAGCTAACTTTGGCTAACGATACACCTCGTTAAGGTGGCAGTGTTTTTTTGAGTCCACAGTAGAAATTTTACTTAACCAAGATGCTACAGTTGACATTTTCTCACTAAATTGCACGCTAATCTGCATTTTTGCGCCATCACCAGACACTCCGGCTGGATCTGCGCATATTTTGAACTAATATTATCAAAAAAGCTGCCACGTCCAAACTGAATACTAATCGGTGAACTTTGTGGAAAACATTATGGAAAATTTTGTGTTTCTAGAAAAAAAAAAGTTTTTTACATAGCACATCTTAGTAGATTTCTTGGGTCTTGAGATGAACTTAAAATAACTTGACATTTTGCTCAAGTCTTCTTGAAAAAATAGAAGTTTTGAAGTTTGAGGAAGTAGTCTTTGCGCCGTGCGACCGTAATACAGAAAGCAAACGCGTACCAGGAGTAGCCAAATTGTTATGTGGGCTGCGTAGATGCTAGATTTTAGCACGACTTTTCAGGAAGCACTTACACCCTAAATTTTTCTGATACTGTCCTGTATGAGTTTTTGCTAGGCTTGTGGGTGCTTTTAACTTTCTGGTTGACGTAATTATTTTTGCCGGGTCCTAAAAGCACTGTTTCTTGTCACTGGGTGACTGAATGTAAAATATTTTAAGTAATTATAAGCACATTTTAGTGCCACTCTCAAACGCATTTTGCAAAAACAACTTAAATACGATTTCAGTCAAAATACTCAGCTTACAGGATAGATGATCTCTCATTTTAAGATTAAAAATAAAACGTATGCATGGGTTGCGTATTCTCTACGTTTGGATTGAACTGCGAGATAGGGATGGGCCATACGCAATATCAGCGTAATCACAGTGTGGGAGAACCAAATATTCACATAGCTGCTTTTTATTAACTGACCGACTATATCCTTGTTTTT